TGTGAAACCTTAAAGTTAATTGTATTCATGAACTCTCCCCCCCCCCCCCCCACCACAGTTTTGTTATTTTTACAACAATCCCATGATTACTTATGATTTTAAAACTGTGAGTATAAAACTCTTTAAGTTTTTAAAAATCAAGAGTGTATCTTCACCATCCTTAGCTAGAAGGTATTACCTGTGAGTTTAAATCACTAGGTTAAGTTTAAGTTTATAGTGTCATGTGAACCTAGCCAATGTTGCTCCACATACTTCAAGCAATGAGCTTGCTAGAGCAGGTAAACAAGGATCTGATGAGGCCCATCTTCTTATCCTAATTACCAATCAGAACTCTCACCTAGCACCTGCTTGTGTCTTTATTGGTGTTTGTCTTTTTCCGTTTTTGTTTTGGTCAGGTATTGGTGTCAGTGACTTCTTGGTGAACCATATTAAAGCCTTTGTACTTGTACTTCTTTAGTCCATTTTACATGAAGGTCTGTTAAGGCATAATCAACACTTTTGTTACTCTTGCACAATTGTTACATTTACATCTTGTATTACTTACTTTATGCATGGAAAATATATTTTTGTAGAATAGAATTGAAAAAGGTTATACAGATAAAAATAGACTGATACCAGCACAGAATTAAACTGCACATGTGTAAGCTAAGCTAAACGTGGTGTTAATTGAAGGCAATGAAAAGACATTCAAAAAAGCAAGTGAGATAAGCAGAAGAATAAAGATAAAAGCAATAAACGTATGACATACAGTATACATGTAAGGACAAGGAAACATACTATACATGTAGAGGGGAGGGGGGGGGGATTTTATACAGAATGTCTCTATAAAAAAATGCTACAAGATTTTGATCGGCAATTATTTAAAGAGTACTTGATCATCCTCAATGAAATTCCAAAATCCCCATGAAGTTCACACAAAGTTTATAAGATACTACTTCAGTATTACCTACAAAATTTCATTGAGGATGATGACATACTATTTGAGATATTGCCAATCAAAGACACCCGTAGGTGAATGAAAACCTAAATGACACACAGAAAGAAAACTCATTGAAAAGAAAGAGGGAAATTAAGTGGAGAAAAGGTTAGAAAGAAGAAAAAAGGAGAAAATAAGAATAGACTAGATAAGAAAGAGAAGAAGAGGGAAAAGGTTTAAATCTCTCAACTACTGTAGGAACACAATAGCAACCGCTAAATCTTTACGAACCGGGTAATTTAGCAACGTCTTTAGCAGAATACAACGGTTAGTTTAGGCGTCTTGCCAAAATTCAAATCATTCCTTGTATCTGGTGTCAAAGTAATTTGAGAATGCATCCCAATGCACTGGCATGTTACTGATCAAAACAAACTATTCCAACGAAACTCAGAAATACTATCATGTCTGGATAAACTTCACAATTCACCAGGTTCAACTGTCATTGCGTTTAAGAGATTAGTCTCCATATTCAGACTGATTTTATCATAAACTTGTATTCATGTATTATGCTTATATTTGTTTAGTCATGTTTGAATATGTTTTCCAAATATAGTTGTTGATATGGAATTGCAAATGTCACAGAAGTAAAGAAACTAAATCTGTTTGTTTTAAAAACTTGTAAAAAGTTTTTTCCTTGGAGTCCACTTTGTAATGATGTAAAAAAAAAGAAGAAGCAAAAACGAAAAATAACGAAGCATATGGGATTATTTATGACAACATAATGCAACTTTTTTCTTCTTGTAAAACATGTTCTTGCTTTTATTTTACTACAACTTTATTCAGTTGGCAGCTACATTTTTGAAGTGTTCATGGTTGTCCTGTTCATATTGTTATCAATCAAAGTTAGAGAATACTGGCAAATATATATGGGGCCGTTGTATAAAAACTCATGCATTCAAACACAAGGAGATTTTGTTTCCCTTATTCAGGTCCTCTGGTTGCTTACTGTCAAGCAATTTATGCTTTCTTAGCAGTCAGGTAAAATACCACCACCACCACCAGTAACTCTCCTGTTCCACAAAATATGAAAAGAGCTGCATTTGATTAGACTACATTCCCAGGAACGATCTCCAAGGGGTCAAATCTGCGGAGGTCCAGGGTAACAAGAAGCAATGCATGCCCCCTTTCAGGATCAGGTCGTTCTCATGGCAACCGTACACAAAAACCTGTGATATATTGGCACATGGACTATTCTTGAAGTAGTGCTGTGCAACGGCTCTTTTGGTGTGTATTTGTGCTGATAAGGCCTATGCATTATCTTTGTGTACAAAGTCTGGCACTCATCCATGTCATTGAGTGCGTGCACTGGATCTTCTTTTCTATAGGTTAGAGTGTAACAAAGATCATGAAAATGGCTTCTTAGCATAGAATTTTCACTTGGTTGAACAAGGGTATATGTTTTTAAGCACAGGAGCCAGGTAACAACTCAAATGATGATCACTTTTTGTTCCCATTTAGCCTTTGGTGTTTAAGGTTGAGAAAGATTGTTTAATTTCGTGGAATAGCAATAAGTACATGTAAATGAAAACTTTTGTGCCCAATTCATCTCTAAATCAAGATTGGTTATAGATACAAATGTATAAATTACAAGTAGATAATTAGATTGAGAATTGAAATATTGAATGCATGCAAGTTTTAAATTATTTCTTGAACTCTTTTACATTTTGACTTCAGGTTTACAAATAATTTTTTCCCTATTAACTACCTAGTGATCTTGTATTTAAACTTTACACAAAACACATGTAATCATAAAAACACTACCTACAAATGTATGTCCAAGTGATTTACTTTTATTTGATGACAACATACTTTTTTTGCAAAATAATGTGCATCAGTTAATACCAAAAAAAGAACAAAAAGAAGTAAAGTTGTTACAATTTTTGACACAGATTCCCTGGTATAATACCTTCACCAGAGAATACACATGTAGTTTGTCTACTGCAGTAGTTTACTATTATCTGTCTTGCGTTGGTTGTCAAATATAAGAGGAGTGGTCATGTGGCCTTGCAATGTTTATTGCCCAGTATTAAAGCTAGATTAAACACCTGCATGTTGTATAACCCTTGAAGCATGTGACACACATTATGGCATTGATGTAAACATAATCTTTGACTTCACAAAGGCTCCAATCCAAAAGACAAATAGCCACTCCATCCCTCTTGTTGGAGGTGCTATTTAACAGGTAGTAATGACAAGCAAGGTTGATACCCTATGTTTCTAAATGTGGGTCTGGCAAATGCATGAACACGTGCATAAACATGTAAAAAAGAATAGAGAAGTTTTTTGTTCACTTTCTTTTTAATTTGTACCACAGCAAAATATTTGCTTCAATCAACTTCCGATTTGTTTTGGTGCTTAGTTGCTTCATTTAACAGTCAACTAAAATATGTCATCCATAAATAAATATATTAATTAATAAATGAATCAGTTAGTCAGTCAATTAGTCAAACAATCATGGAGGAAAAATAACTTCAAAACAAGAGTGTTTAAATGTACCAATTACATGAAAGTACAGTATAGACTACATTTATACATGACACATGGTGTGTTAATTCATACCCATACGCTATACTCCATATAACAGTACTGTAGTGTACATCAATACAATACTGTTATTGAAGATCTAAAATGTACAAGTAGTCATGTACAATGTATTTAGTTCTTCCAAATTCTATGAGAAAGCTATAATTCCCTGTCTTTTGCCCTAGCTACCTCCCAAGCCTTCCCCAAAGCGGATTTATATCAGCCTGCCAAGACACAAAAGCTCCTCCCAGCTTACATGATAAAGGGATGCTCAGTAGTCGGACATACTGTATGCAGACCCTCCTCCTTTCTATTTACACAGCGTTTTAGATCGGGGCCCCTTGTTTAAGAGCCCTCTGTGTACCCCTTGTCAAAAGACCCAGGTCAAACATTAGTTTAAGGATTGAAAGAGAAAGAACCTCAATTGTTTGAACTATGCCACCCAACTGTCATTTCCAGTGTTACTGTTTGTAAACATACATGCAGAATCTCTAAATAAGTTCATCAACATAGAAGGACGTTTTTGAGGTTTGAGAATTTTGTCGAACTTCTAGCCGTCACTTTTGATGTGTTGGTAATTCAAAGGCCTACGTATTTATTGTTGTGGCAACCGACCATTATGGTGGGTCACTATGTTGAAGCCACATAACTGTTGCTTGCAAAGGCCTGTGCCTAAAGGTGAAGTCTTTAGAAAAATGGCAGAATACTTTTAAAGTTCTTTTTAATAGCAAATGTGACTGCACTCTTGTTCCACATAATGAATGAATGAGCAATGCTTCCATAAGTAAGCAGTAGTCTGTATATACAATGTAGAATAGAATGCTTAAATAACTTGAGTCTATTTTTAGAAGATATCTTTAGAAGATACCAGGATCTGGCAGTCTGGCTATTTTAGTTATAAATATTTGTTAAAGTGATGAAATACAAATGACCCCTGACTGCAGTTCAACTTTTGAAATATATAGATGTCTATATTTTTTTGGCAAGTTTGGGATGGGTCTATTGTGAAAATGGTCCCTGACTACGTGTTCAACTTTTAATAGAAGACCATAGGGCCTACTTTTTTGGCAAGTTTGAAATATGGCCTATCGTAAAAATCGTCCCTGACTATATGTTCAACTTAATATACAGCTTTATATTTGACCACAGTTGTTATTTTCTTTTATACATGTAGCTTTGTTTACATGGATTCATTTTTCTCATGACCTATGGGTTTATAGACCATATGCATGAACTTTTTTTTACATGTTCACTGTTCAATAAAATTTGAGCTACAGTATATCATATGAAAATTGAAATCTAAAATATGTTATTAGTCACCACTTTTAATTGTACTGCTTGTTTATCATCAGAGATAGAAGGAATTGACCTTGTGTCTAAGTACACCATTCTGGCTCCAAGCAGACATTATGTACATGTAGATGTAAGAGAAACTAAAATAAAAACAAAGACAATCAAATCCTGTATTAAATCAATCTATATTATTTTGTTTCCAATGCAGATATTCAGCGATCTCGGAAGTGAGATCTTGGATTCTAGCTTTGATGGCTACAACGTCTGTCTGTTTGCCTACGGGCAGACTGGGTCTGGCAAGACACACACCATGATGGGAGGGGATGAGGTAAGAAACATTTTTAATGATTCTTAGAAATCAAGATGGTCAACAACCTACAAGAGGGGCATATTAAAGCAACTTTGATATATATTTTGTTTTTACATAAAGCTTCTCTCCATTGCATAACACCCTTATAGCTAATATTGCTCTCGTAGAAGACTTCAGAAAAAATGCCTATGGCAAATTCTTCACAACAAAGATACAGATTCAAGGAATAAACATGTTGGTGCGTACATTCTACTTCAAAATTGCTTTGATCCTACCGAAACTATAGGATAGTGTAAAAACATAATATTTCTCTCAATTTGGACAAAGCATAAACAAAATTTCTGCAAAGAAGCATTAGCACTACCAGGGGTAATCAAGATAAAGTTCATTGAACCTTTATTTTGCCAGGGAGTGTAAGAAAAAAAATCCCTGAAAATTTCTAGAAGCATTGACAGTGTCTATATAGTCATGGACCTATATACGGTCTAGTGCAGAATTAAAAAAAAAGAATTCTAATATTTTTTGTTGGTTGCTATGGTGCAAGCGAATAAAAAACTAGTGAAATGACAATCGATCACCTCCAAACTTATGATTTCTTGCATTGTGTCCTGTCCAAGATTTGATTTTTATCCAGATATCTTTCGTAAAAAAAGATAGAAATCTCTTGATTACTACTGACGAATGTTTTTTTAAACAAATAATACAAGGAAGAATCATTGGTCAGTGGTGTACATTGTATATTCATTTTCCAGTGAAACAAATGGATTAGAGACATTTTGTTCTGGACACAATGCACAGAACTGACCCAAAATAAGATGTCAAATGATAATCTGATTTCAAGATAATGATGAATTCATTGTGGACATCCAGACGTAAACAAAACCATTGAACTCATCAAAGAGTTCATTAGACCATACCAATATATGAAAGCATGATATACATCCATAGTTGTCCAGTAGTATCTGTAACTCAGAGCCATCTCATTAGTCTCGATAGGTCGTTAAGACATCCTAATTACAATCTCATATGGGATGAAGGGCCAGAGAACCTGTGTTGCCTAGCAACCGGAACTTTTACCCATCCATGGATCGCAATATCTCATCATCTGTGCTGATAAGAGGCATCTCTAATCATCCCGTAAGTTCATTTTCTGAATGTTGCGCGCCAGGCCATAACGAAGGTGATGAAGGATGCGAGGAGATTACTGGTAGACAGAAAAATCGCCAGGCGATTGTGATCTACTAGAGATTTTGAGATGAGGAATGTGAAAAGTGATTGGGAATAAGCTCTTCAAATCAGCAATGGATCTGATCTTCACATACATGCATGATATTTATTAACAAAAATCTTAACATACATGTATGATATTCATTATTAATATGTACACCAACAGTAACGAGAAGTAATCATTGATCATCTGAAGCAGTAGTACTGTACATCATGTTTTAATTTTAGAGGAGTGTCACACTCTGTAATCAAATATTTGCAACTTACTTTCCTGTAAAAAGTAATCATGAACGTTTAGAAGCGCATACATGTTATTCACCTCCAGACATGATGATATATACTTGCTGTAAACATACTGTAGCAGTAACTTATACTTACATGTACTGTTTGAAGGAAAGCCAATGTTAATATCAAGTTGCTCTAAAAGAAAGTATTTAGCAGAAAATTATAATAATAATAATCGGTTCTTGTATAGTGCATATCACATTATATAACGTCCCTTTGGGCTTCCAAAAAGCTTTGGAAATTATTACCCTAGCTTTAGCTCCAGAAAAGCGGATCGGTGAGAGTTTTTTTAACGAAAAATCAGACAAATGATGAAGAAGTTATGACTATTAGAAAGTTTTAAATAATCACAGCAGTCACATGAATTTAAAATCAGTTGGGGCTGTACTCTGCATTTGTGCATTTGTTCCAAACACAAAACAACAAATACATTGTATGTGAAGTTTTCAAGCTGTATAATTCTCATTTTTAAATTTTTTTTATTGTTTTTTAGGACTTCCAACAATATTATATATTGCCCCATTGGAAACTGTAAATTGATATTTTAGTGTTTAGCAAACAGATGGGAGAGGAGAGTTGATTATGTGTATGCAAATGTCACAATCAAACGACCAAATGACCAATTTGAGATTAGCATATATATTTGGTGATGTCATAATAACATTCTTAATATTTTTTCTATTTCTTTCTAACTTTCTTCATCTCGTTTCTCTTATTTTTCTGCTCCAATTCTAATACCAAAGTTGAATAGCTCTTTAAGATATATGGGACAACGAGTGCTTCTTGTATGACCTGGAAGTCAGATATAAATCATTTCATGATGTTGCAGACAATCAATATTATGTTTTGCTACAGTGCAAGTCATATTTATTGACCAATTATCGCATTCAAACATAGTAAATCATTGATTTCATGGTATAGGTTCACCCCATCCCTTCAACGCTAGTGCTTTAATTCACACTTAAAACACCCCTCAACACCCATGTTGAAAATGAACAGTTGTGAAAATCGACATCTGTCGGCGTCTTGTTTCTCGAGGGCGATATTATTGATGGCTGCATTTCCTATCGCTCGTATGCCTATTAGTGCAACTTTCCCCCTTCCTCCTAGAAGACACATTGCTTTGTGTACACAGTAATTGAGATATGATGTTCACGGTCACGATAATGCAAGGATATTGATTTTCCATCCTTGGAATTTCTCTTAATTTGATTAGCGGTATGGATTGCCTTCGAATAATAGGGTTTTTCAAGCGTAGGCTCTTTGTAGCAAAGATGGTGAATTTAGTGATTGAACTAGGTCTGATACAATCCTGAAAGTGCCTTTTAGTGGCAGAATTGAAGAAAAGGAATAATTGTACCAGTGATGGAGAAACCAATTTTTTATTATGGTTGACTGGTCTTTTTAAAATGCTTTCATGGCATTTGGAGCCTTGAATATTATTTGATAATTATTATCACCCTGGAAAAAGAATATCAGAAGACATTTAAAATTTTAAGTAGTTGATTTCTCCATATACAGTGTGAAATTAGACCAATATTTTATAAAAATGTATTCATTTTTGTTGTTGCAAGTATGTGTTTGATGGGTCCATGTAAACATACAAAATTGCTTGTTAATGATAGATTTGTCATGTAGCATGTGTACATGTATCACCATTGGTGATTATCTTTCATTCAAGTTTGAAAGATTGTGAGCTTCTGTTTTATCACACAATGATCCATGCATATATTCATGTACAATATATGATAGCCATAGTGGTAGTATTTTTTTGTTTACATAATGAATGGGTGAATCTATAGATGAATGTTCTGCACGTTTCAGATTACGTTTATTTTTAATCTGTGAGATAACTAAATATTTACCCAGCATACCTGGTTTTTTATTTGTCAAGTAAACAGAAGAGATCTTTGCTCTTCCAACTTAGATATCAATCTAATGTCGGGGCAGGGCAATCTAACCTCATTCACAAATACCTTTAAAAGCGCTATGACAAAAATAAAACTATTTTTAGTGTACCAGTATGTACATGTAAATGGCTAAAAATCATCTGTGTGTACAGTATTAAAGATACAAGATATATAATGCACTATACACCTTTTTATGACATTTTTATTTTGCTGCCAGTAATTTTTGTTTTTGTTTTTGTTTTGTTAAGGTAGTTTACCACATCATGTTAATATGGCTATTTAATTGTACTTTTTCTTGTACATTGAATTGATAACAGTGCATTTTAATATGATATCAGTGTAACAAAAGTAACTTTTTGTTAATAGGGCTCTTCTTGAGTCTGCGAGTCTGCGAGAGCTCTTCAGAGCCAAAATCACCACCACCTTCGGCCTACTTATTGTGTGTTTATTGTTTTAGATTTACGGAATTTACTTCATTTATTTGTAAAGTTTAATTTGATGGTGATAGACTATTCTATAATCAAATTTACAAGTGTTTCTGATGTGAGGAGCAAAATTTAGCAAATTTGATTATTCACTGATCCTTACAGTAATACATGTACATGTATATCATAACTTATCATAGTTCTTTACAACATGTAACTTTTAAAGTACATGTAAACCCTTTAACATTTGTTAATAAGAAATTAATATCAACTTTATTGAACTCCATGTATATTTACTCTCCATTTCAACTTTGTTTTTCATTTTTCCACTTATATTCCCATCCTTTGTCTTAAATTCATTTTGCTATTAAAGATTATTAAACATTAATTTTTTTCAAACAGCAATACCCAAGTTCTCTCCAAGGATAGTAAACATATCGTCGCTGTTTTCACGAAGTGACGGTAGTGAAAAAAAATTGCATTCACTTTGCGTTACGATTTTCCTCACTACCATCACTTCGTGAAAATAGGGACGATATAATGTTCCATCAAAAGTCTTAAAGGCACAAACATCTCATATTCATGAAATTCTCTATGGACCGATCAGTTTTATCATGTTTCATTCGTGTATATATTTGATTTTCCAACTTTTCTAGGCTGAACAAGGAGTGATCCCTAGATTATGTGAGAGTCTTCTTGAAAGGGTGAGCAGCTATGAAGAGGATGTCACATTCAAAGTGGAAGTCAGGTAAGATTTATTTGATTTAAAATTATGTTATGCAGTTCTGTTTTACTAAATTAATTCTGAGCAGTTGTTGTTGTACTTAATTATTTAACCCATTGTTCAATGAATATTTTCAGTTACATTTAACCAACAGGTTCATGAAGGCAATGGTTTAATTGAGAAGAGAAAAGTTTGAAACTGAGCCCTGTTTCATAAAAGTTATCATCAATGACGACTATCACATTTCTATGACAGATCTGCCAATAGCCTATCAAATGTAATTATCTCAGTAGAAATAACAATTATTGTCACTATGTTATTGATAACAAATTTTTATGACACAGCCCAGATCCTTTCTGTTTGAAGGAGGTGCATGAATGTGCATACATAAAAGTTGATTATAGTTTTTTTTAAATTATCTATGTTGTAGACAATCATGTATTTAACTGGACATTGCAAGATGATATACATATACTTGTTGTTTTTGTAATTTAGCTTTAATTTTTTTTAAATATTTTTTTTAAGTGTTTGAAATATATACTACCCGGTATGCTCAAGATAGAAGCAAAACAAGTCTATGTATACAAAAGACATGGGCATACAGTCATACACTGCTAATGCTTCAACATCTGCATGAGATGTACCCAAAATGTCTTGCTCGTACGAAACTAATAAATATCTTTTCAAGTACGGTATCATCACTGCATAAAATAGTGTTATGGTTTCCCAGGTAGTAGGATGTGTGCGTATGAGTTAGTATTTTTATTGAAGTGGAAAAATGCACATATTTCATTGTTGCTGTCAAAGTACATCTGTAGGTGAGTGTAATCACATGCAAAATGTTCAGGTTTCCGATGATAATCATATTGTGATTTATTTCTCCCTCAGTTTCCTAGAGATCTACAACGAGAGGGTAAGAGATCTGCTGGCTCCCCCCAACAAGGCCAAGTACTCTCTCAAAGTCCGAGAGCACCCCAAAGATGGACCATATGTACAAGGTGAGATAATAAAATCCATTTAGGTAAAAATGCAGTGGCACGAAAAGACACATTCGGAACGCAAAACGATGTCATGGTTGATGGTTGTTTTTATCTGACTGCTAAGAAAGCATGTGTATGCCTGAAAGGAAACAACCAAGGGACTGACGGCTTTAAGGGTGCGTTCAATCGAATTTTCGAAGCTAGAATCACAAACATGAATCACAAATCAAAACGCCGTTACAAAAAACAAGGTCACTGCGGTTAGCGTTCAAGCGATTTTTCATCAACGCTGATTCTAGCTCATTTCGAGCCCAGCCACTGCGGATCACACTCGCAGTTTGACCCAGGAAGTATAGGTCAACTTCGGCGCGCGCTTTTTGGAATTGTTTAAAGCCGACTGTCGACTGCTGTTTTGAGCATAGATCGCAATAATAAAACAAAGAATGAGAAGGTGATGGAAGGAAGAAACAAAAAATAACATAAGGAAAGACAGAAAGAGAAAGTGATAGAATGATTGAAACAAAGAATAACATAAGAGACTGTGAGTGAATTAGGTAAAAAACAAAGAATAACATAAGAGAAGGTGATAGAAGGAAGAAACAAAGAATAACATAAGGAAAGACAGAAAGAGAAAGTGATAGAATGATAAAAACAAAGAATAACATAAGAAACTGTGATAGAAGGAAAAGAATAAAGATTAACATAAGAATAGAAGGAAGAAACAAAGAATAACATAACAAAAGACAGAAAGAGAAAGTAATAGAATTATAAAAATAAAGAATAACATAAGAGAAGGTGATAGAAGGAAAAAAACAAAGAATAACATAAGAATAGAAGGAAGAAACAAAGAATAACATAAGGAAAGACAGAAAGAGAAAGTGATAGAATGCTTAAAACAAAGAATTACATTAAAAAAAGCTGATAGAAGGAAAAAAAACAAAGATTAACATAATAGAAGGAAGGAACAAAGAATAACAAAAGAGAAAGTGATAGAATTATAAAAACAAAGAATAACATAAGAGAAGGTGATAGAAAGAAGAAACAAAGAATAAGGAAAGACAGAAAGAGAAAGTGATAGAATGATTAAAACAAAGAATAACATAAGAGACTGTGAGTGAAGGTAAAGAACAAAGAATAACATAAGGGAATGTGATAGAAGGAAGAAACAAAGAATAACATAAGGAAAGACAGAAAGAGAAAGTGATAGAATGATTAAAACAAAGAATAACATAAGAAACTGTGATAGAAGGAAAAGAATAAAGATTAACATAAGAATAGAAGGAAGAAACAAAGAATAACATAAGGAAAGACAGAAAGAGAAAGTGATAGAATTATAAAAATAAAGAATAACATAAGAGAAGGTGATAGAAGGAAAAAACAAAGAATAACATAAGAATAGAAGGAAGAAACAAAAAATAACATAAGGAAAGACAGAAAGAGAAAAAGAGGAAAACAAGGTATAACATAACGGAACATGCCATGATAAAGAGCATGGTATAGTAAACGCAAATTGCAAGAAAAGCAGGCGCGCGGTTTTTGCCCAAACCGGAACAGGCTCCGTCATACAATCATGATTGAGAACTCCGTCCGTTCAATCGAATTTTAGCGACCGTGATTCTGCAGAATCATGATACAAAACGCATCTTTTTCAGCGTTTCATGTTTGTGTTTTCAAACACGTTTATTTTTACGACCGACGAAAAAATCGCTTGAACGCATTGCGTTTTAAACTAAACGTCTTTAGAAACCGTGATTCTAGGGTGAAAAAGTGTCGATTAAACGCACCCTAAGACTGTCAAGTTTTTATTAAAGACCCAAAGTATCATATCAATCATGCAAATTGGATAAAAGAAGTCAATGATAACAAATAAAATGATGGTGTTAGGTAAATGCTCTCCAAGAAATGAATTTGCTGATAGTTTCATGCCATATCCATCTAATAAAAGTAAGACACCTTTTTTAAACCAGATAATGGATAATAATTTTGCTTTGAACTCTCCGATATGTTTGTCTTGCATTTTAAAGACCCATATCTGTGTACATTTCTATGCATTGACTTGATTGACTTTAAAAAAGTTTGGACGGTACATTGAGCACTGATGGCTGTTAAATGGAGTGATGAAAGTTAAATTGAGTGTAGGGGATTAGATTAGGTTTAGATTATAATTTGGAAACCAGGTGTTAAAAACATTGACCTTGAAATTACCCCATTTCATTTATCGCACGTTCATTTCATTCACTATGTAAAAAGAGGACCATGGAGTGTGGGGGGGGGGGGGGTTGTCCCTACAGGCTAGATGTTAGGGCACAAATGAATTGTTATTGTTCATGCATTCTTAGAAAGTCCTTTTAATCAATGGTTCTGTATTCAGTGAATACAATAGTTAGGGAATACCTGCAAGTACTTGGATATTGGAGGTCAATGCAAATGTCCTCTAGTAACATTTCTCAGCGTCTGCCTATCTGAAATGAGTGAGGCTCGTCTTTCCACCGTAGATGATCGGGTTTCTGCTCTAGCTGGAGAAATGTTTATGACCAAAACAAGCATGCCCTTCTCAGTGAGGATGGAGTACAGCTTAGTGAATGGAAAACTGAGACGAAGCAATAAGTTTCATGTGTCGTGCTTGATAAAGTAAAGCTCAACATGATCCTTTCTTCTGTTCTGAATTGATTAGTTGTAGAGGGGAAAGACCATTCTTATATTTTTTTTCCATCTGCTGATCGAGAACCAGAAGGGAATTAACTCAGTGTCTCTTACATAGATTTAATGCCCTTCTGGCTACTAGCAGAACATTTAGGGTCTCAATCTTCTGTAAACATTTAAACTATACAAAAGTAACAAGCAAAGCTTTTGGGGGACAATTTTTTATTTCTGAAGGAAACTTGTATAATTCCATTTAGGCCTACAATTTTGACTTTTTGTGTTTAATCTGCAAAATAAAAAAACTGTGAGGGAAAAAAATATGTAGAAAAATGACAGGTAATGTAATTAGTTTTAAATACAAACTTAGATACAGATGTGCTCATCAAACCTAGCTTATTAAAAAGCATTGTATGATTAACAGTATAGTGCAATGATTTTACTCATACTCTAGCTGACTACCGTAGCTCAAAACTCTTCTCCCCTTTTTTCCCAATTAGTGATGTATGGTGCCTGTTTACATTATCCAAAGCAAAGAAATATATGTTTAATATTTGACATGTGCCTGGAGATATTTAGTAAATGTAACAAGTTGTGATTTATTACAGTTTTGGAAATGAAAGTGCCAATTGCCCATTTTCAGGCCTCCTATATCTCTAAGGTGAATTTCTGATTGGCAGTGACCTCATATGAACTTTGGTATCAGTTGAGCATTTCATTTTTCCACATAGACGGAGTGTGGAGGTCATTATTACAATAGGCTAACACCTACAGACCCTATTGTTTTTATGAGTAGACGATTGTACAAAGTTTCACTCTGTGAAGCATATTCATGACATGATGTGTACAATTTAACCTTGGTAGGTTTTAAAAAAATATAGAAATGATGAATTTCAAATCTGTGTTTATATCTGTACATGTTAAGTATACAGTAAAACAAAATGATACCAATTTCATAACAAATACTTGATTTAGTTTATAGGATTTGAATGGGAAATTAATGGACATAATTATGGAGAGGTAAAGAAAGGACTGAAGAGAAGAAAGATGGGAAGCAAGGATATGAATGCTTGAAATGTATCTTGCATATGATGTAAAACCCTTGAAAGAAAAAAGGAAAAAGAATATATGAAATTAGAGAGAGAGAAAGCAGATTGAAGGGAAAAAATGTACAAGTATGACAAAGTGTGTGCATATAAACTCTGTTTTGGCCAACATAAGCGAACTGTAATGACCTGAAATTAGGTACTTAGCTGTAGGTCAATAACAACCCCAGGCATATATACATAATTGAATACTACATGTGTGTTGCATGTACTTCAAATTCATTATTTAGGATTTGGCTTTACAATATTGATTACTTTTAATGATTAATGTGGCATCCTTGTTCTATTACAATGTTTACCCAGCCATAACAACATAGATCTCTATCATGGGATGACATTTGGCTACAACAGACCTATACAACTACCGGTAGACATATATATAATTGAATATGACATGTGTACTGTATTGTATATACTTCAATATATCATGTAGGGATTGGCTTGCAATATTGATCAATTTCAATCATTAATGTGATATCCTGCATCTAACACAACGTTTGCCCACCCATAATATACATTGTTCATTATATTGTGGGATGACATTCAGCTTAAACAGATGTGCATGTCTTTATCTTAAAATAGACACAGACAGCTTGAAATATACTTGAAATATACATGATGGTACTTGCCTCCCATTGAGATGGAAGTTTGTTGACAAGTCAAGGATGATGTTAATGAAGGAATGCCAAACATTTTATGTGAGTCTGTTGAATGATCTTGTCATTACCAGCCATAAGTGTTTTGTTTTGGTGACATGTTGGTAAATTACACCAGGCTTTGAATGTTTCAACTCTGTCAGAGTTTGATTAACTGGACAATTTGAATAGATTTACCTGGATATTTATTTGAATTTGTATACTTTGTTCAATTTTTATTTGTGAAATTTAGGCTATTTTGAACACTGCTCCTTTTGACAATACATTATTAAAGAAATATGCAGTCAGTAGACATACATGTATTGTGCAGCTTAGTTGGTAAGATTGTTAGCCTTGAAAGTTGAAACATACAATGTAATGTATCAAGAGGAATGTATCAAGAGGAATCAGTACTGGGGCGAAATAGAATAACTGTTCACAGTCAGACTTCCATTATGAACACGAATGTGTCAAATTCATTATTTGATCCCTCAATGAACCCACCAGAAAAAAAAACTATTTTTATAATCCTTTTGAAATTATTTCTAAAAAGAATGAAACCGTGAATCTTCCACTTTTCAAAACACGACAGCTCAATGGTTGGAAGACGACTGAGGTGTGTTTAGACTAGACTATAACCTTGTATGTAACCTTTGTATGTAAGTGCTATTCCAGAGGGTCTATTCTTTGTCCATTCCTGTCACTTCGCAGCTAAGCCCTGTCTTAGGGCTCTATTTATTTTAGCACATCTGGGACTATGGAGAAATATGTCTCTACTAATGGAGGGATTCCAAACGCAGATTTCCATGAACTTCTTCCTCTTTGCGCTGTTCAGAGTTTTTGAAGTTGGTTGCTAGGGTATCTGTATTTGAGTCGTGCTGTTTGTACCTGGATGTTATTGAAATATTTAAAAGATTTATAAATTGTTTCATATTAACGTAATGATTAATATTGATTTGGGAAAAAATCAGATGGATTGAAAATTGAAAGTGACAGGTGATTGCAAGAGTTTATCGAAAAGTGTTTGAGGCTTACTTGCACTTAGCAGGAAATGATAATGTCGCTTTTGTAAACTGTTGAAAATGTACAAAGAGATGATGATATGTGTATTGATAAGGTACAATGTACATGTATATCTCCAAAGGAGCTTCCTCTTATCTTCTTAGCATGGGGATGTTGATATGAAGAAGTTATCTTCTGCTGTTAGGAGCCAGAAGATTTCAACACCCTTCTCGCTCCAAGCGCGTAGCCAGGATTTCATTTTAGGGGGGGCGGTAGTGAGCACGCAAAGCGTGCGAATCACTTAAAGAGCGCGCAAAGCGCGCTCCCTAGGGGGGTGGGTGCAGGGAGGGGGGAGTTTCCCCCCTCCCGCGCAAAGCGCGGAAGCTTTGAAAGAAGACGATTCGTTGTACCTTTCTCGACTCATAATCCTTGTCTGAATTCAGTCCCTCCCCTCTCTCGCGCGAAGCTTTGACGTTTCATTAAATTATTAGAGAAAGAAGACGATTCGTTGTACCTCTCTCGACTCTTAATCCTTATCTGTATTCAGTCCCTCCCCTCTCTCACGCGGAGCTTTGATGTTTCATTAAATTATTAGAGAAAGAAGACGATTCGTTGTACCTTTCTCGACTCTTAATCCTTGTCTGAATTCTGTTCCCCCCCCCTCTCGCGCGAAGCTTTGACGTTTCATTGTACCGTTCTCGACTCCTTTTCCCTTTTTCTTCCTACGTCCTCTTTCTTTTTTTTTCTTCTCTTTCTCTCTCTTTTTTTTTTTGGCCGGCGTTTTGGGGGGGGGGGGGGCGACTGCCCCCACCGCCCCCCCTGGCTACGCGCCTGTCTGGCTCTAGGCAGATGTGTTTAGTTTGAGTACCATAACCCTGTGTTCTTGCCACTCATGAAGTACAAGGCATTGTATCTGAAGTTTACTCTCTCAACCCAGGTGGATCAATTAGTCTCTAGTATGATGTAAAATCTGTAAAAACTTTAAAACACCATGAATTTCTTGCAGAATAGCCTTCTCCCTTATTCTACTTTATGTTCTTCAATTCTGCAGGAAATTCTGTTTTTTAACTCTTGATGAGCAAGATTGAATAATGAGAATATCTTACATGTTCCATATGTTATCAAGTATCATGTAGTAATGAACATAATTAATATCAAGAGTATGTTTTTTCTTCTACATTTGGTTTGATCCAAGCTGTAGTAGGGATATCACATGAATTCTCTAAATTCAATCAGATATATTAAAATGTTGATGTTGTTTATAATTGTAACATATGGGACAAAATACATGGACATGCCCTAATAAGCAATAAAAACCATCATTCTTCTTGTTTTTTCATCAAACTGCATCAAATTTCCTCCTCCTTCCACAGATCTGTCCCATCATCTGGTGTCGGACTATGAGCAGGTGCTGTCACTGATGCATGATGGGAATCTTCAGCGGACCACAGCGGCTACCCACATGCATGAGCTGAGCAGTCGGTCTCACGCTATCTTCACCATCACATTCATCCAGGTTCGTTACCCTTACCGAAAATGCAGGCTTATTTAGCCTGCTTTGAACCTGCGTCTGGCCTGCATTCTTAAATACATGCTAATTATTCTTTTGCATGTTAAATTTTAGCCTGTATTTTGCAAAATCAGTCTTACATGTTTTAGCAGGTTAAATTTTAGCCTGCATTTTGCAAAATCAGTCTTACATGTTTTAGCAGGTTAAATTTTAGCCTGTTATTAGCATGCATTTTGCAAAACACAGTCTTACAGTTTAAGCAGGCTAAATCTCAGCCTGCAGTTTAAAATTAGCATGCGTTTTGAAAAATACAGTTTTAGCAGGTTAAATCTTTAGCATGCCAGATGAGATGCAGTTTAATCTTTAGCATGTAAATTTCTATCATAATTTGTTAAACCTGCAATCTGAAGAAATGTCCTCTGAGCAGGTTTATAACACAAATTTAACCTGTTATTGCTTTTTACATGTAGCCTGCAGGTTATTTTTCACATGCACGTTTAATGTTATATATCAGGTGTGATTTGAGAGTTTAAACAAAAATAGGTTCATAGAAAGCCGAGCAAGCGAGGTTTCGAGCGCTTGGGGAGGCATCCCAAGACAAAAATCCAATTGAAACCAATTGAACACCAATTTAATTTTCATTTTTTCAATTGGTATTTAATAGGACTTCAGTTGGTTTCAATTGGTCAAGTTTGGCCCTATTGGACCAATTGGCCTAGGCCCCATTAGACTTTAATGGGAACTCAATTAGTTTCAATTGGACCAATTGGCCCTATTTTGGACTTCAGTTGGTCCAATTCAGTTTCAATTTCAGTTTATTTTCATATTTCACATGTTTATTTTATTACATTTGGCATGTTACATTTTTTGTAATTATTTTTTTTGGGGGGATGCATTTATACAAACAAACAGAATAATACATAAGACTAAGTTAAATAAAGGAAGAAATATGATGGAGCCTAAAGAGAGAGCAATGCTTTTAGGTCGTAGTTATAACATTGATATAGTCTTGTGTTTATTAGATACATGTATCATAATTGGATTAAATTGCAACTTATATGAAGAAAAGATATATTTGAAACCAATTGAAAACCTTACAGTCTATGGGGCTGATTGGTCCAATTGAAGTCCCATTTAAGTCTTATTGGGGCCAATTGGTCCAATTGAAACCATTTGAAATATCTAATGGGGCCAATTGGTCCAAATGAAACCAATTGAAATCTCGATTAGAGTCAAATGGGGCCAATTAATTGGTCCAATTGAAACCAATAAGACCAATAGATCTACCAATAGGAACAATAGGACCAATATAAACCAATAAGACTAATTGAACCCAATGGGACCAATAGAAACCAATAGAAACCTTCATTTATGTTAGCCTGCCTTTTCGATTAGCATGCTAAAATTAACCTGCAATACGTATCTCATGAATATTCATTATTACTTTACACGTCTCACAGAAAAATACATTTATCATGATTAATTGTTAAGCAACTTATGACAATTAATGCACATATCAATTTTGTGATTGTATTTTTCTTTGGCAATTATTGACCAATAGATTATTTGTCTGATCACACTTACATTCATGTTTTAGCAATAGATATATTGATTATACGATTACTAACCAATTTAAATAGCATGTATATTTTCTATATATACGTGTATGAGCCTGTACTTTTTTAAAGTCAATCTTGAATTAACTTCAAATGATCTTTGTGATGGAGTTAGTCTAATGCAATTGAGATTAGAATATTCCTATTGGTGGACACTTGCAAATATTGATTATGATATATCAATTTATCCCCCGTTCCTCTATCCGAGTCGATATACCAATAGAAGTCTTGTACTGATAATGATGGCAATCAAATATCTTTAATTTTGTTAGCCTGCATTTTAGATTAGCATGCTAAAATTAACCTGCATAACTTACATATTTCAGCGTTTTTGCAGGCTAACAAAGCAGGTTAATTTTGCATACTAAAAAAGCAGGGCAATTTTGCAGGCTAATTGAGCAGGTTAAAATGATTTTGCAGGCTAAAATAAGCCTGCTTTTAAAATGTACAGGCTAAATTAAGCCTGCCTAATTTGCATATTTCGGCGTTTTTGCAGGTCAGTGCTTGCTAAGGAATTAGCCTGCTTTTTAGCAGCTATGCAGGCTTGATGCAGGCTATAAGCAGGCCTGCGTTTTCGGTAAGGGTATACTTGAACGAAAAGCATTAATTAACCTTTAAATGTTGTTTTTATGTTAGTAAAGGAAGAATAATGAATCATTTAAACAATGCATTATGGAAAAGAACAGAAGTACAAGACTGAGTCATGACAAATTGTTTACGGAGAATGTCTGTTAAATCCTTAAGAACTCATGAATCATGAATTAATGAAGAATTAGTGCTGAACTTTTCTTGAGGTTGTTATCAAGGATGGAAAGGGCATTGCTTCTATAAACTCTTGTTTGCTATTGCTTTTTCCTTGAAACATATTTATATATGAGATATGTCAAAATGCAACTCCATGATCCTAATTGAATTTGTACTTGTTTAATCACTATATTAGTATAATTGGTGCAATACACATGGAAGGTCACTTTCACCATGATCACAGGCAAAATCATGCCTAAAATTCAAGTGTTGCTTGCAAAAGATTTTTTTTATTTCCAAAAAAAAATATATTTAAAAAAATGTGTTTCTATATTAAGCAGTAGTTGAAGATTACATTTTATTGGAATGCAAGTAGAAAATATTTCATTTATATTGCCTTTTAACCATTTTTGTGAAAACTAAATAATTTTAATCATCAGTGACATTAATTCTAACTTCTATGCTTTATACTGTTCATGAGTATGTGGATATACTACTTGAAATTATTAATGAGAATAGTGCAAGCAAGAATGACATTACGAAGCTGATTGTCTCCCTCAGTGGCCTCAAATTACTTGTCCGATCGAGGGTATAAGACAGCGGGTCTTTTGATATTGGTTTATTAATGGAAGCAGTATCCGAGAGGATAAATGAAGGGCAATATGGGCATGAATAATGAGACAAATTTCACCGTCCATTTTCCATGACGTTGTTTCTTATTTTTAGGATATGACGTCGTGCGTGAGTGAGTCAGGTTAATTAATCCTGAGAAAAATTGTTGGTGCTTGTTTAAAAAGATCCTCCGAGATATGAAATAGGCCTTTCCAATTTGTATCAGTGATGGCAAATGACATCAGACATGTTATCCAATTTGTATCTCTTCGCATTTAAAAAGTCTTAAAAGTCTTTATGAGAAATTTCTTCTTTAACAAGTGCCTTTACTTTAATTTTGTAATCCCCCAACATATGGATTAACTTCCATGTAATGCAGCTTTATACCACTCACATATATGAATGAAAGGGGTTGAAATTGCAAATCTTATTTATCACAAAGTTCCTGCGAATCATGCAAATCACTCTGGTATACCGGTAAATGGATTGTAAAATAATGCCATTAAAACAAGATAAGACACTACAAAACCTTTAACTTGTGTGGCCTTTTAGTAAAGCATCTTATAACAAGATTTAATGTTACACAAGATTTCTTGTTGAGTCCATCTCCTTCTTCATACATTGCCTATTTAGAGCCAGAAGGACGTTGACTCTGTGTTAAAGCATACAAGTGAATGCCTTTCTGACTCCAACAGATGAATAATGAACCATGACTGTGAGCCTTCACATGAATGATCATGATCGACAGTAACATGTGGACCCTAGCTTGCCTAAGGTTCTCCTTCATTGGTGTCCAATATCTTGGGTGTACATCCGTAGTTGAGCATTTAACATTAAAGTCACCTAACCAATCTATTGACGTCATACAAAAATGTGTAATAAATCAAAATATTACAGTGACATAAATCCTTCCACATTTTATTTTGGTTGAGCCTCATAACCAACATCCAGCAACAGAAGTTTTCTAAAATATCAATTTGGGAATTGATTTTGTGTGGCCTTGCTTACATTTCTGTGCGTTGCAAAGCGTGTCAATGGTACATGATACATAAGGTTTCTTTGGTCTATCTTTCAGTTATTATCTGGTAGGAATTGTGTAATTTTAATATTAAATACTCTTAGTCTGTATGTTTTGGCCTGAATCCTACCATATAATTTGTTTTTCTTTGTATGATTTTGTTTGTTTTAGGCCAAGATGTCCCATGGGATGCCAAGTGAGATCGTGAGTAAGATCAACCTGGTGGACTTGGCTGGCAGGTAAGAATGTCACATCAAACATGTATCAATGTTCGAAGCTAGAAGGGTCTTAACTTTATGTAAAAGTATATGAATTAACACCCTTTTGGCTTTCAACATCTAATATCAATATTGGGGACGCTGCTAAACTGACCCCAAACTGACATTTGACCATTCTGACCATTTGGGGTTATGACACTTTGGTTTGGTCTGCTGTTAGACATGTTGAACATTGAACCATAAAATATGAAAGGTGTTAATGCATAATGCATAATGCATTGTGGTAGGGACTTGCGGACTTGACACCTAAAAGGATGTACCTCAAGCTATTAAGTATGAATGAAACTCATGCATGGAAGAGCATGATCATACTCCCGTGAATGGAGAGGTAGTCTAGCATGAAGTGAATGAAGAAGGGTGATTAAATGAGGTAACCACATAATGATCATGGTAGATGGCCCTATCATATTTATAGGGATGTACATGTATAGTTCATGTTAAAGGTGCTTTTTTTCATTTTGAATATAATCATGCAAAATCAGCAAATCCCTCTGGGTAGCAATTTGTCCAAATCAGCAGACATTGAGTCAAATAGTTCAAGTTTAAATGAAAATTGATGATACTTATATAATCATTTATCCATTATTTTGGATCATTAGCCCGTATTCTACTTCAGGGGAAGATTTTCAAAATTGTGGGGAAAAAACTTGTATGGAAAATAGAGTACACCTGTAAATCACTTTAAAAAAAAATAAAACTAGATGTTCGGAGGCAACTGTATAATTTTGTTTTGTTCAGACAAAAACCAAGACCGAGGCATTCAGTTTGTGACTTCAGAGATCTTACTTTACTCAGTTCATTAGGTAACAGACATGTGAAAATATAGCCTCAAGAAACTAGCTGGCCATATCTCTGCCTGCTCATCTATTTTAAAAGCATTTCCTTTGATGAATACCTCTGTTCATTGTCATACAATGCTGCCTGAATAAATACTGACAAATGAAGTCGGTCAAAAAAGTATTCTTTTCAATGCCATGCAATATTATTGTAGAAACTGAATGCATTAAGAAATTGAGGTTGTTCTTTTTTTTTTTTTTTTTTCTGTTCATATAACCTTGTATGCATTTTCTTTCTGTTTGTGTAAGATGAATACATGTGTGTTTTCTGCAGTTTGTATATTGAACAAATAAGGATGTAACATGTGTAGAGTCTCTGATATAGTTGTGATTGCTTCAGAATGGGAATTATAGTACATGTGTATTAAGCTTGAAGCATGCCCAATACTCTAATGTTAACTTGATAAAAGGTTGAAATTGATTTGGGATTTAGAAATGAGGGTATGTAATTAGGCCATCACATGATTGGAATTATTGTTTAAATTATTTCATGTTACATTGGCGAAATGGCTTGGGGGACGTCATATTTGATTGATTAGGTATGTGGGTGTCCCTCTCATTTCTTATTCTTCCTCTTTCTTGCTTTATCTTTTGCTGTTTCTTTTTCATTCCTTTTGTACCTCTTTGGGTTCTTCTCTCTCTCTCCCCCTTTTTTTAATTTGTCTGTCTGTATCTGTCTGTCTCTCGCTCTGTCTCTGTCTCTCTCTCTCTGTATGTCTTTCGTCTCTCCCTTTCACTCTCTCTTTATATATCATAGAATCTGTCTCATTTTCTCCATCTCTCCTCAGTTCCCTGTCTCTCTCCTATGCTCCTCATCCCCCCATGCCTCCTTCTTTCAGCCTTCTATCTTTTTTTTCTTCATTTCTCTCTTTCTATTTACATTTGCTTTTCTTTTTTTGCAACTCTTTCTTCTCTTTTGGGTCTATATTGCTTTTGTTTCTGAATTGCTGTTAGTTTATTGGTTTCTGTCTCTAGTTCTATTCTCTCACCATTTTCTGTCTTTCTCTAAACTCTTTTCCTGTGTTTCTATATCCATCTTTCCTCCTTCTTTTATATATTCATGTCTCTGTTTTCTCTCTGTCCACTTAATTTTATAACTTTTCTCTCTCTTCTCTCTCTCTCTCCTCCTCTCCCTCTGTCTTCTTTCCCTTCTCCTCACATATCCAGATTCATGTGCTTTTTATTATATTATAGTATCATGCATACACCAATTTCAATGTTGACATAATCCAGAAATGAGCCCTGTTTTAATCCTCTAATGAGTTCCATCGATCATCATTTAATGACTGATTAAAGATGATACCATGATTTTTGTTTTGTTAAAGTGTCTCAATTTGGTACATGTTTAAAGATGAAAGATTTATACAGACTGCATGGCAAATGAAACATGATCATTTTAATCCAATTCCCACCAAGGTTTTGTTTGTGGACATTGCTCTTCACATTATAGGCACCGAAAGTAGTACGTAATTGTCATAAAACACTTAATGATTAAAATGCTTCCAAGTTACCATGGATACCATCTATAAATTACTCGTTTTATACTTAATAAAAATCTGCTTCTTGAGTGTGCATTTGTAAAGTTACTCATTATTTCCTCTCTGTTTTTTAATTCCCTTTTTAGTACCATATCTTCTTGCCTCTACTCAGAAAACAGCAATATCTAATAATCTTTTGAAATGATGACTATGCCCCATTATGTGTTTACTCAATCTCTCTTCCATTTCTTCCAACTCTTTCAGCGAACGGGCATCGATCAACTCTAGCAAAGACAGATTGCAAGAGGGCGCTAATATCAACAAATCGCTGGTAACCCTGGGCAACTGTATACAAGCGCTAGGTAGGTATAAAACGTGGCTATTATTGGCAAAAAGGTCAATATTTGTTGTGGAACTGTAGATTATTAAACCAAGTGGTCAAAATGCCTTTTTATCTCTTTTACCCTTTTTTTTTGAGATCAAGATAAAGAGAGATGGATGGTTTCTGTAGATATTAATTTCATTGTATAGCTTAAAAGTTGGATGAATAAATTGTTTATTGAATGGTATCGTAGGTTTCACTTATTGGCAACATACTTAGTATTTTTTTTAAATTCATTTTGAAAATGGAAGGGGAAAATATATAGGCAGTTATGCACATACTGTCCTTATCGTCCTTTTTATTTTGTTAAAGCAATCAGTTAATTACCCACAACTTCCACAAACTTATACTGTAAAAAAAATCCTGGAGTAATTATTTTTACACCGTCTATCAGTAACCACGTTTAATTTGATCTCTTGTATTTAAATACTAGATGATTTTTTATTTTATTTATCTGGCTTTAAAAAAGAAAGTTATAGTGGGAGCTTGATTTTGTGTTTTTTAACAAAGTAGTAAACTACAGTTTTTCTCACCTTATGCAGCCACTGAGGCATAACATAATGAACTTTCGAGTGGTTTAACATCAATAATTAATTGCTCCAAAGAAACAAAAGATAAGCAGATAGTCCTTTGTTAAGATGATATCACTGGAACTGTAAAAACAAACATAGTTTCAATTGTAGTTTCAAATGAATTTCTACAACAAACATTACACTCTGCTGAGCAAAAGACAATCACATTGAAAATTGGCGGGAAATTCACTTATTCATTAGGTATTTTCTCAAAGTACTCATGCATTACAGGTATTCAATTGTTTGCCTCTAAATATGTAGGTAGAATTGGTTACATCGGCTATTATTATCTGACAGATCCTAAGCCAGTGTTACAGTGTGTGGTTGTGGGTAGTTTTATTTCAGTGTTCTTCAAACAAGTAGCAAAATAGGGCAAACTACTTCAAATAGTACCGGTATCTAATTTATTGAAATAAAATGAAATGAACAAATGGAAGCTTTTTAAAAGAAAAAAAACCCTGTATTTCAATGTTTGGTAAAGCTACTACCCCAGTGAACATCTCAGGAAGCCTAGCAAATTTAATTTTAGTATTAATAATAATAGAGGTGTCTTGGTTAAGTGGTGTCTTGGTTAAGTGGATATGTCACTGGACTGTGGATTACCAGATCCGCGGTTCAAGTGCCGCCGCGGCACTAATGTCCTTTGGCAAGACATTTATCTACATTTGCCACACTCGACATAAGTGATGTAAATAGGTACCTGGCAGAAATGAATTCCTTAAAATGCAAGAGCGCCATAATGGCAGCCAAGCTAAAGTCGGGGTTATACTGTGGAGTGCCAGGAGTGTCAAGTCTGACAGATATGAGCGCTATACAAGAACCCACTATTATTATGTGACATATATTTTGGCTTCTAGCTTTTCTAAATGGTATGTTTGGAGCGGATAGGGCGTTATTAAACTTGTATACTTTAACTTAGAGTTCAATAACGCCTTTCTGGCTCTTAGTGGACTATATTTTCGTAAATCTAAACCAGACTTATAAATAATTTTCCCTGCAGGACCCCAAACGGATCTTTCTAAGTCTCTCCCAGAGACTTGGTTGACTGCTAGGCAAAAAAAGAGAGGTACATCTGTATTCTTGCATACAGGCAAACATATTACTCTCATCATCATCATTTTTATATACCTCCCTCTCCCCCTCCTCTCTTTGTAACCGAAATTTCATCTTTGTGGTCAACTCAGCCAGTCTCATCACATCCAACTATATTTCAACTCTATAGTTATAGCTAAATGTACTATTTTGTTTCTTTCTTAAACCAGACCTATAGAGATAATGAGTACAGTTATTGCAGGTTGTGTGTTGTGGATGATTGGGAAGACAACTTCCAAAATGTTGTTGTGCCCTCCAAACAATCCTAGATCTGCCAATGTATGTGTACTTTTAGTGCACTGTATGCATATTTGAATGAAATTAATTTTTTGCATTTTCAAATCTTTAGGTCATATAAACATTGGTGGAAGTTTGAGGGTAGGTCCTGGCTAGGTATTTGATCTATTACTGTTTCATACTACATGTACCACAAATGAAGAAAAATAAGCAATCTTGATCATAAAGAGTGTCATTTTCCGTGGTCTGATTCAAACTGTAATAGAGCTATGAACTTGACAGAATCTTCGGTTACACAAAAAATCAATTATTTTGGAAACATATGGAAGAAACTAATTTGGAATTGCCCTTATTTCATTTATTCAGGAAAGATCTTTATGTCTGGTTTGGGAATCCTATAACTTTTTGTAAGAAGGCTATACCATATAGATTTCATTCTTTTCTTGGATCCTTTGGATGACTTTTGAATGGATATAGATCATTTCAATTACTTGTATGCAGTGTTTTTTTATTATGCAAGTCTGATAGATGCATTGACAGCTTTCTTGCAGTAAATTGATAAACAAACTCTTCATGTTCCAGCTTTTCATGATATCATATTTTTGTCTATGTACACTGTTTATGTATACAACAGGAGAAGAAATACTAGATTCTGGTAAGATTTCTCCAGCAATTGTCTTCTTTTGTTCCATTATGATTTCACCATTCAAGCTTCTACTACAAAGACTATAGATCACACAGATGCAAGTGGAAAGCAAGCAACTTGTTAGATAATTTACATTTATGTTTTAGTGCTCAAACTCATTCTGGTACTGTACATGTTATTGTACAGTAGCTCTTCGTCTTGCGTATGAAAAACAAACAAAATCAGAGCTTTAATTAAATTAGACAAAATTTTGTATATGTCCAACTCAACTTCTTTGTTGAGTTGCACAATGCATTTTCAATTTGATTTATACTCTTTCTTTAAATCCTCTTTGCAAAATAATTGTGCACTGATTTGTTCTATTCTCTTAAACTTTGCAGAAATCAAGTTGATGGCAAAGTCCCAGTCATTTGCATCTGTGTGTGATTTGGTCTAACAGCTTAACAAGAAATCATGACTTTTCTGCCTTTTGACTTCATATTAAAAAAAGTGTATTCACACTGCACAACATTTTGTTGCATGACAACTTTCTGGTTTGTACACAGCTCCAAACTACCGAAGCACATGAAATGATATTTGCATATATAATCTGATCACATATACGAATATATTCCAAGCACTTTGAGTGAAATAAACAAATATGTATATTCCAAACATATTGGAATCAAATGTACAAATATGTATATTCAAAATATATTGGAATTTAATGTACAAATATGAATATAATATAAATATTCCAAACATACTGGAATCAAATGTACAAATACTTTTATTCAAAACACTTTGGAATGAAATATACAAATATGTATATTCCAAATATATTGGAATGAAATATACAAATCCTTATGTTCCCTATATATTCCAAATCAAATAAGAATGAAATAGAGAAAATTTATATGTATTTTTCGAAGCATATTGGAATGAAATATACAAACAATTTCCAAGCACATTACAGTGTAGTGTACTCCAATGGCTGCACACTGAATGAAAAGTATAGATATGTATTTCGTGCTGTGTACTGCACCAAGATAAAGCTCACAACTACTTGTTGGCGTGGTGATGATCAAAAAGCATCCTTGTGATAGGTGTGTTCATTGTGTACAAAGACTGAATCTTACTGAGTTTTTTTTTTACCCAATCAATTCATGTGATCCAAAAGAGAAAAAAAATGGATCTATTTTTCCCATTTAATATTTTTTTATTGGTGATTATGATAAAGATGCATTTACTGCAAAACCAGAAACTCTTGCAAAATGAAATTTTCACAAATTTGTAATGACAGTTGTTTTCTAGACAAGAAACTGTCATGTAATACAAAAACTCATAGTGATTCAATCCTTGAGTGTCATGAAACATTCCTGAATTTTAACCATTCTTGAATTTGCAAGGGTTTTTAGTTTACATTACCCTACCAAAATTTGTGTTTTTTTATCAACAATGTGGATTATTTTTGTCAGTAATCATGCAGAACACACCTTCCTCAAGCTGCCACAGAACTTACGTTCTTGATTTGCTCTTTAAACTCTCCTATCTTTCTGTCCATTGATATTGTTTGATCTAATTGTTATCTTGTGTTTTAAAATCTCACAATCTATTCATCATGCTCAGAGATGCAGTGGCATTGATTTGAATTCTTTTCTGATTGCCTTCAAACTTCACACTTGACTTGTATGAAATATTTCAAAGATACATATACATGTATATTCAGGAACTACTACTTATAGCAAAGTTTTCCAGAATTTGTAATGTATTAAATAGGAATCGTTCTGTATTTTTGTGTACTACTAGAGGAGCAAGTTTTTAACAAGAGTACACAATCTTCCTTTGAATAGTAGATATTACAAAGCAGAGACTTAGATGGCCTTCATATTTGTTTTCAAAGATTTGATTTAAGGGGTTTATATCATTTTCAGAATTGAAAAAAATAATGCCCATGCATGCCACTCTGAGGCTTTCATATTTGAAGGGGAAAAAATGGGGTTTGATAGTTTTTGCCAGAACCAAACTTTATTTGATTTCAGAAATTAATTTGAAAAACTCTCTTCTATTTTTTTTTTTTACTAAAAGAGAGATGCTTATAATCGTCAAAGTATTCCTGGCTATTAGGTGTTTTGTTTTTTCCTTGTTGTATTTTGAATTTCAAATCAATGCTACTTTCTATCATCTTTAATATTTGTATTTTTTTTATAATATTTTATTTCATTCTTTCTGAGTTTGATTACCATGATGCTTCTTGTTTCTTTTGATGTAAATTGATGTGCAGCTTCAACAAAAGATTGAATTTCAGTCTTCAGAGTTCTCATCATCAACTGACTACTTTTTAATATGGTTGTTAAACATGGTTGGAATCATTTTGATGAACATCTAAACAAAGATTTCATAATCTGATCACATTTTCTGGGGGCGATTCATTGAGGATTTGGAATTACTTTAAAAAGTATCCTAAATTTTTTTTTTTTTAAATGATTGCAACCGTGTTTTTATAATGCTGAGAGATAGGTATATATGTAGGGGCATTATGTACAAGGAAAATGCCCTCTTGGCGGGCTCTCGATAGATAACTTTATTTATAAGTTTGATACTTTACTGGATAACAAACATGTATATCTTAATTGTTCATGCCCTCTTAATATTTTTTTATACAATTAACATTTGATAAATAACAATAAATGTTGACCCCTAATCAATATTGAATTATAATGATATATAGAGAGAATACAATATATGCCTTATGATATTTGATTGACTAACCACTCAGTTATCCCTCCTGATGTGTGATTGAATGTCAATATTTAATCTTGACAATATTCAGAGTATACCACCTTTATATACAAGACAATCCCATATAACAACTAATTCATATTTTTATGAAATTCAATAAGGTTGTATGAGCTCTAGAAAATTATTCTGTGTTAATAATTTAATATATAATGAGTTATTTTAAATCTGTGTTTAACTGGAGATTTTTTAAATGTTGACACCGAAAACTTTGTATTAGACTTCAATATCATTTTTTTAAATTGTGATAGGAGATTTAGCAGTGAAAAATGTGTTGTCGCTCACAAGATTCTGTGCGTTTTAATTTTTCTTCTTACATTATCATTAATCATGTGGTTTGTTTGTATTAATGATTTTTTTTTACCTCCACTTGGATTCATGAGTGTTGCTTTTGCTGTCAAATTTTGGGTGTTTCAGGTGATGGGTTCTTGTTTGTTTTTGCTTCAGATCAACATTCAAGAACAAATAAAGATGTGCAATTGTTTTCTTATGCAGATATACACAATGCACATACCGGTAACTGTAATATTGATATTATACAATGTGTATGTTCACTTTTCTACATAACGATTTTAAAGTAACAACTTTTTGAGGCACTCAGTACTGCTGGTTATTGTAAGCTTTTTGTCATTCTTGAAGATTAATTCAGGCTCTTTCTGTGTCGAATGAAGGAAAAATATGAATGAGGTATTCATTTTTTTAATCAATATAAGTGAAATAAACTAGGATTATAGATCAATGGTCCGTATTCAATTTTTTTTTCATAGAGTCATCAGAGATTTTCTTTATTGTGTGCGTCTTACCAAAAGACGTTAAAAGATGGGAGTTGTTGCTAACTTGTTTGGCGTTCAACAATAAGGGATAGAGCAACGTCGATCTGGCGCTGCTCAGTGGCTGCCGGGCTCACGATCAATTGGGCAAAAAGAATTTCCGTTTCGGTTTAATAAAATTTGGAGTGGACTTTAAAAGATTATTATTATTATATAAATAAAGCTTAAAAGAAGTGCAGCGTGGAATCAATATGAATATTTCAAGTCCATTAAGTAACTCTAAATCTTGTTTGTACCAATGCAGCTGCTGCCAGCTCCCTCACGGCTGCCAGTATGGAGAGCCTGTCCATGAGCGAAGACTGGGACGCCCTCTCAGGTCCACGACGCAGGACTAACTACGTGCCTTACCGCAACTCCATCCTTACTTGGCTCCTCAAGGACAGTCTGGGAGGAAACTCGAAGACCATCATGATTGCAAGTGAGTTTGTATGTTTGTTGGTCTTTCTGTCTTCTATCAGTATGTTTTTTTTGGGAAATTCCAAAACTATCATGATTGGAAGTGAGTTTGCTTGTCTTTACGTTTGTTGGGCTCTCTGTCTTTCTTTCTGTCTGTCTCATAATTTGTTTGTTTGTTCATTTGCCCCTTCTTCGTTCTGTCTATTTGTAAGTAATTTCTTTAAAAAAACTGACAGTGCAGTAAAGCCTCAATCACCCAGAGGCAATCAGTTCTAGCTTCTTTGTTGGTGTTTCTGTTTTTCTATCAGTATGTCTTGGGGAAATTCTAAGACTATCATGATTGCAAGTGAGTTTGCTTGTCTTTATGTTTGTAAGGATGTCCGTCTTTTCATCTCCATTTCTGTCAATGTAATTCATTATTTTTCTTGAATATCAGTACAGCCACAGTCATACTGTGGCAATCTTTTTGTGTGAACCCCAAATATGTTGTGTCATGTATCCTACTTGTAGAAACTAAGACCAGAACATCAATGATCTATGTATGTGTGTATTTGTTTTTGGAATTGCAGTTTATCCTTTGTTTTACTTTTGTGTCAGTTTAAATGACTTTCTATTTCTAACTAGCTTAATATTGCATCTTTTTTACACCTTTCAAAGCTTGGGGATGAAATTTCTTCCAAATATTACAGGGTTTTAATGGGATTCAAATGTGTATTGACATTTGTTTTCTTATTTTTGTTCTTCTCATTTCTTACTCATTTGAGGAAACAAATAGCACTCTTCAACAATTTTTTGTTTGTTGAAAACATCTAGATATTGATTAAAAGCTTAGACATGTCACATGTATTTTGAATGTTCTGAAAGTATGTTGACTTAAAACATACAATCGTATTCATATTTGTTTTCACATGAATTACGAAGAGATCACCTGAAAAATATATATTTATGTCTTGAGTGTTAGTAATGGCCTTATACCCCAATAACTCAGTATCCCCTCTATTTGCTCAAGTCATTCAATCAAACACAATTTCAACCACCATCTCATTCATAAGAGAAGAAAGCATGACTTAGGAGAGGACAAATCCTCCGCTAATTGCCCTTTTAAAGCGGCGGACAAAGGCTTTTCAATTTGCAGGGTCTCTTTTGGGTTATGGGACAATGCTAGGAACATGACACCTGTATAACGCCGCTTATTTGTTGTGCGTGTTCAAAGAGCCATTAGCATCTTAGGACATGTGTTGCCTGTGTGTTAGAAAGGAGTGTTCATTTGTACCTATGAATGTGCACTCTCATTGTTGTGATGGTGGAAGATTGAGTCTAATTTGGTGATAAATACAGTGATCTTACAGTTTGTGATGGCAACGGCGTGTTCGTGACGACTCAGTGGGGGTAAATTATGTGATTGGTTCGGTAGAGTAGACTCATGTTTTTGTGTAATGCGAGTGGCATACCAATTTGGGAATGTGTTCAATTTCAAATGAACAATAGTGTAAGATGTCACAGCTATGGTTGCGTCTGGATGTATTCTTGCAAATTTTGGATGTGTTTTGATTCAGAGATTTGCAGTCATTGACTCTAAACCTCTAGATTTTGATAAAATAATTTATAACAATTTTGTACAAATGTTTTGAATAATGTATCCAGTTGATATCCAATAACAACATGTCTGCTTTTAGAACACAACATTGTTTAGTAGTCAAACACAAGGGATATTCTTTACCTCATAATGTCTTTTTCTTTGTGATAAACCCATTTTTCATGCTTTCATGGAGCATATATGACATCAAATTTAAACTTTGAAATCTTGTGTATTGTACTGGAGAGAAAATGTACATTTTAACATCTTGAGGGTCCCATTAAATCAGAAAAGTTCAGGTCTAAAATACAATATTTGAAGTTGCTGTTTGCAAAATTTCCCTTGGGTATTAGATATTTACGATTGCACTTATTGTTGTTGGCTGATGTTTTATGTTGTTAATAGAATGTCAAATGTTATCAGTTATTTTTAATTTTTTTAAACAAGTAAAGGTCATTGTCAAAATTGTAACATTATACTTAGATCCATTTAAACCACCCGTGGAGTTTTTTTTAATGATGCAATGTACATGTACCATAAATTTCCTTTAGAATGTGTTTATACATTCTTTCATTCTTTCCCGTTCCAGCAATCTCGCCAGCTTCCATTCATTATAACGAAACAATGAGCACATTGAGATATGCAAGACGAGCAAAGCACATAATCAATCAACCCATTGTGAATGAGGTAAGTTAAAATTATTGGATTTATCTTTATTCACATTTGATAATAATATTATCATGACAATGTAACCTTTTTCGAGACGTGTATGTGTATTATTTGTTCTCTATTATTGTGATTTTCTCCTTCAACTTTCATTTTAATTTATTTATTTTCCTTTTGGTAGTTACACTACACATCAGTAAGGTATATTTTATATTCTTTGCTAAGACTATTTTTTGTTGTTTGTGTGTGTATACTTAAACTCAATCATCAGGCTGAGATTTGATGAATTTTGAGAATAATATAAGTGACCTCTTAGCAATTCTGTACACATGATTGTTTTTCAAAGCTTTTTTGTTTGGAGAGACTTTTTAAAGCTTTCCAGAGGTAATATCCATTTTCATTAAATTTCTTCAGTGATTCGATTGTTTCCAATTAATTTTTTTCTAGAGTACTTTCACACCCTGCATTGGCAGAGTGACAAATCTGGCATTGTAAAGATCGACTGATTAGAACTGCCATATAATATATCATTAAAACATCTTATGTACTATAGGGTACCTTCATGTACCTTTACATCGTAAACAGAGTTTGTTTTGTTGAGATAAATATAACTGTACCTCTCTATGCATACTTTAGGTGTGACTGTCCCTACTATTCAACCTCTTCATTGTTTTTGAAACCCTTCGGTAACCTCCTGATAGCGTATCTATATCAAATATTGTCTTGTAAAACAATCCTAACAACCTGGTCATGCATACAGACCGGGGTAACGCTACCCCTGTATTGACGCCTTCCATTAAGACTTGCCTCTGTTGCTGTTGCTGCAGAACGACTGAGGTTACTGAGGTTTTCAAGTGCGTGCATCTTTTATGAACTGTTGTGCCATTTCCTGAGGCCTGGATGATGTTTATTAGCATTCGTGCTGCTCAGCCCGATAGCAGGTTGGATCCTCTCATCATCGGCACGTAGCGATTCTCTCTCTCTCTCTGTGTGTCTGTGCGATGTACATTCAGTCATTCACATAGCATTCATGATGAAGTAGATCGAGAAACACTGTCTTGTGGAAATCATACGAAAGTTAAATTGATTAAGATGAAGAGGAGAGCCCATGGCCTAATTTTCCTTCATCAACTTTCTCCTCCCCTGCAGGATCGCAACGTAAGGCTGATCCGCGAGCTGAGGGACGAGATCGACAGGTTACGCATGCTCCTGAACAGCGCCAGCCTGGTGAGTTCTCGTTTAATAGATGTCGTGCATGTTGAGTAGCGTGGCGTACTTTGACTACTTGTCTCGTTTATGTGATTTTGCGTGATAATTAACGTGTGATTGTGTGATGCTGCTTGTACTCTGTACCTTATCTGAACACGTAATGTTATCCGTTCCAGGGTTGAGTAATCTTATCTTTACAACAAAATTATTGCATTATTTGGCTGAGTGCTAGGAGGGCATTAATCCTGGCTCTCAATAATGTTACAGTACTTAAAAAAGCTTTATTTGTGACAAGATGGTTGATCAAACATTGAGTTGGATTTGAATTGAATATATTTGTCACCATGCACAATCGAAAGAAAAGGCGTTGAAATTATTTCACATTACGTCCAGTATGATTCTGAATCTTGTTTTCTCTGTATCATTTGCATGTTGTTCAGAGGTCTTTTGCATGTAAGAATTAGACTAGATAACTGTACAACAAATTCTTGACTTGTGTGAAAGCATTCATTCTAATTATTCAGCATTGTATTTTGCATAGAGGATAATCTGTACAACGAATTCCAGATTATTATGTGTGAAAGCATTCATTCTAATCATTCACCATTGCATATTTCATAGAGGATAATTTATCACAGAAAATTGTTAAAGAACATATAAAAAATACCCCTTTCTAGCTTTATTCAGAGTTTAATTCATATTGTTTGAGATCTTTAAAAAGATATTACATGCTCTAATCAAACCAGTTATATTCAAATTAGTTATATAGCCTCTTACTATCAATAGGCAGCTATATAGTAGGCTACTAGACAGCTGATATGATTGTGTTTGTTTTTAATCTTTAATCCCTCAAGTATGTGATGACTGTAATTGATAACCAACCAATCATTGATAAGCATGATACCATTCAAAGTGATTAGGGTCAAAAGAGTGTCACTACATTTCAAGAAACATGTTGACAGGAGAGGGAGAGAAAGAGAGAGAGAGAGCGAGAGGGGGGGGGGGGGGAATAAGGAGAAGAAAATAGAGCTAGATAATAAGAAAAGTGAGATGTTATGATTATGGTGTCATCTATTTTGCCATTTACATGTATGTGCACATGTTCGTGTCATAATGTGTCACACATTTACATTTAAATTATTTGTCTTTCACAACATTATATTATGCAATACTTCTAGTCTCATCATATTTATCCTGTTTAATTTAGATAAAGATATGGTTGACATTATTTGGCCTACATGTTTATTATGTAATAGGTTGATGTGTATTTGACTTTTGTATTTTAGGAGATGTTTTTTTCCCTCTAAGGAAAATTATGAATTGTAGCAAAATACAAACAGATTAATTTCTTTAGAATTAAATATTTAATTCCCTCTCGGCCTATTTGCAATAACAAATCGGTAAATTATAGTTATGCCGGAAAAAAATAAAAACTTTGTGTACTAAAATCTGGTAACATTTTGGGGCCAGTTGATTTCGAAGGGAGTACAGATGTTAACTCAAGCACTATTTTATGTGTGTGTGTATATGGGTACATTGACCACCTACGGCCCTTTTACCTTTATTTAAAGTGTTGTACATTTGAAGTATATCTTTAGGAAAGAAACAATTTAAATCTTATTATTGAATATATACTAGCACAGAACTGTATAGACTAAAGATTAACATTCTTTTTAGTCTTTGATCCCCTTTAAGTTAAAGTCCTTGCACTTTCGTGTTCAATGGCCAATAGTTAATTTTCTTAACAGTGCAATATCATCATTCTATCATGTAGGCAAGCTCACAAGCTTCACTGATTCAAGACCAAAACATCTGTCGCATGCTGCAGGAGAACGAGCAAAGAGTTGATCAGCTGACGGAGGCCTGGGTGGAGAAGTGGAGCAATGCAGCCCGCATCATGCAGGTACAGCAGAGTCACATATCAGTCAATATTATCATTCACAACATTATTAGTAATACAGAGCAGGCCTTATCTCTCACAGCCTTGATTTCAGTGAAAGAATGTGTAGTGAGTGCAAGTAGTGATTGCAAGTATCATGACAGATGAGGAAATACACTGTGATTTATGTCATCTCTTCGATATACATAAATTTCAACACCCCTTTGAAAGCTTGTTTGTTTTACATCCACTGTGAAAGGTAAAGATTTGACATGAATTACAAAAGAAATGAGGAGACTTCATATTGCAGCAATTGTGTGTTCTGAATAATGAATTTTTCATGTCTTATGTAGGCCTGCATGTACCTACTGCTATACTTTAGAAGAAACTGATTTCAAATCTCTTCAGAATTTTGGTTTTCTTGTAATTTATTCATTAAAATGAGAGAAATCTGACTGATTTGTTTGTCTGCCAAGTACTCTACATATTTTGTCTCTTGTTGTCTAACTAGGAGTGTAACGTTGGAATTCGTAAGGAGAGCGTTGGAGTGATAGTAGAATCTGAGCTACCTCATCTTATCGGTATGGACGATGATCTTCTTAGTACCGGCATCATCCTTTATCATCTCAAGGTATGTAGGGTTGATATTATAAAGGATTTTGTTAGGAGTTTGCAAGAACTTATATGTGAAGGGAATGGATTGAGGTCATTTTGGTACATAATTTTCATCTGGAGGCAATTGAGGATGAACATCAAATTATTAAGGGGTTTGTGAGGTGAAGGGGGTGTCGGAACGGCAGTATAGATTGAGATCTTCTTTGATACCAATTTCACCCTGTATCATCTCAAAGTAAATGATGTTGGTATTACATCTATTAGAGGGTTTGTAAGGTGAAGGGGATGTAGGAGTGGTTGTGGAATGGAGCTTTCTCATCCCATCTTTAAGCACAAGTATAATTTCTATCATCTTTAAGACAAGGTCAGTTGAAAGGATAACAGGATGGAGTAGGAATATCAATGGTGTGGGTGATAAGCTTCTACCGATGAAATTCTCTATCCTCTTAAAGAAATATGAAGTGTAAGAATGATTACCGGTAGGGGTTTTCTATGTTAATAGCAAGATGGGATTATTAGCTTTGGAACAATGTGAGCTTTCTCAGTCTTTAAACATAGATTACAATCATCTTTAGCATTATCTATGGTCATCTCAAAATTAGAGGAGTTGAAATTTAAAGGAATTATCAATGTTGAGTGGTACAGAAACTAGTTTAATTATATTAGTCTCTCTGTACATGGTCAATCATGATATTATGATGGATTTTTCATGTTTTTTTCCCCCTTATTCATACCTATCTTGTCTTGATTATATAATTACAGGAGGGAAGGACCAAAATAGGCAGAGCGAATTCAGACATTCATCAGGATATTGGTAGGTGTAACAGTCCATATAAAATTCATTTTATATATAACATGTGGCATGATCAATGTTTATTATCAGACCTAGACATTTTGAAATCATATATCACTGCTTTTATACGGCAGTTATTTTCTTTTCATTTTTTCTCTCAATCTTTTTAATTATCTTGGTCTACAGGTGTACATGTTTGTTGTTATTATGTTTGGATGAAATTGTATTTGTGTGAGGTTATGCACCATTGTGACTGTTTATTTCAGATAAATACTGGTCTTCCTCCACTAGAAGTTGGGGGACATTTGATTGAATGCATGTTTTATGTTTCATCAAAGAGATACTACAACTGGTTTTATTTATTTGTAGTAATTGAATAGAGTATTACCCTTTGTTTATATTTGCTTCATTTACATGTATGTACTTGTAATAATAATCTTTTAAACTTGAAATCTGGTGCTTTGATCAAACTATAGTGCCAATATGAAAGCCATAAATTATTTGGTCAAAATAATTACTGGTATACAAACATTTGGCTACTGGGTAGGAAATAGTGCACATACATGTACACACAGGGAGTGCTTCCTCGAATGTGCGCCTATTTCTAAATCACTCTCATCCTTTTCTCTTTGCTGCACAGTACTGTATGGCCCTGATGTAGAGGACGAGCATGCGGTCATTATCAATGCAGACGGCCATGTTATACTCACACCCCTCAGGAACTCCAAGTGTGCTGTCAACGGGATCAACGTCCATCGGCCGATAGAGATCACACAAGGTACAAAACAATTTAGAATTGGTGACAATATTAGAGTAAAGCAGGTTTTGAAAGATGATTTGATATTTCTGAAAATTGTATTCAGTTTGATATTGTAATGCACTCTTGTGACTTTATAGAACAAAACTTGTAGAAGTTTATGTTTCATGTTTGCACCTCAATTGTAAAGTAGAAGACAAAATTCCTAGTACTTTGAGATGAAAAGAAATAAAATGATAATCTTTGGAGGTATAATTAGATTCATTGCAATTTAAACTAAACCAGAAAGGCATTAACTCTGTTTGAAAGTATATAAATTAATGCTTTTCTGGCTCCAAACAGATAAAATAAACATTATTAAATTAAGATTTCCCAGCAATAACTGAAGTAATGATATAATTTCTGTTTACAAGGTGCTGTAATCTTACTTGGGAGTACTACCATCTTCCATTTCAACCATGTTGCAGATTATATATTACCTGTTCGGAGCCAGAAGCGTATTAACCCTGTTTTAAAGTACATGTTTATGAGTTCAATTCAGGCCCAAAACAGCATGAATAATACATACTTTATTGAAGTAAGATTCCCCAGCATTAACTGAAGAAATTACATGATTTCAGTATACAAGGTGCTGTAATCTTACTTGGGAGTTTTGACATATTCTGCTTCAACTATTCTGCAGATTATATATTACCTGTTTGGAGCCAGTTGGGTATTGACTCTGTTTTAATAACATATACAACTTAGTGCCCTTCAGGCTCCAAACAAACTTTGATAACATAATATTTCCCAGCAATTACCTAATACTGAATTTTATTTTTTCTAGGTGCTGTAATCTTACTTGGGAGTACTAACATGTTCCGTTTCAACCATCCTGCCGAAGCTGTCAAACTCAGGGAAAGAAGAGCGGTAAGTTGCATATTTGCATAGTTTTGCTTCCAGGACATAATCCATACATGTACAGTTAACAACAGAATTACTCATACCCCTTGTAAATTTTAAGTATTTGTGTTTTGAATGACAGGTGGACTGATTGAATTATGCCCTTTGTTTGATACTTTTAGATATAAGCTTTGATATGACACATTCTCAAGAAACAAAGAGACAAATAAGTTTGTCACATACTTCAAAATTACAAAAATCAATAAGGGTATGAGTAATTAAGTTGTTAACTGCATGTTAAAAAATCATTGTGCTCATGAGAAATATATAGTGTTGTAAATATGTACAAAGGCTTTGAATAATGCTTTGAATGTGTGGAAGAGTCAACCATGAGCAATATCATATTGAGTTGAGAATGGTATGAAGTGAGCCCTCTATTGGCATGTAGCTGTCAAATAATATGCCATAGTGTGTGAAAGAGTCATCTGTAGGTGATATTTTGTTGTAGAGTCAACTTCATAATATTTAAAGGTTTGGACTTTGATATTAATCAGATTCTAAAGGTATAATGCTTGTATTATAAAAGGGATATTATTGTATTTGCCTCACCACATCATATATATCCTAAAGTCATAACATTTAGAATGTATTAAAGTAAGCAGTTTAGCAGATATGTACCTGTAGCTTTTAAATAAATGCTTTGTGTGTGTTTACAAGAGTCATCTGTATGCAATATTGGGTGGAGTCAGCTTTACTACATAAAATGGGGCTTTGCTTTACGCATAATACTGACAGTCAGATTATAAAGTTATAATGCTTTTAAGAAGATTATTTGAAAGTGGGGTTTAGCTTTTAAAAGGTATTTGCAATGTTTGGATAAGAGTCATCTGCATACTACATTATAGACTTTTGAAAAAGTGTTTAGGCCTGTCTTCCCATTCAATAATTTTGTACAGAGAGCAACCACATTTATTTGGACCCAAATCATTACATTTCATTTAATATCAACTTTGAAGGTCAGAGATATTATTAAAATGTTTGAATAAGAGAAATGACCCTTTAAAAGAATGAAGGATACTCATGATGTTCATACAATATGAGGGGAAAAAATATGTCTCTTCAGGCTCCACTTCAGACATTTGCCAACACTGTTATACCTTCAACATTACTTGTAATGCTAATTGTGGATGATGCTTTTAATATGTGACTCCTAACTTTATGATGATGCTAGCCAAATGTATGATGAAGAAAAAGCTACCATTGCTGTTACATACTTATGGCTGTCTGCATTTTTATATGGTATAAATTAAACTTCAATTGTATTCACAGAGGGAGTGATATTTTCCTATCCAAGATGTTTTTATGATGATAATCTGTTTGGTGTTTTTCATGATGTATTAAGCACTGGAATCGCCATGAGAATATGATGATAATGCATCCTAAATAAGATATACATTATGTAGTGTAATTGAAATGTAAGTAATGCTTGCAATCATTTTTTAATGCAGAGAAGTGGATTTGTTCAATCTGGGGGTCGATCACTCTGCAAGGACAAAAAAATTAACAATTAAAAATATATATGCGTGTGGTCTAAAAAAAATAAGCTTGCCCCACCTACTGAGCGCCACGCGACAGATTAAACAATTTAATATCCATTGCACGGATCGACACCCATGAGTGATTAAATGATATCATTTCCTCTGATGTAAAGTTCACTGCTCGATGCAGGGCATCTAGTGAGGATAATGCCTTTTGGTCCAGAAATAATCACTTTTATTAAGTTTGTGCATGCATGCATGAATGCCTGACAGTATGAAGAATTGGTTGTTACCCTTAATTCCCTCAACCCAGGTAGCTGTAGAATAGAAAGAGAGAGGGAGAGAGAAGGGTAGAAAATATTAGGGTGCATTGTTTACCTCCACATGATGGTTGGCATGGCAACCCCTAAGTTAATATTTGCATGGAGTTGAAGTTGACTGAGGTTGTGGGTGTTTGTACATACGGGCTGACTGATTACTGAATTATGGTTTCAGGGGGGCTGTGATATTTACACTCACAGTCAGAGGGACAAACAGACCAGTATAATTCATGGCATAAATTACGTTTTGGATTTCACGTGTTAAACAAACTTTGGGGATTCTTATCCAAAAATGGTGTACCGGTACTGCAAATTGCTTCCCAAAAACATTTACTCACTGATAATTCATTTTACCACAAAATTGATATGTATTTATTTAGCAGTATTACCTCAGGTGTCCGAGCATAATTGCAGGGAATATTGTGTAGATTTTTCCAAGTACAAGCAGATGATGAATATGATGTGTGGTACTATAAAGTGGGATGAGGGATCCATAGATTGTGGATTTAAAAAGCCCATGGCTTGACACTGATGTTTATCTAATGTGTAATTTCAAGTAGGCTTTTGATCAAAATGAATACAGGGGTTATGCTGTATTTCTTAAAGGCAGGGTAGTCTATTGACACTATTTTAGATTTACATACATACTGCCATCTGCTGCTCACAATGCCCCAATGTGTCAACAGCCATTTCCCACAATGCATCAACTGCTGATGCGCTCATCATGATGCTTAGGTACAGGAACTGGAAATCGCTCTATGTCCACTTTCATCATAAGATGTCGCAAGTGAAAATACTGTACAGCAGTGGTTGTGATGTCGGTAAAATACCCTGCCTTTAATGGAAGTACTGGTATAATAAAAATGGGTTGTAGAAATCATCAATTTGTCTTCTCGCCCTAATAATGTCCATCACTGTTCGTCAAAGAGAACAAAATCAATAATAATGAACTTATTTTATGAAAGGACCTTTTAGTGGTATCCACTTTGAGAAGCCCTTTGCTGTTTCCATGGTAACTACATTACAGGTGCATGTAGAAGCACACTCTTAAGTAGATTGTTCTAATTTAATTCCTTTGAGATGCAATTAGTTGAAGACAGAAGAATGGACTCCTCATCAAATTGAGAGGTTCGGTCGTCACATCACCATCCATGTATAATTGCTTTCCAGGGGCCGTAAAATGGGTTTAATAAGTGGCATCACTTAAATTAATTCTGTAGAAGAATAGTGTGGTTTTGACACTGAAAGAGATGTTTGATACGTGATTTAATTGCATCTCCAACGTATTCCAGTGGAAGGTTTGCTTTCCAGGGGATAGATAGATTGAGGCTAATACGACATATCAGCCAAATGAAGTTAGAACAAAAAACGTGCACATCTTTTACGGCTGTGAGATATCATGGAAATGAGCTTATTGTGATTTCACTTCAGGTGCTTATGTAGCCTGTGAGTGAACTGGAGACCTGCATGTATTTTGTTTAACCTGCAACTAACCGGCATTTGCTTGTGTGCCTTCTCATTCCTTTTCCCTCCCTTCCAACCTGAACATTAGTCCAATATACCTGGTCGTGGATTGCGGAGAGTAAGTGCATGAGTTCCTTAATTTACCTTTCGTTTTGTATATGGTCTACCTTTACTTGTTATTCTTTTTTAATTGCACATCAAATTGCCACATTGTATGTTATTTGTGATGTTGTTCAGCACTACTTCATATGCTTCATTCTTTAATCCTCATGTGTGTCAATATAAAATATATCTATTCCCCCCCTTGTGTCCACTGTCTTCTTGTTCTGTTCTTTTACCCTGTCTCTCTCACATTGTTCTTCTTTTTATCTCCTCCCTACCTCTTCGCTCATCTCCCCTGTCTTGCCTCTTTCACTCCTCTTCCCTCTAATATGCTCTCTCCCCATTCTCCGTTCTTCGACTCCCCTCTACTCTCTTTCTATCATTGTCTACCCTTTTTTTTAAATCTCTTTCTCGCTTGCTTCTCTCATATTCTCTTCCTAAGTTCCTCCCCCTCTTTCTTTCTCTTTCTCCTCCCTCTTCCACTGTCTCTCTTTCTCTCATTCTAAATCTCTTCTTCAATTCCTCCGCATATGCCTTTCTCCTCTCCCTCCATCTCTCCACCCCTCCCTCCCTCCATCTCTCTTTTGCTGTCTGATTTTCCTTCCCCACCCCTCCCCCCCCCCCCCCAGTACAATATCATGTGCTGTGTGCATTTTCTGTACTTTCCATATTATATATGACATTTCATTTACCAAACATCCATCTCATTTATCATACAATTCCAAATTTTATAGTGTTCTGTTTTATTATGATGATAATATTTTGTTAGGTTAATGCGATTGTTTACTCTAAAAGATGCAATTTTTAATGTATTATAAGTTATGTAATTATTGACTGATTATAAATTAAAGTGTAACTTACACATAATTTAATACATTTTCACGTTTTTATACCATGAGTACAAAAATACAATTTTTCACTTGTGTGCATTTTTCCGCATTTTAGTTATTGGTGTATATCTCCAGGGTCACAATTATTTCATTTACTGTCATATCAAACACAAATCAAAGCATTGAAGAAGTGTGAACCTTTTTTTTTTTTAGCAATCCCCAACATTTATAACATTCATAATATGAATGTGTACATGTATTTGTTTAATTTGTATATTTCATGCAATTATAACTAAGAATAGCAGTGAATTCAGACATACTGTAGCTTTTTGCCTGCTTCTGTTTTATATTTTCTAATTTCAGCTTTCTGTTCATTCTTGCAATTTACACTGATGCCTGCAAGGCAAAAAAATACTTTAGAATGTCTGTATTCACTGCTATTCTTTGATTTTGTATTATTGATCATCTCTGTAATCATAACTACCGTAAGCAAGTATATGTGTAGGATACCGAATTATTATATTCAAAGTATCATCTTGCTAATATGCACACAGAACAGAAATTTATGTTTGAAAAAGAATGAGAGGGGGGGGGGGGGAGAGAAGAAGGATAGGTACCTTGTGTTTGTTTAATTGATTATTTGCTCAGCATATTTACTCGGTAACATTGGCTTTGCGCCATACCAATGCCATCATATCACCTTAGCCACTGCAACAACCCAAGTCTGTATCGTAAACTAGCCTCATTTTAGCCCAAAAGGTTTATTCTAACACCTAATATTTTGCAAAATTATATGAAAACTCATTACAGTTATCAATTCATTTATAACACAAAATTGTCCATGGTGCCATTTTAAATGAAGTATGCCTTATGGGGATTTTAAGCTGAGGAAAATTTCCTAAAAGTGCTCGATTGTTTCAGCTTTTTGTTCATGCGGCACGTCATTCAGGCTGGAGGGAAGGCTAGGTAAAGGTTACTTAAACTGGGATAGCAAAGAGAAAGAAATGGAGAGGCAGCTAACGCATACTTATTACCGGTACATGTACCAGTGTAGCATTTGCCTGTTTGCTCATCATATTTTGTGCTTCCATTTGCACTTTTACACACCCAGAAAAGCATCACACTTCATGTACCTAACACAGGGGATGTAAGTAAAAAATGAACTCATCATTATATTATGATCATCCATTTGTGTGTTTGCCAACCATTAACATTTCTTTAAAAGCTCTTCTGCTCTCAATCTCTGTGTTGTCTCCCATACGGAGAACATGCAGTGTCGTGTTGGTCATAATTTTTTTTTCAAGAGAATTTTTTCATTGTATAATTTTATTGATAAACCCTTTCTCTACTTGATGTACTTGCAATATGTGTGTATTTTGTTTGATCTCAGAGAGCATCTTTGATAAACTAACATTCCTTTAAAAGCTCTTCTGCTCTCAATTTCTATGTTGTCTCTGATATGGAGAACGAGTGTCGTGTTTGTCATTAACAAAATTCTTTCAAGAGAATTCGTTTCATGGTACTGTATTTTCATGATGTAATTTTAATGTTGAACCTTATTTCTTGTCGATACAATTGAAAATGTATGTGTGCATTTTGTTTGATCTCAGTGAGCGTCTTCGATAAATTTACTCTATTATAATATCATTCATCTATATTTGCCAACCATTCTTTAAAAGCTCTCCTGCTCTCGATCTCTGTGTTGTCTCTCGATATGGAGAAATAACATCATCTCCGTGATACATTTCAAGATAATTCATTGATCTCCCTATGGGATTGTTCAATATGTAATTTGAATGAATAATCTTGTTTCTTTTCAATATGTGTTTGTGTGTGGATAATAATAATAATAATTGTAAATTTATAATGCGCAGTTTCTATATGTATATACTCAACTGCGCATGACATATTGGATATTATTATTACCCCGGCTTTAGCTGTGCTGCCATTATAGCGCTCTAGCATTTCAAGGAATAAATTCCTACCGGGTACCCATTTACTTCACCTGGGTGGAGTGTGGCAAATGTAGATCAATATCTTGCCAAAGGACATTAGTGCGGCGGCGGGACTCGAACCGCGGACCTTGTGATCGACAGTCCGGCGACGTATCCACTCGACCACAACACCTCTACATGAGGTATACATTGTCTTTTTTAAGTGCCTGAAGGATGTAAATAACAGTACTGCATTTATAAAACACCTTCTCAAGAGATAAAGAGGATTTCAGTTGACTCGTGTAATTTCTCATCACAGTGTGAACCCATTAACTGCCTATGGGAACCAGACGTTCCATGTATAAAGCCTATGGGAATTGGAGAATTCAGTAGTCAACGTGTTAATAGCCTTGTAGATCTTAGCAGCGATCACACAGACTAGGAAATTATTTCAGAGCAGAAAAATGATGCCAAATTCATTGTAATTTTTCTCATTGATTTCTTGTGATACTCTTTACATTATTTCCTAATGTAAAGAAATGATATGTTTACATTGTCATCTTTTGTGAAAAAGAAACTCATTAGTATAATATATAAAAGCTCCCCGATATTTTTCTCTCTGTTCATAATTCATTAGCATCTCTATCGCACTGATCTCTAATTTTCACAATAACCTTTTTGTTACAAAATCTTTTCTCTCTGTCAAAGCCATCAAGTATTATGTTTTTCCCATTTATACTAAACAAAGTTTAAACAATGACTTATCTCTAATTTCAAATTGATTTTTAACATAATAGTTGTCCTGAAAATGTGTTTAAATGTGTTCAGGTGTTAAATTGACACTCAAAACACACTGTTTAGATATATAATACACCTTTGTTTCATTATTTCATTCATGTCATTAATTTCTTAGTCTTACATTAAATCAAACTGTAATGGATGGATAAGTGCTTTGTTTGCAACTGAGGTTGACATAATCCTGAATGCTTCACCTAGCTGACACCACAGTGTATATAGCCTGAAACAAGGATATAGAGCAAAAAAAGAAGCAAGCCTAGATTAATTGTGTGTGTAGATCAGGTTCATTCAATTTTTCCAGATATTGAATCGCTAACAATAGATGAATGCCAGCAGGAGGCATATCTACAACCAATGAAATTGTGCGAAAAGGTCATGCAACATAATAACATTGATTGGAATGTAGTATCGACAATAATAGACGGTTTGAGATTCTGCACGGTTCATTCTCACACACTTCTTTGGGGTACTAGATTTGCAGCCGTTAGCGTGAGATCGTACAGGTTGGTTCACTTCTAAAGGCAAATAATAGTTTCCATGGTAGCGCTGGAGTTTTTTGTTGGTGTACTAGCTGTGCATGAGCAACCTTCAAAATACCATTCTTGTATAGATGAAAGGCTTTTTAAAGAGGTAAGGGCAGAAATTTATGGTATTCTTTTGGTTTTGGATGCAAAGCCTGCACTAGTAAGCCTGATATACATGTACAGTAATGAATGTAGACTTAAATATGTCATGATTTACTTAAACATTGATGGTTTGACAGCATTAAAGGCTAAGTGTGTATAGGCATCGAACTGTGTCCTTGTGTGGATATCTCGTGATCGATTTAGCCTCTATATCTGTTTAATTGTAAATTTTCAGGTCGTTAATTCTTCATGCTATTTCGCTCTTCATCTTGTGTATTATGATTTTATTTCTAATCCATCATTTATATTTTCATCTTCGCTTTGTTAAACCATATTAGATGATAATCATGAACTCAAGTATTAATCTCAGATAAATTCATGAATATTTGCTACACTTATATATTTTTTGGTATTGTATCTGCTGATCGACTTTTATTTATGTATAACACTGTACTGTATTTTCACAAATGTATTGTAGCTAGCACTCGGCATCTATATTTGTTCATATTTTCTTATCATGCCTTATTCATGATACTGAAATTATTAGTAATCAGCTTTGTTCATTTGTTTTATTGTGTCACAAGATACAATTCTCCTTTTCATTTTCAGAATGTTGAGATATTTTTTGTCTATTGGTTAACTTACATTAATATACCACAAGCAGATTCTTCTAAAAAAATAACAAATTTGCATATAAGAACTCATACCCATAAGCCCATCTGATCTAAGCTAATTATAATGCACTGTAAAAGTTATACTAGTTATAATATAATATGACATACACTATAATATTTTTAAAGCCTCTGTTGATGATACAGTATCTTATTATGATACATAAATTATTATAAAATGAAACTATAATATTTCTTAGAGAATCAATTGGAAGAACAGTATAGTGCAATGCTTTAAAATAGTAGAGATTTGATGCACCATTTGATATACATGTACCATCAAATTATGAATAAATGATAAAAAGAATTAGAAATTCAATTTTGTGGAACTGTTATTTTTTTTAAGAAAATGAAAATTACATCTTTATTTTGTATGTTGAATAGTATATTTTATGAAATGAATGAAGAAAGACAAAGAAATAGAAATATATGTATGATAATAAAAGAAAATTTTATTCTAGAACCTAGTGCTTGGAAACCTGGGAATATCTTTATTTTGACTCCTGCTATTTTTGGAACTCCAATTCTTTGTCGAGGCATTGTTTGTGCGCCATTGCTTTCATCTATCAGCAACCCGGATCCTCAATTGCCACCAGCAATATGAGAGAAATAAATCAAATGTGATAAGTGTTTTTCATCTGCTCTGGTACCGCATAACCATATTCTTTGTGCCATCTGCCAATTTCATCAAGCAATTCATTCTGTCAACAACCATTTATTTCTCTGATTGAATGGCTTTTTTTGTCTGTGCTCTAATTTATTTCATCTCTCTTGGGAGGTGTACATGTACTATATAATACAGTATTTCTTTTAAAATGCCTTATACATGTATGTCTCTGGTATAGGGGTTGGGGTTTTCATATGGATATCTTTATATCCATTTATGTTGTTTTTGTGTTTTTTGTTGTTGTTGTTGCAGGTTCTCTATTTTCTCCCGTTCATATTTCTGACTTTCATTTTTAGCTGACTATTTTCTCTCTTCACAATTTATTTGAGAAATTTTCAGGGATCTTGTGTTGGTATACTAATATTTGTTGGTGTTTGATGCTTCAACATTTTCTTCAAGTTTCCCTGTGTCTTATATTTTTCCTTCAAATTTATTGATCTATTTTTATCTGTGCACATAGAGAACATTTGAAGGATATTCTCTGTCAAGTGTTCAGGACCAGAAGGGTTTAGTTTTATGTTAAATGATACTAGTCAACACCCATCTGGCTCTGAATAGATGACTTGATATATCTCTGCTTCCAACTTGATTGTAAAGTTTTTCAAAAAATCAATCAATTTTTAGTCGTGAATTGTATAACATTTTGAAATGCAGAAATGTTACAGTGACATACAAAATTATTCAAACATAATGTTTTTTTAAATACAATATGATATTGAAATTACCCCTCTGGTAATTTCTTGAAAATCAGAGTGACCATGTTCTTTTATTCGTTTGACTATGAGCGATCACCATGTTTAATATTGACTATTATTTCTTGCTCATGCAGGCACTCTCTGCCGAGTTTGGGAAACGGATCAGCCTGTCGATGAGTTTAGATGGATCCTGGAGTGCCGAACCTGAGAGCAACCTCAAGAAGACCCCCATGCGATCATCCTTCAGCGATCTCTCCTCAGATATCTCACCTATCATGATGTTTAATCCGGGGTAAGTTACTCATGGTCCTTCAGGCTTCTTTGGAATCTCTTTTTGAGAGCCTATGCAGGGGTGGATCGGCCATGGGGAGTTTGGGGAGTTCCCCCCACTGACTGTTCAATGTTTTGGTTTGAGAGTTGGTTGATTAATTTTGGTGTTAGGGCCGGTTGATATGTATCTTAGAGGTCAAGTAGGCCAATTACATTGCAATTCCCCACCCCTCCCCCTTGCCCCTAACACAATTTTGAGTCCTAGTACGTCCTTGAGCCTGTGTATAGTTTAGCTAGTTTGTTGGGATTTATCTCCAACATAAACCCCTGAGGTAATATTTGCTGAAGGTATTATATGACTTACCTCATGATGTAACTACATGTTCTACTAGTATTGAGGTTGTAAAAAATGTTAATGCATTGCTCTATACTGTATCTTATACCCATTTCTAACTGCACTCTATCGGAGTTACACCGATGAAAATACCGATTGAATTTTCCTTATGTAAACAAAGGTGAAACCGCAGTTTTCCCCCTGTCGGTTTCTAACTGCCGGTGAAATTCACTCGCTGTGGCGAGCCCTTGCCGGAAGTGAAGAATTATTATGTAATTATTAAGCCCGCGCTCCATCTAGCTATAGCATGCAGCATGTTCAACCATAAGTCAACAAACACAGCTGGTTACGATAAAGCGTGCGTATACTGCGACCTTTGACCATTTTAATCGCTGTTTTAATCGCCTTTTTCTCCCGAACATTTTCTAACTGCACATTTCATCGGTGTCACACAGATAGAATGAGAATTTCTCCTGCTTTTGAGCAGGAGAATTTAATCGCCTATTTCTCATTTTTCATCGGCTATTTAATCGCCTTTTTCTCCTCTGTTGCTTTCTAACTGCCAGTTTCATCGGATGCGTCCGGATGCATCCGATGAAAATCAGTGCAGTTAGAAAAGGGTATTATTAGCATTGCATTCTTGTCACCATTGCTCAACAGAATTCACCATGCCGAATTAAGTTAATATCAACAAATTTCAGAGGGAAGATTGGATGGATATGCATTTTAGTGTGTACAGGGTTGGATTCAGTAAAGGATATTTATATACTTTTCTTCTTGCAGATTGGAACTAGAGAGGGTGCACAGGTTGGAGGCTGAGAAACTAGAAGATACTAGGTATTTATCATCCATTACCATAGTCTCAAGATTGTAAACTGTTTTGCTGATATGCAGCGTGTCTTTAATTGAACACAGTCTTTAATAAATTTCTTTCAATTTCTAAGACATCAAAGAATATTTCATCTGTCATTGCCGGATAGGCGTAAACTCTGTGTAAAATGATTGTGAGTTACCACCCTTCTGGCTCCAAACAGACAATTTAAAGATAAACAAATCTGAAAATGTTTGACATGTACAAATGTGAGCTTGTCATATTCTTGGGGGAAGGGGGAAGATGATTTACTTGTGTTCTTAAAATGTTCAGAGATATTGTTTCAAATTTAATAGCAGGTGATAGATATCAGGATTAGCAACAGAAAATGAATTTATTTGTTTTAATACGTGTTAATATTGTAACAAAGGAGTCAAGGAGTTTCTAAAGCTTCCATCTTCATACTTCAACAGCCACTGGGAATGTCAGTGAACTAATTGCAAACCCCCCAGCCCTCTCATCTCCATAAGTATGATTAAGGCAATTTCAAATACATGTATAATTTAAATTTGCAGGAAACAGCTGGCCGAGTTGGAGGCCAGGAGGGCAGAGGCGGAGGCAGCAAGCAAGGAGCAGGAGTCGATGATGAAGCGGAGTCTCTGTGAACACCAGGACCGCATCAGGGAGCAGAAGGAGCTCATCGAGAGGCTGAAGATGGAGCATCAGGGAGCCATGGCTTTAGCTCAGGAGGAGCTGACCATGATGAAGGGGAAGATCAACAGCCAGAAAGAGATGGGTAAGGATATCCTTAGTATTGCAATCACACAGGGTCCAGGCTTGACCATCACACATACTATTTCAGGTCTTGTAATTCTGTAACATTTCTTTACATGTTGAATAATATTGTAAAGACATATTTGTACATTTGTTGTCAGTGAGTAAATCAATATTAATACTAATTGTATTTCATGAGATAAAAGTCTTACAGAGACGCTGATCCCCTAACCCAGTAGCATGTATAATACATGTAAGGTACCAATAATATGACCCCAAAAAGTAATGTGGACAGTAATGTATTAAATGTATTCTCAAATTGCCTTCAACAAATATAGTGAATTTCAGAGTGGCACTCTGGATAGTAAGCTTAGAATTAAAGGATAATAAAACTAGGTATAAGCCTTTGTTTCTGAAAACAGTTGATATATACCTGCCAATCCAATATTAACTATGTGTGAATCAACACAACATTCTTTTAAAGGAATAATCCAGAGGAGGCACTTCACAACTATTATCAATTGTATGTGTCCTTGGTCTGTGTGCCGTAGATTACATAACTGCTTTGATAATGAGAATATGATTATGTGGTTCTTGCTTGTACAGTTCATTGATAGTTGCTATCTATCTCTCTTAATCCTGTTTATCTTCTTTTCTTTCCCCAGGTAAACACAAACTGGAAGGAGAACTTACCCAGCTGAAAGAGGTTCCAAGTTACCATTCAGATCTGTGCACGATTCCCAGTGTTGTTGCTGATGTCTGCAGTGACACAAGAGACCTCTCAGGGTTGGACATTGCTAAAAAGCGTGTGGCCCTGATGGAACTCCTGCAGAAGCAGTCACAGCGTAAGGCACTAGCTGCCCTGGAAAGGCGACAGGCAACCCTTGAGGTGCAAGAAAGAACTGCTCAATTGATTCTGAAACATGAGGAGCAAAAACTTCAGGATTTTGAAACTGATCCACGTTTGCTTGAGGGAGAGTTCGGTTCAGAGCAGTCACCTGAAAAAGAGCTTGGAGATCGTGACATTGAGAACACAGTGGATAGTTCTACAGAAAATGTGAGCACAGAATTGCCAGCATCAGGTCGAGTCAGTCCTGTAGGAAACAGTGACCCTGAAACAATGCATCACAACAATGTTCCTTCTCCGAAGAAAGAGACTAAGCGCATCCAAAAGCAGGAAAACAAAGTTAAGACTATGGATCAAAAGAAGGACCAAACAAACAGTTCAAAGAAAAATTCCAGAAAAACTGATGCTAGACCTACTAGAAAGGTTGAATTAGGTCCTTCAAAAACTAAACCCAGGGAAGAACAAATAAAGAGGGAAAGTGATGGTCTATCTGCATCACCTTCAAGGTCTCCATCTCCTCCCAAAAGTTCAAGGTCAAGCTCGCCAAGTAAATCCTCGAGGTCCAGCTCACCCACCAAGTCACTAAGATCAGATTCACCAACAAAATCCTCAAGGTCCAACTCACCCACCAAGTCACTAAGATCAGATTCACCAACAAAATCCTCAAGGTCCAACTCACCCACCAAGTCACTAAGATCAGATTCACCAACAAAATCCTCAAGGTCCAACTCACCCACCAAGTCATTAAGATCAGATTCACCAACAAAATCTTCAAGGTCTGCATCTCCAACCAAATCTGTAAGGTCTGAATCACCGACCAAGTCATCAAGATCATCTTCTCCTGCAAGTACCTCCTCGAGGCAGTCCAGGCAAACTTCAGGAAATGTTTTTTCTCGCCTGTATCCCCAGCAAGAAACAAAATTTAATTTTCTCAGGAAGAAGAGTCCTCCAAGATATGGTGAATATGATCCTCACAGAGAGAGAGACAGAGACTCTCCACACTTGATCAGGAGAGAACTGTCTCCTGTAGAGCATGACCCTATCAAGTTAAAGGACAAAAAACGTGAACATGTTCAGGACCATAAGCATGTGAGAACCAGCAGTGTGCCTTCAAGCAATCTTCCAGACAGAACAAAGCAAAATCTTCATTCTAGAAGTAGGAGTGCTAGTCCATGTGTAAATAATCCTGTAAAACCAGCAACAAGGCCAAAGAAATCTCCAGTATCACAGTCCTCACAAGAAACTGAAAAGGCGGTTAGGAGAACTAAAGTGAAATCAAAAGACACAGCAAGTGCTCCACTTGATAGAACTCAAACTGATCCTGGTAATGAAAAACAAAATAATAAGTGCCAAACCAAAACCAAGCAAGCCCAACGCACATCTCCAAGTGAATCAACCCACTCCAGTCCAACTAAAAGGAAATTAAATAAACCAGAAAACACTTCAAATGCAAAGACCCCTAAAGGCTCATCTGCCTCTCCTCGGTCAAGACCAATCATTGGGAAAGCAGTTGATAGAAGTCCATCTCCAAGGAAGAAATCAGAACAAACTCCATCTCACCGGAAGACTGTAAAGAGGCCCCTTTCTAGGAGTCGCAACGATAAGGATGGTGAAAACACAAATTCTCCTAGTCCTAGGAGGAAATTTGCAAGAACTCCCGTTGTCAAACCAAAGAACTGGCCGTCCATAGAGAACTTACCAAAGAGTACTCCCAAATCTGAAGCTTTCTATGTACCTCTCACTAGCGAACAGTTGAGGCTTGCACTTCAGAAGCACGCCAGTGAGCAGGACAGTGGACCACATCTGGAAGGTGCAGATTTGGGGGCTTCAGGATGTGAACAGCACTGGAGTCCCAGTCGTAAGAGGTCTATTGGAAAGCAGCCCCAGCAAACACAAACAGATCCAATTCAGGCCAGCATAGGAGGAGAGATATTTGGTTTGGAAATGGATGGAGTAAACAATTTAGAAAATGAGGAAGATCACTACAGCTCCTCAGAAAGTCTTGTAGATTCTCTGGAGGAAGATCTTAAACATGATCAAGAAGTAGAACTAGAATATGATGATGGACCAAGAGTTGTTGATATGACGTCTGCAGATGAAGATGAATTCTGGGCCATACCTGTCTCTTCAGAGGATATTCTTACAGCTTCTAGTGATGCAGGTGAAGATGATGATGAAGATGACATTGCATTGAACCTGGATGTCCATGACAGGAAACAAAGCTCAGATACTCTTGAAAGTTTGAACAGCAACGACGAACTTGAAGCCGATGATCCTTGCCATACTACTATGGTGGAAGTAGAAAACACAGAGGCATTTGGAAATGAAGAAGAAGGAAATGCTGATCCTGAAGTTGACAGTTGTAGTAGACTTCCTAGTAATAAAGAGAGACTCGTGTCAGATGATAGCATCGGCAGCGCACAGTTTCCTGATGCCCCAGTTGTCTGTGACCATGAAGAAGCAAAGCCATGTGGAGATAACATCTCATGTGATATGGAGCATGCAGAAGATGAGCAAGTACCTCTTGGCATGCAAACACAGGATGACATGAATGAACAAGCAAGTATCCTTGATAAATCAGAGCTTGATGAGAATCAAGATAGACCAACAGAGACACACTTGCCTGATAAAGATATGGTGTCTCTAGAACCATCACACCTTAATGTAAAATTTGAGCAGGAAACAGTTGGACCAACAGACCAAGAGGCAGAAGCTCGTGAGAAAGACAAGGATGAACAGGTTTCTGAAGGAGAGCATGTTGAAACTGAAAAAGAAACTCTCCATGGGGACATCAATGATAGAAATGCCACTTTACCTCAAGGGCCACAAATTAATGAAATTCACTCAATGCCAGACTTGCCTCATGAATGTGACACAGAAATAAGTAAACTTTTACATGAAGATGATTCTTGTGTCGTTCCTGAAGGATATGAGCAGAAATTTACAGAGGAGGACCCCCCACATGAAATCGCAAATATGAATGATCAAGAATCTCCAAGGGACTTGCATAGTGTTGGAGTTCTCTCAGTGGCAGAATTACCTGATGAATATATAGTTTCTGATTCAGCAGATCCTGATGTAACATCTGACAGTCACTTAGTTAGACCAGCAGACGCAGAAATTGAAGCTTGTGAGGAACACGGGGATAATAAAATGGCTGAAATAAAGCTAGAGAATGCAGAGCAATACCCTGACATTGACATGGATGATACAGAGCAACATGTAAGTGGAGACCTTCGTGATAAAGACTTATCTTCTGAATCTTCCCATTCTGGTGCAACATCTGACGATGATTTAGACGGACCAAGCAGGGCCACAGAAACTGCTGAGGAAGAAGATAATGATGATAACCTTGAGAATCTAGAAGAAAATTTGCTGAAAACTAGAGAGGAAGACATTCAAATGAATGACTTAACTGATGATTTAAATCAGGAGCCACACATCAATGAAATTCAGTCAAGCACAGATTTGCTTGATAAAGAACCAATATCATCTGATCCACTACATTCTGATGGAACCTGTGAAAATGAAACACATGGACAAACAGGGGAAATAGAAGCTTCTGATAATGATGGAATTGATGATCCAGAAAGGCTAAAAGTGACAGTGGATGACTTTCAAATAGGCAACAGTGATGGAAGCGATCCTTTACTTCAAGAAGCACTCCTAGAATCTCCATCAGCCACATACCTGTCTCTTGAACCTGCTAGTTCTTCTGATTCATCTCATCCTGAAGTCTCATGTGAAAAGAAAGTACAAAGACCGACAGTCAAATTTGAGATGGGCAGGACAGATGAGTCTGGTATGGTTCCTGAAGGAAAGGAGCAGAGAGATATGGAGTGCGTGCCTCAAGTAGACATCTGTGAAAGAGATGATATTCCCCAAGAGCCCCACTCTTACAAGATTCAATCAGAGACAGACAATCTCAGTGGTGATACTCCCTCTCCTGCCTCTTCCCATCCTGATGTCACATGTGACAGGGAACTAGATGGACCATCAGAATCAGATATCAAAGTGTTGCAGAAAGATGGGGGTGACGGTGTCCCAGGAAGAAATGGCCTTCAAACCACAGAGAATGACCATCTCATTGACATCAAGGATATAAGCGATCAGTTGCTTCAAGAAGAGCCACACATGAATGGAATTTGTTCGATGTCAGACTTGCCTGATGAATATGTGCCTCCTGAGTCATTCAGTCCTGGAATGATGGATTTTACATGTGACAAGCAAACAGATGAAAAATCCTCTAATGCTCACAGCATTGGTTTCATTGGCAAATCTGACAATATCCCGGACAGCAAGACTGATGAAGAGTTACCCAAGTCTGATAATTACTTAGATGAACATCCAGGACTATCAAATCTTGGTGCTCTTCCTGAATCTCATCCGGGAGTATCTACTCCAGAGCAGTTTGCTTCAAGTGATTTGGAACCTTCGTCTGTATGTGATGACGGACTTTGCACATCTCTCAATGTTAAAGGTGAGGAACATTCTGATGAACGCCTAATTCCCATCCGTCCTGTAGAATCTCCCGAGAATGAAATAGATACTGAAGCAAATGGAAATGTTTATGGTGACATTAATGATCAACCCCAAGTTAAAGGAGTGTGCATTGAGGAAAATCTGAGAGATGATACAGTATCCACAGAAAAGGAGACAGCACAAAGTGCAGTTACAATGCCAACGACACCATGCCCGTTTGAAAATGATAATGAGCTTATTCCTGATATTGCTGGGCAAGTACCAAATGACTCGGATGAATTAGATGTAAACACTTGTATGTCTGAAAATGATGCTGAGGACAGTCAACAAAGTGATACTGGTGAACATCCAGAAGCAACCACAATTTCATCTGATCCACTACATTCTGATGTTACCTGTGAAAATGAAGCAGATGGACAAACAGGGGAAATGGAAGCTTCTGATAATGATGGAATTGATGATCCTGAAAGGCTAAAAGTGACAAAGGATGACTTTCAAATGGGCACCAGTGATGCAAGGGATCCTTTACTTCAAGATGCTGAGGACAGTCAACAAAGTGATATGGATGATCATCCAGAAGCAACCACAATAGTAGATTCTCTATCTATCCGTACCGTTTGCATTGATGATGCTTCTCCAGAAGAGGATATAGACGAGCTGGTACAAGATGGAGATCCCATACTCCCTAAAAGTGTTGTGCCCGACAATTCAACAGCGTCACAGAATCCTGAAGTTAACAATGGCACAACCCTTTTGAGAAAGCAAGATCAGGATGAAGTAAATGGTGATGAACAGCTACCTGTACCTTTGATAGTAGTACAAAATGATGCAGATGAAGTTTCTACTGTTTCTTGCACTGTTATGGCCAACCAGCTGAGCCAGCTGCAGCGCCCAATGGTTGTGAACTTGACCAAAATTGAACAGGATTCAAGTGACAGTGATGAGGTTTCGTCAGATCAGTTATCTGATGATCAATCAGAGTACAGTGAAGAGGAAATAGAGATTTCACAAGAATCACCTCTTGATGAAGAATGTCTTTCACATGAAGATGTTCCTTCCTCTAATGCTAGCAATGGCACTGACTTTCCAGAGAACAAAGACCAGCAGAGGCCAGTAGGAAACATAAAAGACACAAAAGAAATGATTCCAGAACAGGATCGAATTCCCTCTGATGCAGGCCCTCATGATAAGCTGAAAGAACATGGCAAAGAGGACCTCTCATCAGCAACAACAGACATTCCAAAGATGAAAAGTCTTCCTGACCAATCTTTTAATCAGAACATCTTTTTGGAAGCCAACAAGCCCCTGCATTCTGATAATGGTGTCCTAGTAATGCCATTGGCTGATGACACAACAATGGACGGTACTAATAAAAAGGCGATAAAACAATCTCTACCTCAAGATATTGATCATCCTACTATCCAATCTATGACAGACAGTGAGGGTCAGAAAATTGTAAATGGGCCTTCAGACACCAATAACCTCCCTAATATTGATAAATCTCCTACTAATCAACATCTTCATCGATTACCAGTGCTTCATGGAAATGGTGAGAGTAAGGGAATCTCAAACAATCATAATTTCAGGATTACCCGTGCATCTCCTGTTCCTTTTTCTGATGAAGAAATGGAAAGCATGGAAAGTCCATCCTCCTGCTCATCCACAAGTGCAGCAGAATATCTCTTTGACGAAGAACAAACCCTCTCTGACTTCCTTGAGGATGTAGATGAGGTGGATGATGAAGAAGCAGCCATGAGTGATGACATGTCTGCACTTCGGAATTCAGAGGTGAATGGGGAAATAATAGAAGGCAGCCAAGACAATGGTACAGACGACTCATTTGGTGAATCAGAAACTGGCTCTGGCATCCCTGAAGCAATAAGGAAGGGAACTGTTCCATCCGTTCAAGCATCTCTGCCACCAAATGTGTACAAATCTATCTTCAATGCTGATTCCCCACGGAAACAAAACATTCTGACCAATTCAGTTGCAGACAGCACATTGCCAGATGAATCAGCCCTCTACCAGAGTGCAATAGACACCTCACTGTACCAGACTGCAGTAGAGTCTCCTTCAGCATTCAGCAACAAGAATGAAATCATTCCTTTGAAGAAGACTTGGGATAAAGATCAGATAGTCTTGTGCAGCACTCCTACAGGAACACCCAAAGGAACACCTGTGACAAAGAGCTCAGAAAATCTGGACAAAAAGGACTATGGCTCACCTGTAGTAGACCAACATGGAGGCTCTCCAACTGAACATAAATGCAGGGTTCCACCACAATTGGGTGCTTCTCCGAGTTCCATAATGGCAAGAAAAATGCCTGTCTCTACTGACATCACAAGAGATCTACATGGCTATGTAGATACTAGAGATGCATCTACAAAGAACGAAGATGCCCCTCCTGCAGACAGGTCAGTTTGTATTGGAGACATAAGCACTGATACAAAGCCGGCCCCCACTAATTTTTATCCAGACGTTACGGGCCACAAGGAAGATGATGGGAATGGAGAAGAGATGAGAGGACTGTATTATTCGCCACGTGATCTCCCTGAACAAAGTTATATTCTGCACACTCTAGAAACAATCCAGGAGGAAGATAGTATGTCAGAAGACTCGGAATCTGAAGACACTTGCAGCACTCTCCATTCTAAATCACCTCAAGATAGCAGAGAGACGTCACCAAATATTGAGCATATGTTGGCTTCATCACCAGAGGATTTTCATCATGATATTCCTCAGGAAGTGTTGCCTACATCTTTGAATCATGAAAAGATGACATTTATCACTAAGGTACCACTGGATGAGGAAATCAGCCTAACTCAGCCATCCGAAGTGTTGAAAAATGCAGAACAACAAGCAGTATCTGAAGGAGATCTTAACTCTCAAACTATGGAAAAGCAAACTGAACCTGATAATGGCATTCTGGGTAGAAATGATATGAAAACTTCTACAGTTATGTCCCAAGAAGGCCTCAATTCTGCAGAGAATAGTCTTTACAATGACCACCTCATTTCTACAGCAAGTAAACCACATCTGAAGGAAGAACATCAGCTTCTTTCAGAAGACTCTACGAGCATCAAGCAAGAAAATGTTCCTACATATGTTGACGATGCTGGTCAGCAGGATGATATAGTTTTAGCAGCAACGGAATCAGAAACTTCTGCCCATCAACCCGAAACAAGTCCTATGCACAAGATGGCACATAATGATAATGAGGTCATTTCTACAACCATCCCTCCCACATCTGAGAGAACAGTTAAGAATCACACTCCAAAAAACACAATGACCATGCAAGAATCAACTGCTGATGACGTTAAAAGTATTGATAAAATGGACGATTCAGATTCTAATAAGGAAGAAACCTCAGAAGAGTTACCAAAAGAGAATGCTACTAGCAAAAGGAAGGATGTCTTCTCTAGGCTGTATCCAAAGAATGCTCCAAAATTCGACTTCAAAAGGAAGAGCGCAGCATCGGTCATCCCAAACGAGAGATTTCTTGGGAATGTTTCACCAAAGATTATAAAGAAAGATCTCAAGGCGAGGAAATCAGAAATGTCTGAAACTGAAACTGATGATGGCATTAGTGATAAGAACCTAAATGAAAAGAATATAGGTGGTGAATTACCTCCGATGTCGAATTCTCTGACAGATAATTGTGAGAAGACCAGTGAGGCAGGACATCAAATGGATGACATGTCGGGCATGATTGAGGTTCGTGATAATGATCCAGCAGTCAGTTCTAATGAGGACTATATTCCCAAAGCCATTCTTAAGAGTGAACCTGAAATGCATGTTGACAGTAGTTCAAAGGATCATTTGGATGATATAACAGCAGATGTAGGAGCCACAAATGAAGTGGATTTCCATGGAGACGACGGGAGCACAAACAATGACACCCATACTCTGTCCCGTGATAAGTATACAGATGCGCATGGATCTCAGGCTGTGGAAAACCTGAAGCCTTTCCTCGGGAAGGACTATGCCATTGCAAGTGCCAAACTGACCATGTTCATGAAAATGTTTGGCCTCTCTGTTGAAAGCACAGACAGTTCTGAGGGCTCAGACTCTCTTAGAATGCACAAAGACAAAGGGCTTGTTGACAGGATTGTCGGCGATGGCGTTGGATATGACCCTGATACTTACCAATGTGATGATTCTTTGACAAATACATTATCTGGAAGTCCAGGCAGTGTTGGTCACAAAGGAGGTGAAACTATACTAGAAGATGAAGAGTGTGAAAACGAGACCTGGACAGGATCGGATGTAGCAGTTGATGGTGACTCTTCAGTTCGAGATCTGAGAAGCCGATCAACCACTGCCTCTGATATTGAATTGGTGAGTGTGGGAGATGACACAGTGACAGACAGTACTTCAGCAATGTCCCTGCCTGATATAGAAGTGGACCAGGATCTAGAAACCTCATTGACACATCCAACACACTTGCCTAGAATGCAGCCTGAACCCTGTATCACCAGATCAATGCAACTTGCATATCCAAGGGAAGACATTGCTCTCACATTGAGTAAGCTAAATATTGATGCACCCAAGGCAAGCACATTAACCCTGAAAGAGGATTCTACCATCAATGAACCAACAGGCTTCTCATCTTCAGAAATGGGCAAGAACCACACAGTAAATGATGTTCATGAAGTTCTTAAAGTTGACGTCGATGGTGAGACTAAGCCTATGAAAAGCTGTGCAGACATGGATCAAAATCACAATATTGATTCTCTTCAAGAGCTGAAGGAAGATGTTGGTGCATTAGCATCCCCATATGGCATTGATGAATATAGATTACCATTGTCATCATCAATGGCTAATAACAAGGTTCCTGTTCAAATTCAAGAATCAGCAATGTCCCCTTTCAAAGTTCCTGAAGTGAAACACTCTGACATGTCTCCCGTTGGAACAGTGGGCGTTGATGATGCCGGACAATCCAGATCGGTAGATAAACACGACCCATCTCCAGCTGAAGACGAAGGCCAAGATTTAAGTTTGGAAGTTACTAGACCATCCAGCATTCCACATCTAACACCAAGGGTAACAGAGGTTATTCATTCTTCAAAGGTTCAGCTGGAAGAGAATATGGTTTCTTCAACCCAGAGATTAAAAGAATTGTTTGTCGAAGGTGATGAGAGCCCAATTGAAAGAGATAGTGATATTCATGAGGAGTCTATTCCATCAACTGAAGGTCATGATGAAGCTAAAGAGAGAGAGAAGGAACTTCCATTGAAATATGCAGGAGTTTATGACAGTCCTATCACCTATACAAATGACAGTGACAATTGCAAACCTTTGAAGAGGCATGTATCAGAAAAGATCACAGTTGACATAGTGCATTTACCTTCCCAAGTGAGCTTGCCCTTACTTTTTGAGAAGGTGGAGGAAAATGATAGCAATCTTGAAAACACTCTGAAGGGGAAATATGAGTCTCAAGTTGAACAGCCACATGGTCAATCCCCAACCCACAATCAACATAAAGTAGAGCAGCCCATATGTGATGAAGACAAAGCAATGGCTGAACAAGACATACCAAAATATCAAGTTAGTGAGAACTGTATCAGAAATCCTGTTCACCTGCCTGAAAACTCCCTGCCAGCAATGCTTTCCAAGTTAGGAGAATCAGAAGGACCCCTTTCTCATGAGACCAAGAGAGAGAACACATGTAGGCATGAGCAAAATTACAGAATGGATACAGATCCAGCGCCATCTCCTAATAAGGAGCAACTACCGCAAGGGACCCTAGGCGAAAATCATAATCAACCAGACCCTAAGGAACCAGTTCTTGATATCAGCACTCAATATAATGGAAATGCTGATCATGACCAGAATAGATTAGAGGAGCCCAGATGTGTCAGAAATAAAGCAATTACTACCAAAGATTTGCCCATAGTCCATGTAAGTGAGACCTGTACCAAGCATCCCATCCACCTTCCTGAACAGTCCGTGCCAGCAATGCTTTCCAGAATAATGGAATCTGAAGGACTCCTATCGCAACAAAGTTCTGAAATTGAAAGTATGAGGAAGGACGTATTAAGGCCAGAGCAAAAAGATAAGAAATGTGTAGATCCACAGCCCTCTATATCAGTGGAAGCAGCACAGCAGAGAATCCAATTGGTACATCCCAATCGTCCTAAACCTAATGCAGCTGTTGTTGATAACACTCAAAGCAACAGACATGCTCATGATCCAGTTGCTCAGAAAGTCCAACCAATGAAGGTCAACCTTAAGAAAGATCAAGGAATGAATACAGATGATCAAAGTATTTTGGATAACAATGAATCTGCACACCATGTAACAACCAAGAAGGTCTCCAGTGCATCAAGTGACACGATTGACGATCTTAGACAGCCTGGTAGTGATATCAGAACACAAGAACCTCATGCTGAACAGCAAATGCACTTTAAAATTAATGTCCATGAAGAACCTATCCTAGTCAAAGTAGCTTATCCATCCAATGATGAACCGGTCAAATGGCACCTATTTACAACAGACTCCAGCAACGATTCAACACTTCTACAGTCATCCAAGGATAGTGTTGTGATGGTGACTCCCGCACTTGACAAGTCAACTCAGTGTCAACCTATGGACATGGCTAAAGGCCACTCAGATGATAATTTGGACTTGTTGGTTCCTCGTGGAACAGAAGACAGATCTACTTCTCCCGAAGAGTTTCCTGATAGCATGCATTCTTTTAAACCAATCACACCTTCACCAAGACTTGTCATTGCAGCTGGACAAATGGAACGTACAAGTACCCAGATTGAGGATCTGAACAGAGATTCTATGACGAAGGACACTGTAGACAGTGATTGGAATGGAAAGAAACATGAACATCCTTCTTCAAAGATTAACCAGTCAACTTTGTTGCCAATAGAAACAGAAGGGACAGTACCAAAAGCTAATCTTCACAAGGAAGCACAGAGTGATCCCCCGTTGACAACCTCATCCCTTCAGGTTCCTCCCCTTCATGCTGTTGATGGAGTAAGTCCAGCGTATTCTCCTGTGCTCAGCTCGAGGAGCACGGACGATGAGCTTGCTCAGATATTTGCTGGAGCTAGGGAAAGAGCCCCAGTGAAGCACATGTTTACCAATACATCTCCAGAAATTCCAGCAGCACAAAGATCAATAGTGAATACATCTACCACCACTGATGATATTATCAATGATATCTCAAATGAACCTGTACAAGATGTTGAAGAGATCCCTACCACTGTCTGTGCACAAACATCCCCATTTGAAATTCTAACAGAGCAGAGATCAGTATTGGATGCATCAACTGCCACTGATGATAGCTTAAAACTCATCTCAAACAACCCTGAAAAAGATATCGACAGAGCATATGAACAAACATTCCCATGTGAAGGACCAGCTACCAACGCTAGTGTGCAAACGTCTCCATGTAAAGAGCTGGATAGCTTTAAAGATAGTGAAAGGTCATACCAAAGCTCAGCTACAGAAACAGTAGTCTTGACACAACCTGATGTGCCAGGTTCTGCAGTTGACTCTGGTGTTGCAGATTTTGTTGCTCATGGAGATGGCAACATTGTACAACAGCCAACACATGAGGAATGTTTGTCAGAAAACAGAAGTGTAGGAACAAGCCCGATCGTTCAACTAGATCTCCCTCAAGCAGAGCATTTTTCATCTCTGAACATAAAGACAAGCACACCAAGCATTACCAGTTTCAATGAGCAGGAGAGCCAAGCCAATTTATCTTCTCAGTCAAACAACCAAGAATGCCAGACTGACCTGTCACCAAGTGGTCTATCAAGTCCATCATCCACTGAAGATAGTGATTCTGGCCCGTGGAGAAGAGCTAGCGAGGTCTTGGACGAGCTGTCAGAGAACATGGACACTGAGGAACTGGAACTCTTTGCTGTCCTCATGCACAAGAGACGATTATCTGAACAAACTGTGGACAGGGTCAAGGGACTAGCTGCAAAACTTCGGAAGAGGAATCAGTCAGATGAACTAGTACTTCTGAATCCTGATGTAGGATCCATAGAGAGACTATCTTCAAATCCACCCAGTGCTACCAATGCAGCAGAAGAATTTTCATCACCATATGGTAACAGTCCTAATGTAATAGGTAGTGAACTCAGCAGTCCAAGGATACCAGAACTTGAAGACACTGAGAAATATCCAGACGAAAACAAATATGCATTGACATTATCACCACTAGCACTCTCTGAAACAGGAACAAGAGAATTTGATTTTGGAGTTAATGAAATAGATTTTCCTGCAAAATATAATCAACCATTGAGAAATCATGAGGAGGAACTTGATACAGCTAAAGATTTGCAGACACTGTCTCCAGTAGATGATGAATTCTTGACCCTGCCTGGGCAGAAGGGAAGTATGTCACCGCCAATGGTACCAGCTCTCGAACAGATTCCTTCTCCGAGAAGTGGATTGCCATTTGACAGGAAGCCAGCTCCCCCAACCAAGACTCAGTCAGAAGGACCAATCCCAATCACTGAAAGCCCAGCAACATATTCTAAGGTACCTCTCAGTCATGTTATGGATACCAGCTCCCGTAATGATTGGCACTCCATGCCACTGCAATCTACATGGGATGAGCCTCTGAATAGAAACAACAACAACAGCAGCACTGACTATAGTGAAGATGACATTGGTAGTGAAGAAGTAGCAGCAGACAATCTAAATGATGACCCTGATAGTATTAGGTCAAGGCAATCACCAAGAGCCACCCTTTCAAAGTTTTCTGATGTCAGCTTCGATTCTGAATTGGACTTTCCTGTAGGTGCTAATGACCAGGAAGATGGGTCTAGGTTGGACAAAAAAGATGTAAAAAATCAAAGTGTTCATGCAAGTACACATAGCTTGGATTCAGTCCTCTTTGCAGATAGTGCTGAACCTGAATTGTTAGCTCTCCAGGGAGACACTGATGACAGCAATGCTAACTCTGGCTCTTTGCCAGTTGACTTCAATCACAGTACTGGTTTTGTAGGAGAAGATCAAGGAGAGGGAAAGGACGATCCAAAAGAGATGGAAAACCAGCTGAACGAAGCAGAGTCTTTCAGGATACATGTGCCACAAATATCACCAGCAAAGTTAGATTGGATTTTAGCAGAATCTGAAATCGAACCAGAGATCAACTATTTGCCTCTCAGCAAGCACCCCGAGAAAGACAAGATCCCACTGCCTGGATTCAAACACCAAAGCACAGAGAGTCCCATTGTGATTGCAAAACAACCAAGTGATGTATTGATGCAAAAACCTGAAGGAAAGGTACATCCACAAGTTGCAGAAGTGGAAGCATATCCTGTTAAATTTGCCATGGACAATGAACAGAAAGGGACAGTTCCATCTAGCTCTCTTACAGGCCCATCAGCAAGATCTAGACATGCTCCTGGATATATTAATCAAATACCAGGAAGCAGTGGACAGGATCCGGGAATGGCGCTTCCTCTTGCAGGCAACAGGCATGGAAACCTTGAGAGGACAGGATCAAGTCTAGGTGAAAGCAGTGGTATTTATAGCCTTGCAAGTGAGCTACCCCACCTTCATCAAGTAAAGACTCCCTCAGGCTCCATGGATTCTCTGATCAATGCTGCATCTACTGATGAAGAGAGGGACATGCAGCAGTTACAGTCAGAGTATGAGAGACTCCTTCAACGAAGAAATTCAAGTAGATTAGATCCTGTAGATGTTTCCCGTCCAATGAATGTTCAACAATCAAACAGCCTCAAAGGCTCAGGTAATGATAACAAGAATGCACAACCTCGTAGTAATGGTATCATGAACGGGTACAGTAGTGGGGATTCTGCAAGTGGTTCTGAAATTGACAGCTTTGTGTGTGGACACTACAGCCAAAGCATGGACAGAAGGGACATATCCATAGAGCTTTTAGAAGCACAGGTGATGCATGGTATAGGAGAGACTGATGCACTTCTGAGGTTCCTTGATGATGATCTCCCCTTGGAACACTGGACAAATCGCAAGAGCCAAACAAAACCAAAACATGGAGAAGCAGAACATGGACAACCATCAGCAGATAAGAAAGAAATAACTCACAATCCAAATAACACTAGTTATAAATCTCCAGGTTATCCATTAAGAAGAAGTCCAAGATCTTCTCTGAGGAAATCACCTTCAGGTCCACAATCGTCGAGAAGTTCACCCTCTCCAGTGACTCCACCACCACTTCAAAGGGTTGTGACACCACTTTTAAGAACATCTCCAAGGGAACAGTCCCCATCTCCCAAAGGTCATTTCAAACCAAGTGAACATCTAAAATTCTTGAAGCGTGTCAGGGAGAATGTGGTCAAGGCAACATCCAACCCAACGAGCCCTACCCCATCCACACCGTCACCAAGACCTCAGCTGTACTCTGTGTATCCATCAGAAACACCATTGGAAAACCACAGGAGCTCATCTACATTCAGCCCAGAGAAGAATGACATGGAGCTTTTCCTGAATGAGCTTCGGGAGGCGAGGAGGATGTCCCAGTCAGAGATTTCCAAGGCAGAGGAAGAACTCCATCCATCAAGAAGAAGGTACTCAAATGGAGATGACAGTGTGTTTGCTGATGCTATGTCAGGCAATCATGCATGTGGTGGGGATGCCAGAAAACATCATCCTGCATCTGCAGCACAGAAAGATGGAGATTGCTCTGTGAAACAGAGGCCTCAACGATCAGATGAGGTAAGTCAGGTTTTTCAACTTAATAGACTCACTTATGAAATAATTTTGTTTTTTGACAGAAGAATTATAAGCACCTCTATTTCATGAAATATATGAATTATTCATATTTATTAATATATTATTCGTAAAATATAAAGTCATTAAACATCTTTAACAACACCTTTGATATCCATACTGCTATTTATTGAAAGTTGGTAACTATTCTTGTGACATAGTGCAAATGTGGTGTGTGATGGTACCAGTACCATATTTCTATTTCACCTATTCCTGTCTTCAATAGTAATTACCTGTACAGTATATTGTATATCCATAATTGTGTTGATCGACTGCTTATTTTACAATAGGACCTGATTGATCAGGAGATCGCATCCATGCGTGCTGCTGCAGCCGTTATCCTTCCCACCTCTGCAACACCCTCAGCAGGGATCAGTCCATGCAGGGAAGGGAACCAGTCCGATGAAGAACCATCGGAGGAATCACCAAGCAAGCCATATTATTACGAGATGTATGATCTTCCTTCAAGAGCTGAACCTCCCAGCGGGAATGATAGTCAGAGCCGTCCAAGGTCGCTGTTTGGTTACAGCCTCTATAAAGACCCACCAAGATCACACGATGCCTTGACCAAGACCTACCCACCAACTACAGCACCCCTCCAAGGTGATGACTCAAAGAGAGAAGTTACACCCCTACACCAGAGTGGAAGTGTCCAACTACAAAAGTACACACCACTCAAGAGCACAGGATCATCCAGGAGTCTGTCCGCCCCTCCCAACAGGAGACCTACCCCCCAGCCAAGTGGAGTCTACCTGTCCACACCACAACACAGAGGTGTAGCCAGACCTCATGAGGGTGGTTCCATTGGAAGTTATAGGGGTTCCCCGGGCAGCCAGGTGAAGATATCTCCCGTTAAATCCAGCCTGAGGAAGAGACGACCTCATGGAGGAAAACCCTTTCAAGAGCTTCCAACAGTCAGGGAATCCAAACTAGGTAAAAAGCAAAACACTATTTTCTTATTTATTTCTGACATTTGATGTTGTATAAGTGCTTTACCCATTTGAGATTGAGAAATCCTGGCTCAAAACTAACAGTAAGTTGCAGTACTGGCAATCCAGCAAAAAACAAGAAAGTGTGATTAAAGATGGAATAATCAATATTCCTTTTGGTTAAAATGGAAATTTGATTGTCATCCTATGGCATCCACAATTTTTTGTTTTTAATGATTAACGTTTCTAAGACAACATTAATATTTACATTATTTGAAAGTGAACTGACACTTTTATTTTAAATTGAATGATGTAATTTAGTGATGAGATGAGATTATCTGGTTTTAAGAAATGTATAAAATACAAAAGTGGAACCAAGCAACATATTTGTGATTTTGAGCCAGTGGATCAGTTTTAAGAAGAAACCAGTGACAAAATATATGCACTCTATGTAATGAGAAGTGAAAAGGAAGTAATGTATAACGATTATATTCTCATGAATATTTTATTACTTCTCCCTTGAAAACTTTCAAATGGATATAATCTGCAGAAAGCAGAAGTAGAGACAATGGTAAATCTTTATGTGAGTGCTTGATTGTTTGTTTGTATGATCAGTTCTTGTTTGATGTGATCTCTGACCTCTGACCTTGTCTTGATGAAGTCCTCTTTTCAATTTAAACAGCTTCGGGACTCTACCATTTGGGTGTCTATTAAGGGCCTTTTTGCAAGAGTGGCAACAGAAGTAACATGTACACAAAAGTAATTCCCATATCCACTCATGCATCACCAAACCTTCACTATCAAACATACGTACATGCTCATGCAATGTTGTTATACTCCATCTGTTTTATGGATTATTTTGAATACAGTGACTGTGTGTCTTTCATTCTTTACAATTAAGCAGCTGGCCACACACACATACATCACACGCTACAACCAAACAGTAGCTATCTGCTTTCAGCTGGTCCCATTATGAAATAATCAATATAGTACAGCTCCTTCGGAGCATTACAGATTAAAAGAAACATTTACAGTGTTACAGGAAGGGTAAAGAAGAAATCAATCTGAAGTATTGATCCACATTGATTGGTTCATGTACAATAAGCCTGTGGCTGTCACAAATGCATGGTCATGGTTTTGTGAGAAAACATCAAGGAACAATGGAACAAAAGGATTGTGTCAAAGATGGTACCTTTTCAGTTTGGGCACTGACGCAAAGTCAAGAACAAACAATATTTGTGGATCCTCTGTTACTTTTGCTAGTGAATATGTATGTTACAAAATTAACAATTCTCTCTAACTCACAAAATTGTCATTGCACATAGGAAGCTACATAGGAAGCTACATATCTCATACACATATTCAACAAAACATTTTTGTGAACGAAATTGCTGGATTCATCACTAAATTACAGTTTTGAAAATAGTGCCATTGTTTTTCCCACATGAGCCACTAAAAGTTAACACGATAGGCATGGGATGGAACCCTGCCCCCCCCCCTCCAAAAATATACACCACATGGTATTGTTAAAATTACTGGTACCGATAATACTTAACATAGGGCCGTTCATGTTCATGCTCAAATTCATTCATCCTGCATGTTTGAAGTCCTTCCCCCTTCACTGATCATTAATCATCTAATATGTTCAAAATAAAGGAAAGCTATTTAGCTTTTTACTGTCAAACATGGTTTAGTGACTACCTGTCTACAAAGACAACATTTTTTGTTTCCCTTGAAAATGGTTTTTCATTGAACCATGTACTAAGAAAACCTGTCTACAAAGACCACTTTTCTTGTCTCCCTTGGGTGGTCTTTATAGACAGGTTTCACTGTACATTGATACATATACTACTACATCATGTGATAATATTGAGTGCTCTCTATATCTGTTTATACGATTTTATATCGATAGACATGTGAATATTTTATCACTATGCAATTAAAGTTTACCCCTTACGATATTTTCCATACTGCAATCTTTATGCATCAATGTATGTATTCTATTTCATGTTTTGATCACTCATATATACTCTGCATTTCCCCACACTTTATCAAATGTCTGGACACAGATAAACTGCTGCAAGCATTTATTTGCCAACGTTTTCACTCTGAGATAACCGATTTGTCACATGATGTTTTGTTCTATTTTCTCATTTTCTTTGTGCACGTCCTTGTCCACGACCTTGTCCCTGTCCTTGTCCACTCTCCTTTAGTCTGGTCTCGTCCTGAATGTCACCTTGTGGCGGAGACAGCGTTACAAACTCTTGTGTCTGAGGTAAAAAGAAAAAAAAGTGGAGAGTGCAAGAAGCCAACAAGAGCTCAAGCTTTTGAAGAAAACAAAATATATCAAAAGCTGACGTTCTCTAATACTTTGAGCTTTTGCACTTTAATTCATAACAAACTGCACCCTGCTTTTCCTCGGTATTACAAAAATCAAAATCAAAAATATCTTTTTCTCATCGCTTAATGCTTTCATCATAATACCTTCACCATTGTAGCCCTTCCCTCTCGCATTACTACTGGATCTTGTTATGATTTCTCATCTGTCAGATATAGAATATTTATTATCAGGTGTATATGTACCTATATTCTGTTCTTGTATATATCCTTTCTTGCTGCTTGATGTTCAATTCTTTTTCATTTATTGTCTCTCAAACTCTAGATCTCCCAAGTGGAATATATAGTTGACTTCCGCAAGTACTGCCTTGCTTCTAAATACTCATATATGCTCTTTTCATCCACACATTGTTAGTGGGTGAAAATGTCTTCATATAATGCTATCCTTCATTTTCTTCTTCTATGATTTTAGTTTTGTAATCAAGCTATGTTATGTTACATGTTAATGGCTTTTATATTCTAGCTTTGGTGTCTTTGTGCAAATGTTGGGAAATATATTTTGAGGATCCAAACCTGATCCCTCTAAACACTTCTTCTCTCTCTCTCTTTAAAACTCTCTTCCCCTCTCCCTTCCCCCGCCCTCTGTTCCTTTCTCTTCTTTCTTTTTTAAGGTTTCTCCCCTTCTCTCTTGTTTTTTCACTCTTTCTTTCTCTCTCTATCTCTCAGACTATCTTTCTCTCTGCCTCTGTCTCTCTCTCTCTGTTTCTCAGTCTCTCTCTCTCTTTCCTTCTGTCTCTCTCTTTTTCTCAGTCTTCCTACCCCCACCCCCTCGTAGTCTCTTCTCTACTCTTTTCTTCACGGGATTTATATATTATTTCCAAAATGTGTACTTTTTTCTTCTTTTTTAACAATTTGACAGATATTTTATTTACAGAAATCTGTTTGATGGCAGTATACGTTCCTTACTATGAACATTCTTTAATTTGTTTATTTTGTTATATTGTCATCTTTCCTTTTTTTCTTTGCATTTCAAAGAATCATTTCCCTCCCATTATATACTTCACTCCTTGGCAATTTGCATTCCTTCATGTTAACATAATATTAGTATTATTGCTTAATTAAATCGGAATAAGTGTTAAAAGGTACATATATGTTCATTTGTATCACTAGGTAGGAAAATATGCAACCATATTTTTCTCTGCTGTTTGTTCATGGCACTGGCAATTTATGATTTGTCTTTTTATTAGTTTCAAGTTTCACATTGGTCCATGTTAAGTTGCAGTCAATTATTGGTGTATCACTTATCTATAATTTTTCTGATTTATACACTTTTGAAATAGCACATTAGATCACATGAATACCTGATGTCATCACATTGATATTTTAATAGCAAAGTCCAATACATGTTTATGTCAGTAGTAACATTAGAAACATTATTATGCATCCTATTGAAAATATTTCAGTAGGAATATCTATTTTGTACAATAGCACATATTGTCAAATCTTGCAGTTACCAGCTGGCCTGTTGGTATTTTGAAATGAGTATAATGTAGTAATTCTAATTCAATATTTCAACTAGTGCATTTCTATATGTGATTGTATTTAATTAATGTAGCTTTTATTATATAATAATTCTAATATGTCTACAATGTCATCAACATTGTGATAAAAGATTTAAAAGCTGGTGGTGATGAGCAAGATGAAGATGATAATAATTGTAATCATCTTTTTTTGTGATCATGTTTATTATCAATTTTGTACACCTTTCATGGATGTAAACGTTAGTGGGAAAAATCATTTGGGTGTAAAATACAGGCCCTTGCCCATATTCATATTTCAACGATTGATTTCTTTGTCTGACAAACTGTACTATCTTGTATCATTTTAACCTAGATGGCTCCCTGCGAAACTAGTTTTGACCCCAGCAAGTCCCAACAGCCAGATGAAGAGGGAGGATGGAGGTAAATATACAAGATTTTTTTTCTTAAACTTTAAAGGAATAGTATGCCCTATTTTAATCAGTCAAATGATTCTTATCCCCTGTTTGTATGTTTCTAGATAAAAAAAAAGATTAAGAATTCAAAGGTGCAGTCATTCATATCATGATAATTTGTTGAGAATGAGAAGGGCATTGACTCTGTTATAATCTGGGAAATTTGAGAATGGTGGCAGTGCTTTCTTACATGTACATGTACATCAAAAGCAGAAGCGTTATATAGAAAGGAAAGCCGCTTATTCAACATTTAACATATTTTGATTTCAAAACCGCAATATACGATTTGGCACATGAGGACCCAGGTCTACCGATGTTTCCCCCCTTTTTTTTTTTTTTTTTTTTTTTTTAGCAGCTGTGGTATATTACTATTTTCAATTTCTTCACTTGATATATTAAATTTAGTATATTTCATTGGTATATTACATTTTCAATTTTGAACAACTGTGGTATATTACATTTATGCACATTTGAAGTACAATACTCTCAAAAGTTCTTCATATCAGGAGTACCTTTAAAAGAAACCTCTTACATATATGAGAAAATTCAAAGTTATCATACTTCATAAATCTTGAGTATAGACTTCCCAGCTTTCATTGTTTCTTTTAATACAGCTCATTACTTTTTCTTTAAATACATTTACTGCAGCATGCCTTAATTTCTAAAGATATTATTTAATTTACCTTTGACTTAAGGTTTGAAGGCAGAGAACGAGACATACTGCTACTTTGCAAGACCCACTCACCCACTAGTCCCATCAACAGCTATATAGGTATCGGTATCATCAAGGCTCCTGCTAGAACAGTCTTCAATTACGTCAAGAATCCGGTGTGCAGACAGATCTATGACCCTATGCTCAAGGTAAGTTTAGGGCAAGGGTAGATGATGCTGTTTGGAGCCAGAAGAGCCTAAAGATACTTACTTTAAAGCAGAGTTACAAGTAGCTCACTTCTGGCTTTGAGCAAATAAAAGCTATGTGAGGTTAGAGAATACAGGAGTCGGTATCCCTAGATCATCACCTTCCTCGGCCAACAATCAGTCCCCACATTTAAAAATAAAATGATATATTAAAAAGAAACCTGATCGTGACTTCATACGAGGTACAAGAACATATAGAGTCCAAATAATACTTTTACATTGTGCATGAAAATAGTTATGGTCAGTCATGTAGTGGTAAATGTAATGACGAAGCATTGTGCTGTATTAATGATACCTGAAAAGTCATCTTCTATGCACTCTAAGGTTACATACTACATGTATTACCATTATATGACCTGTCTCTGTTTCAAGTTTTTTCAAGCAAAAAAAGCTGTTTTAGTTGATTTCTGTTTTAATTTTTGTTTTCTTGTACGTAAATGTACCATGTCAATAACATGAATGTCAGCTACTCTGCATGGACAATAAAGATGAACATTGTGGACCCCAATGAATTTAAGGATATATATCTGATTATGAAGTAACCCCTCTATTAAATGTACTGGTTGACTGTAATATGTTTCTTTTATTTGTTTTCTTCTTCAGGAAGTGAAAGTGAAGAAGGATTTTGGAGGTGATCTTCAGGTGGTGTACATGGTCTTCAAGACTGACCAATGCCTTCTCCAACATCCCAGAGATTGCCTGTGTGTCATCAAGACATTAGAAATGGTAAAATAACTGTTAGAAATGTAGCAATTTTTACATGCACTTCTAACTGAATTTGAACCCATCGCTGTAACTCTTTGCTTGCTTTGGTCAACCAATGATACAAACGGGATTGCCTCAGTCAACTTTTGTCACACTCCAAACTATGCAGCAGTACAGGGCCCTGTTTCATAAACCTTGTTATCAATAAACAAGATGCGATGATTATTATAAGCTACTGAAGTCCTCGCATTTGATTGGCTATGAACGGATTTTGTCATAGATCTTTGGCAGTCAATATTGATAATATGTTTAATGAAACAAGGCCCAGGATTTCGTTCCATGGTGAATGAAGAACTTTAAATGATATTTGTCCATCTCTTCCTGGTCATTTATGTGAGACATCGAGATAGAAATGATCTTATGTCTTTGAATTGGAGGATTAGATAACTGCAAAACAAGTCAATCAGTTGCTGGCCCCCATTGCTAGTCATTTTATTAACATGGATCTACACTACTAATTATGTATGAAATGTAAACTTACGTGAGATTTCCACAATTGTGTCCATCCTTTCCATGATGCATCAATGCTTTTCTTTTGTGCTTTTTTTCCTGGGGAAATGTAAGTCGATCACATTGTTAAACAAAAAGTGTTTTGTTTGCTATGACAGGATGATCGTTTCCTGGTGGTTGCAGTATCCATCAAGCACCCGAGGATCCCTCCCAAGAAGAAGACCCTCCGTGCAGAGGTGCTCCTGGCAGGATACAGCATCCAACCTCTGCAGACCGAATCAGGCATGGAGCACTGCCGTGTGACCCACCTCTCACAGGTCAATCTCCAGGGTGATCTGCAGCCGAAGCTTATCAACGCCCTGAGCAGCAGGCTGCCTTTATGCGTAGCCGATCTAAGGAACATCATCCAGATCGGAGATGCTTGATTGACCCGAGACTCGTTAGAGCGGAGCTAGTCATCATGGCTGGATCCTGCTTTCAACATTTACAGACTGGAGATATGGAGCACTTCTATTTTCCCACCTATCACAGATAAATCATTTGGGTGATCTTCAACTGAAGCTCATTATCAATACTCTGAGTAGCTGGCTGCCCATGCATGTGCATATAGGAGATCTCAAGCACATCATCCAGATTGGAGATTGTTGACTTGATGTTACTTTCAACAATCCAGATGCATGGTGACCTTCATCCCAAACTCATGGACACATGTCCTCATACAACCAGCTGGCCATTCAGAAAGAAGATTTAAGGAGCATTTTCTGGATCGGCGATGCCGGACTCCCACGTACATGCATGTACACCTATCAGGGCTTTCATCCACCAACTGACCATAATATGCACATGACATAAGAAATCTTGTCTAGATATTACAAGTAAACACCTACTCTCTTTCTCACTGCTATAAATAATCCATGTTTGGTGACCTGTGACTGAAGCAGTATTGTCAGTGCACAGAGCAGCCTAGCTACTGCCCATGTGCATTGCTATCCTGAGAGACATATGGTTCACTTCCACCTAATTGCTGTGATCTTCAACCTAAGAACATCAACACTTTGTGTACATCAATCACCAGTTGTGCCTTCGTACTGAAAAGATTAACCGTTAAATGCAAGTTTGTAACTACGCAAGTAGCAGTGTTCAACCATTTTGCTCCTGAGCTGCCAGAAACCTGTACCACCACTTCTGTAATATGCAGTGAACCAGCGGAAAAAACACCCTGTACCTATAGCTAAGTTTGTGCACACCTGTTCTCGAGAGCATCACTGGTTTTCAAATAATGCCACCTCACATCTTTGTCATGAATATTACAATCTTTATTGAACATGAAGTATGACCTTTAGCCTCGCATTAACTTGAAAGGTGTGAAAACCTGTGATGGTATCAGAAAGTTAGTGCGCCTTGCTGAGAAATGGGTGTGTTCTGCCACAAAAAGTTCAATGCATCCCCTTTGGGGAATTTACCTTAAATTCTGTCAACTTCATCATCTACCTATGAATACATGATATAGATGAAGGGAGGTGTTTCATCATGATATCTTTCTCCATCTTTCTGTATAAATGAACAGTCATTTTTGCTTTCGTGAATTAAAACAATATGAAAGTTGCCAATTTGAAGTAGAGGATTTATTCAGCCTTTGATTTATCTCCATTCTTGACTGGTTGAATAGAAGCACCATCCCTGACTGAATCTGATAATTGGCTAATGAATATTCATGAACTATGGTTAATGAATATTTGTGAACTAATGAATATTTATGATTGCCAGCTCATCTTTCTTTACTCAATTATGCTCTATTTTAAGCAATCTTTCAAGCAACATAATGGAAACACCTTGATTATTTAACTTGCCATGAATTTTAGTGGTAGGAAACTAGCATTTTTTTTTATAGATTTTAACTTCAAAATGCAGAATGGAAACACATATTTAGGTAGCTACCTTAGGTTATTTAAAGCTACAAATGTAATATGAATCAAAACTTATGTATTCAATCAGAGCTGACATATGGGAATATTGAAATGGGATTACAATTAGAATTACGTTACCTTGCAGTTAGATAGTGAAGGTTAATCAAGGATATAGTACTTACTATGGACCATATCATATTCTATTCATCTTGAAACATTAAAAGGAAGGGAAACAAATACAGACAGTGATATATAGATTTGTAATTAGCAATGGGGAAATAAATCTTTTTAGATTGAGAAAATACTTTGACAGGGTATTTATTTAGTTCATATTGACTAGGCACACTCTGCTTCTGATCAATTTTTTCGTTAAGTATTTACCTTCATCTATATGTAACTGACAGAATATTGTATTGTTTGAAATCAGCTGAACTAAAAATGCAATATTAGAACAAAATAGAACAAAATTTAAGCTTCCATTATTTGAGAGCAAGTTTTTTACATTGACATCTTTTCTAAAAGTTGTATACTACATATTTCAGCAGGAGTCTATTTGCTACGAAAAAGATAGGTTAATGTTTTATGATGCTATATTCAAATAAGTTTTGGGGTTTTCAAAGTTGGGTGAGAATAAATTAATGCAGTTTAAACAGATGACAGAAAGATTTATTAATATGCATCATGATGAAGTGATTATAACACATTTATATGGTACAATTATATGACTTTTGTCGTCCATGTTCTGAAAGTTATTTGTATTATTGACAATATTTACGTCAATGAATTTCAGAACAACCTCTTACAATCACCTTGATATTGGCAGCTGAGATGTAAAATGAATTGTAGGAATCATAGAATCAATAAATTCTTTTCAATATGTAAGAAACTAGCTAATGTTATCCTTTTTTTCTACTGTTGTTGATACTTTTGATTTTCTACAAATAAAATCAAACATGAAAAGCAACTTTTCTACTCATTATAATGCATGTTTTGAAGGATGTAGAATTTAGTTTACTGTGTTATTGAATGAGTCAAAGTACTTTTATTTAATTGATAAATCATGACCAAGGTCCTCTATCATAACATTAATTTCTTGATTAAATACTCTGCAAATATGTATTCAATGCGACTAGTTCTACTTAATACAGACAATGATATATTATCATCTATCATGATATTAATTTCTTGATAAACCGTCTGCAAAGATGTATTCAATGCAAATAATTCTACTTAATACAGACAATGATATATTTTCATAAATGTACAACAAGCTTTTCAGAAACCTCATCTTTCCAGAGCGAGAAGGATGTTTATCCTAAACCCTTTACACCGAGGTAATGCCCTTCTTGCTCTTAACCATCCGTTTCTCTATAAAGTAAAAGGAATGCGGGTCAATTGAATCATGAATAATGGAAATATAAAGTACGCTGTTTGTGTATACACTTATCAACCATAAAGTATTCAAAATAGGTCATGGCAATCAGCAGTGAATGGACGTTTATTTTGTTATTGTAAATGTACCGGTCCTTTCACTTAATCTACTTCAGCTAAATTGGTATTCAATTTCTAACTCTTCTTTTGTAATGCACAAACCGTAACTGCCAATTCATCACAACGTGAGATGATAAATTACATGTGGAGTCCTGAACGATGATTAAGCTCTTATTTATTAAAACATTCCATTTGTACAGAACCTATTTTCAATGAGTATACAGACAGAAGATATGTACATGTACTTGTATATAGTGTAGAGAAACGACTATTTGTATTCTGGATTTCACAAAAATACATGCTTCCAGACATTTGTATTTAATTTGAGATGTATTTATTTAATATGAAAAGAGTTCTAAACTCACCGGCCAATAGGATGTATTCCTGAATCTCAATTAGATTATGTTGGTGATTAGAAATTACTTTGAGAGAGTGTATATGTTATTTGTTTGCCATTTAGTTTGTTTGTATTTACAGTATTTCATATTTATTTATCATCAGGGCAAGGTGCTATTATGAATGTAATATTTCTGTTTGTTGTTTTGCCCATTGATAGTACGATTTAGATTTTGTTGTCGTTAAATTGTAATCTCATTTTATGATTTTCATTTTCAATCAGTTGTGTGTCACGAGTGTGCTTATTATTATGATGAAAAATACAGATCAATTGTTTCAAGTGAAATTATAACCGTCTTTAGTTGCATGTTTTTGTGTGAAATTGAGAGATAATTAAAATTTGCTTGGTGTGAGAGATAACAGTGAATACAGTATTTGTCTGATATTTGATATGGCAGTGGAGTTGATGATGATGACGGTGATGATCATGGGGTTAATTTTGTTGTGTCGATGATGATAAGATATTTTGATAATTATTGCAAATACACAAGACAAAATTACGACACAATGTCTTCAAGGCATTTTTTTAATTTTAATAACGCCCACTTTTATTCTTGGACTTAAAGAACATAGGTGCACGAACACTCTCAATACAGCTGTGTTGGTCTTGAAGGGACATCTCTTTTGTGATACTCAAATTAAAGTTTGGGCTTTTAATAACAGATGTCCCCCCCCCCCCCTCTCTCTCTCTCTCTCCATCTCTCATATTTTCCCTTTTCCCACCTTTCCTTTCTCATTTCTCTTAATTTCTTAGCAATTTCCCTTTGTTTTAATACTAAAATAAGTTTAATTAACATTCAGTGTTTTATTTTACTTTATGATTTACTAATCCCATTTTTGATTGACTCAACTACCTAACAATTCACCAACCTAACAATTCACCAACCTACTCCTAATTCATATTTTGCTATTATATCATTTTGAAACAGTGAATGCTTTAGAATACTGAAGATCAAAAATCAAATCTACTCACAACTGGATACAACATAATACTAAATTTTAATAAAGTTTGTTTTTATTAAGTATTAAATATAACCATTTACAACTATTAATATTGACTGGAAGAGTATTGCTCAGTCCATCACAACTAGTATTGCATCAATCAATAACACTTTAGTTATTACATACATTCTGCGTTTCTTTTAAGTGTGTACATGTGTAACATACATTTTCTTTCAAATTCCCATACCTCTCCATTTTTGTCTTGCAAAATCTCTTTAAATTCAAAAGAAAAAGAGTGTCTTATCTAAAACACTGCAGCAAAATTCTTCAAAGACATATCACAAACTCATGAATTGACAAATCACTTGTATAAAGATTCGTGTTCATTTTCCTTGCCCCAAAGGGTCAGACTACAAAGTACCAATAGCACTAAACAAATCTATTTTCATGTAGGTAAAACATGTGCAACTGTTTCTATACATATTCATGAATAAATTAAAATAGATTGAAAGGAATATTTTTTTTAGAATCTACATCACAATTTAACATTGTCAATTATAAGAGGTGACACTATAGTATACATCAGCCATCTCAACAAATTTGTGCTAGGAGGTTTTTGACATTTTGTGTACCAAATACTAAAACTAAAAGCACGCATGGATAAATAGGCAGACAAAAACATCTAAGAAATGTACCCTGAAAAATTTGTGCATGAAACTTCATGAACAGAGAATAAGCAAAGTGCATCAAATTAAAACATAAAAATCTAATACCAGAAGAAAAAAATAACTACAATTGTGTGAGAGGTAACTTCAACATGAAAGTAAAAATGACAAGTAAAAAAGTCGGTCATCTCTACAGAATTTAAACCTTACAAAAACATTATTCATTACATGGGATATATGTGGTATACTAAAAATCCAAAAATCTAAATGGGCAAAAAATCTTTCAAAAGCAAATCCTTTGGTGAAGAAAAAAATATATATTTTCAATACATAGTAGAAGTCCATGTTTACAACTAAATAAAAATAGCTATCGTCCATGTATTAAACAGCAGCCAATGATAGCATTTTGGGTCATTAAAATAGAAGACTTTAAAATTTATCTTGGACGGAATATCCAGATGGATATAAAAGAATATCATCTCCACACATTGTTGCTAAAAGTAACAATATCACATTCAAGATCTACTGAAATATGGTCATTCAGGTTCTATAGAAAGGCTTTAAAAAGATATAATAAATTGTGAATCTGACTTAAACCAAACATTGTCTGCTAAGAGCCAGAAAGAAGTGCATCACGGCAAACTTTCAACAGAGTGGACATCATTCTGGCCCTCAACGAACAATATATAGTGTAGGGAGGCGTAGTACAGTATTTGTACACGCACATACATGTACATGTACTGCAGAGGGAACTAAATATATGATATACATGTACATTTATTTTTTCAAATTAGAGTTCAACTTAATCCTCTTTTTCCTTTGACTTTGATGAAAGATATGTAGATGAATAAGCACAAAATAATGTAAGATGCAACATATACTAGGAATAAATAAAATATACATGTTTCAATGATGAACAACTAAAATAAATATTTTTCAACAATGCTAATGTTACTAGACATATGAAAAATGACACAAACTATGAGAGAAATGTTAAAATGTTTGTAGAAGCAAATTAATGTAGTGTCGAAGCACACCAGTACACAATATGAAACATGTATCATAAAAAACTTGCCTATCACAATTAACATTCTAACACAACAACTTCAGTAAGATTAGTAAATCCTCTACAAATGGATGAGACAAATTTACAAAGAAGAAAAAATTCATGAACTAGCATATAATCACTATATTTTTCTTTAAGCATTTTATCACAAAGCCCTTTTGAATTGCATCTCACTCTTCTGTTTTTGATCCTGTATATTTAAATATGAGTTCTAAAAAAGAATCGACATTAGAAAAATACATTTACTGGTAAAACGTTAATAAGACTATAAACGTTTTTATGATCATATGGGAGGGGGTGAAACCATAGATAGTACAGGGTTGAATGTAAATTAAAATCAAGAGGAAGAGATAGAGATTTAAACCCTGCCTAGTGACTGCTTTCTTTCTTAAAAAAAGGTATTTCATATACAGCTGTCTCTCTAAACACAGGTGTGGTTTAATATCAGGTATCTCGTTGAATAGATTTCTTGAATATTATAATAACCTTGCTGACAATATTGTAGCATTTCAAGAGTACTACTGCACAGAAGATATGAGCAAGATACATGTACCAATGTGAGTAAAAAAAATATATATAAAAACTGAGTATCATTAAGAACTTTTTTTTCCTTCACCTCAAAAGAAATTTCTTCATTTTGTATTTCAGGTTGACAGTGGTGCAGCATTTTACATTTAGTATCATTTAAGTAGTCCACTTGCTTGATGGCTAAGTGGAACACATCTTCATTTCCATTATCAGATAAATATAAAAGACAAAATGGCATACAGTCTAGGTCAAAGCATGGTTAGATTATAACACAATCAGTCATGATGATCTACACCGTAAAATATCATTAGCAGTCATCAAATATGTAAGCTCTTGTCTAAACTTCAAATTCATATACTTTTAAAAGGAATATCTTTTGATTAAGCGTTGTTCCAAACGTTGAGATAATGAAAGCCATAGTTGAGTACAAGTACAGCAACTCACTGGACAGTAACATACTGATACACTGTTATATCAAGTAGACGTGTATCAACAGATTTCACCCTGTTTAATAGCCTCAATGACAAATAATTGCATGTTTTAGTATTTTACATGATATTGGCTCTGTCTATGGCACACAATGCACTGTGGTCCTTATTTTGACTGTGTGTCACAATGGATCAAACCCAGGGATTGGACAATCACCCCCTCGCGCTGGACTACCACCCCCTCCCTTCTTACAACTGCCCCCCTAAAACATCATGGACAACTAACTAGGAGTAGGAGGTACCAAATATCAAAGAGTTGTATAATTTATACAAGAAACTTTTGGGGTAGATTCCTTAGGGAGATATAGTTGTTTAAGAGGTAAATGTCCTGAGGGAGTAGTAGACTGGAAGATAGTTATCATGATTGTCCTAACCATACAAATCTCTGAGGTACTCAAGTAGGTGGAAGGTCTGTAAACCATGGTACCGACCCCTATTAAGCCTGCCGTGGTGCCTCTTTTTTTTTCTTTCTCAAGAAGCGCATTTTAGACAATCAACTTGCAATATTCATTGCAATTAAAATTATTGGGACGGGGAGATGAAAATAACAAAGGCATTTCTTAAACTACCGACTATTCTAAAACTAGAAACAGCAATACTAAAAAACTGGTTTAAAGGTACTAAAAGCCAATAAACAACGTTGTGCATAGGAATGAATGAATTTGGAAGGACTAACTTATTTCCTTAAAAACATACTATTATATGTGATATTCTTTTAAGACACAATATTATGTGGATAGAACCTGTGAATATCTCAAAATCAGATGGAAATAGGAAATGCAGAAATGTACTTGTGGCAAGGTATGCAGAGGTACATGTAACTATCCACTGTGGAAATACCAAAGACTGTAACAAAATTAACTTCTGAGTGAGTTCTGACTAATGTAGCAAGCACCTTTGTATATACTATTACAACTAGCACACATATACAAACACACTAAAATTACAAGGATTTATCATTTTGTCTTCCTTTCACACCCATTAGAAGATGCATGTTCTATATTATGTGCAGGATCTGGGGTGTCCACAAAGTGTAGCCGGAACGTATGCTTCATAAGGAACTTCTCGTTGATTAGAGTACCTAACATCCAAAATGGGAAATACTCCAGTGTTATCAACCCTAGGAAGTCCCACTCAAAGGGGGTGTAGTCCCACGGGCAAGCATTGAACTGTGTAAGAAGAAGCCCCGTCGAGAACTCCCACAGATAGATCCACATTGAGTACATCAGAAGGCGGACAAGAAGTGGCACTTTGCCGTTCAAGCGAAGGTACATCTGCTCCATAACTAAGCTGGAGCCGCCGTAGATGAAGAGGGACCAAACGCTTGTGTTCCCGGGAAACTTCCAGTTCTGGTTGACGACAAACTCCCAGGCTGCCGTGAACATCACCTCGCTGAAGTAGCCGTGGATTGCATAGATGTAGAATCGCACCCATATCGACAGTGGTCCTTGGTCGAACATGGTTTAAGAGTCTGTCTAGAAGATTGTCTTTAACAGAGATGCACCTGAATGGCTGATGTTGATGTCAGGAAGGAATTGCTTCTTCAGCTTATAAAACAATGAAGGAAAGGTTCTTGCCTCAGGCTTGGTTCTGGTAAGAAAGAAAAAATAAAACAATCTTGCATTCAGTTTATCCAAGCTACTAGATCTAGATATATTCGTCCAACATACTGCTTTGATTTCATGTTATGTCTATTTGGTGTCAGTAATTGTTAGCTGAGATTAATCTATTATTGGCTAATCTTGGCCGAGGTCATTCAATTCCATTGAATTGATATCACTTTGTCTCTATTTCTGACTCTCACTCTGACAATCTAATTTAATAAGGGTTTTGGTCTTAGACTAAAAAGTAAAAAATAATCAGTAAACTCTATAGTCTATAATCTATATAACTTTTACTCTATCATCTCATTTTAATCGAGTTACAATCACGCTTAACACCCACATGCCTAGTCTATCAAACAATAACAAAGGACAATGCATGCAACACCAACCAGCGCGGCGACAGCTCCGAATGTGAACACCGGCCGGCTTGCGCGGCCCCGGCAGCCGGCAGGTACTGCGGAAATCATAGTCATACTCGATATCTTACCGGTGTCCCAGACACAGTGCATGCAGCTGCAGCTACACAGCTGAAATACATTACTTACATATTACAGGGTTCACGGATGAATTAATTAATGTCAAGAATGTCGGCTATACGTACAAATACAAGTTAAGTGGAGAAGTTAGTATACTCGTCACTTACTCGGCAAAATTACCTGAGAACAATAAAAATTCACTCACGAAATCTGTTGTTTACCTTTTCTCTCACACGGATCACGGATCAATGAATCATATTATACAATTTTACCGTATACTAGATGGCGCTACAGATCTAGATGAAATGGGAAAATAAGCCATTAAAAAAAAAAAAGCCATAAGACGGCTAATTAGTGATGACCACCGATCTATAAAGGCCATCTGTCACCCGCATTGCCTCCTTCTTGAAGGAAATGTGTGTTGAAACATCTATCTAAAATTGTGTGTGTTTCCCTTGGCTGGCCATAATATACAGGTCTATATACATGACTATGTTCATATTGCATTTCAATTTAAAATATACCGGTACCTATTGTGATTATGAATGGATCAAGACTATATAGATGAAGAGAAAAATAGCCCCAGTCCCATATAAATGGCACTGGCTAGATAATCACAAAGCAAGTTAATTCAATTCAATTTGATCTTAAATTAATATATAGAAATAGAATCCACAGTTTTGGATTATATTCAATATTGGAAACAACGCTAACTGGGAACAGTTGAAAAACCAGTTGATTACCAGTAGCGACCAGCAATCAATCAACTGATAATCGATAATCAATATTGCTTAGCATATCTGGCAACCAACTAAACCACATTAATTTAGACTCTTGCAATTACCCCATCACAAAATCATTTGAGGTGTATTACATTTGAGTGTATGGTTAATTGAGTACTTGCGCGATATCATACATGATTTTACTGGTTATTAATTACATATATCAATATATCTATTTTTACGTCTTAAATTAGATGTAAAACATGATCAGACATAATATATTTGTCAATGATTGACTAATAAAATATAAATCACAAAATTAATTGTGCATTGTCACATTTGCTTGAGATCATGATAATAACGTTTTCGGGTGAAAAAATGCAAATTAATCATCAATATGCATTAGATACATTGAACTGGTTTTTCAACTGGTATTCTACTGGTTTCTACTGGTAAATCAACTGGCAATCGTATACTGGTGTTCAACTGGTCAAATCATCTGGTAATCATCATCTAGTGGTTTTCAAATGGTAGAGCAATCGGTAATAATCTGCTAGTTTTCAACTGGTAAGTGGTAATCATCTGCTGGTTTCTAACTGGAATCAGCTGGTATCAAATGGTCCAGTTTGGCCACTTTGCAGCAACTGAAATGAAGTTATGAATTACCAGTTAAGCCCACTGGTTTTAACCGGTATCAACTGGTCTGATAATATACCAGTATACGCCTATGGAATCAACTTGTAAACTACACCAATTGGGTTTCAATATGTTCCAACAGGAAACAATTGGTCTCAAATGGTCCACTTTGTTTTATGGGTTTTAAACTTGAATCAACTGGCAAATGTACCAGTAAGGCCTATTGTTTTTAACTGGTATCAACTGGTGTAACAATTAACCAGTATGGTTAATTGGTTTTAACTGGAATCCAGTGGGTTTTTTTTCAGCATGTGGCAGTTAGGTCAATGGGTTTCAACTCCAATATACTTGTGCATGTGAAGATTACCAGTGGTGCCAACTGGTTTCAACTGGTACCAGTTTAATCCAGTTGCAACCAGTAGAATAAACTGGCACATAATATATTCCAGTTCCGTCAACTAGATTCAACTGGTACCAGTTGATTCCTGTAGAAAATCCAACTGGTTTCAACTGTTTTTTATACAAAAAGTATCAAAAGAAGATACAAAATTGTATTGAAAATCATCAACTCTATAAATAATCAATAGGAATTAAAGTGGATTGAGACCGGAAAAGGAGATGCAAATACAAATGAATGATTGAAAATTCATCAAAGTGCATGTACATGTAATCAATTTACAAAACTCAAAGAGAAGTAAAATATCCAAAGGAGAAGCAAATTATACATGAAGTACATTTAATGCACTAGCTGTCTCGAATTTACAGCTAATTAATGGGGGGGGGGGGGGGATACGCTGCAGCATTACATGCAATATTCGTTAAGGGAGGGGCGGTGTAGGGAATTCTAGTGTGCTTGTGATGAAGGAGGAGCTGGCCTTCTGCTTATTTGGGAGTGAAATGCCATTCATCGACCCCGTGCAAAAGTCACTTCCAGATTCCTGCACATTGGCCAATCGGAAAAAGTGTGCCCCTTTTGGATGAAACACATCATGATGTGAAACAAAATAATGTGTAACGCAAAATTTGTCATTTTTCTTCCCTTCACTAATTTTATGCCAGAAGCATTAAAAGACAAATATTCTTTCTCTCTATTTTGTCGTCCCCCCCCCCCTCTCTCTCTCTCTCTCTTTCTCTATTTTCTCTCTCTCTCTCACTCTCTCTCTCTCTCACTATCTCTCTCTCTCTCTCTCTCTCTCTCTCTCTCTTTCACTATTATATATCTCTCTCTCTTTCTCTCTCTTTCTCTCTCTAACCCTCCCAACACATGAAGCAGTTTGGCTCTTAAGCCCCTCTGAAGTGCTAGTATTCCCACATTCGCCAAAAAATTGACTGGCAAAATTTCACCTAAATTTTTTTCTAATGTGAAAGAGGATTTCAATCAAGTCACACTTCTGCAAAGATCCCCCCCCCCCCCAAAAAAAAAAAAAAAAAAAATTGTGTTTGAAGCTAGACAATAGGTAATACAAAGTTTTGGTTTGGGGTAGTGAATTAGGTTCAAATGAACATATTGGAAGCATATGCGATCCTACAATATTCACTGATCGGTAAATCTTTATATTCAATTTTTCTCAAAAGTAGAAGTGTTTTAGGGGCTAAAATTACTAGTGCTTTTAATACATCCACAGGGGCTTCCAAATATATCAAAATTGTAAAGATTCACTATCCACCCATTTTTCAAAATTTCCCAAAACTTTGTAATACCTTTAATAAAGGAATACTTTGTTTGGGTTTTCTGTTGTACGCCGTCTTACGGCCAATGGACCCATTTCATCTAGATCTGTAGCGCCATCTATACGGTACAATTAATATGATTCATTGATCCGTAAATATTAATAATCGACTTCAAACACGTTTGTTTGAAAATCAGAAATGTGTTTTAGATGACATTCTCTTTCATATTTGATACAATTTTATTAAAATGTTGCCATCAAATTTTTAGGGCTCCCTTTTCCCATTTCCAACAACATCTCTTAAGTCTCGACCCCCCCCCCCCCATTTTCTCTCTCTCTCTCTCTCTCTCTCTTTCTCTCTCTCATATTTGCATAGGGACCTATAAAAATACCCTCGTCTGACCTCGTGTGAAATAATATTTAGGAATTATGATCGGACTGTGTCAGCATAGCATCCTTTTTTCAGCTCATAATGTAATTTGCGATACGCTCTGCCGTATTCTCAACCCTTTTAATAGCCATGTAACCCATTATGCACAGTTGGATTGTTTGGGACTTGGATACTAGTGTTGTTACCTTGAAAATCATTTCCGTGAAGTTTTCGTCCACATTTCCACTTTTGTATATCACGGGCGGATCCAGAAATTTTCAATTGGAGGGAGGGGGGGGGGGGGGTAGCGGTTTTTCAAAATAAGTCCAAATGATCTGGGTTGAGGCGATCACACACTGGCAATTAATTATTGTAGGCGGAAGGGTCATGGGGTGAAAATATGGAGCTAGGATTTGTTATGATGCAAAATTAATATTCTTATTCTTTGAAAACTGACTGACTGACTCCGAAAATACATATCTGCTCCTTTTTGTAGGCTCCGGACACCCCTTGATAGTGAGTATCATAAATTTATCTCTGCCCTTATAATTATCCATGGCATATTCTATATTCTGATACAATGTATGTTGATTTTGTTTTTTCTTTAATGTAAAGAGCATAGAGAATTCTGCGAATTAGTATGCGCTATACATAAGCACTTTCTAAATAGTTATCATTATTATTATTATCATTATCATTAATAATGGTCACCGATGCCTCCATAAAGAAAGGGATAGGGATCCCCCTAAGGAGAACTGACAAATATCGATACCTTACCCCACGTGTTTCTTTCCTTCTCTCCCCTATATTTCCCTCTTTCTCCTTCTCCCCCTCCCCCTTCCTCCCCCATTCTCTCTCTCTCTCTCTCTCTCTCTCTTTCCCCGTTTCCCTTCTTCCCCCCTCTCTCTTTCTTTCTCCCTCCCTTCCCATCTCCCTTCTTTTTCTTCTACTTTTTTCCCCTTCTTTTTCTTTCCTACCTCTCTTTTCCCTCTACTTTTCTTCATCCTGTTCCATTACTTTTCTCTTATCTTTTTCTTCTCCCTAAAGGGGGCGCCAGGAGCGGCCATCCTTCGCTGCATGGACGTAATATTCGACTGAGTTACATTCCATTTCACTCAAATTTCTATTTGTTAAATAATGCAACCCGTTCTTCTATCATACTAATCCCAGTTGTAAATGAGTATCATTATATTATTATACCCTCAAGTTGGACTCTGCCCTCCTCAAACCCAGCAACCCAACTCCGAAAGCTCATCTTTAAAGTCAACTCTAGCTAAATTTAAGTCAGGATATTGGGGCTAGGTGTGTGGTGAGGTCATCCTAACCCCATTTTGTTTGCCTATTCAATCTGCATGACAATAGAGCATAGTTCTCTCTTTTCCCCCAAAGCCCACCGTGTACCCATCCTGAAAAGAGATGCGTTATGCTCCGGTAACTCCTAAAACGGGGTACGCCCAAGAAATCCTATTCATACCTGGCGAACCTTCCCAGTCGCCCACAATATTAATCAACACACATGCGACACATGGATTGTACGTCACAATTTACATGTAGACTTATATCATCCCGCCGTACGTCAGACTAGAGTAGACGTGTGTTCATACACAGACATTGTTTTCTTAAACTTTATTTTGATAACAGAAAAATATTAATCGCAGAGAGAAGTTGAAGAGGGAGGGCCCGAGTAACATTGAACTGGCGTTGACTTTTGAGGAACTGGTGACGTATTGCGTCCCTGTTTTTGCCACCAAGGCGACACTCTGGGCAGCACATTTCAGTGTTGCCTAAGCTGAGCACCGAAAGGACTGCGAAACTTGGGCTTCAGTAATACGTTAACCCGTAAGTACAAACTCTTATTGCGAAATTGTATTATAGAAATTCATATTCGATTAAACTTCAACTATTTTGTTAAGTACTTGTATAACATTATAAGAATACATGGAATTTCGAATGACGTATTATTGTGTAGTGTACTATTTATTGGTATAGTAATAGTAGTACGTGTAGTAGTACTAGTAGGAGTAGTAGTAGTAAGTAATGATAATAATATGAATGATAATAGTAATTACAAGAAATTAATAAGTAATGAATAATATGATGTATACAATGCATATTATATACTATGTAATATATAATGTATAACGTATAAAATATGATAGGCCTATATAATATACGATAATGTATGATAAAACTATTACTTTTATTTCTGCTACAAATTCTGTCACCAATGCACTTATAATTCTTCTACTTCTATTTTTGCTTCTGCTTCTTCTTCTGCTACTTCTATACCTTTACCACTACTTTTACATCTACTTCATCTACGTCTAGTACTAATACTTATACATAGCTCTACTTCTACCATGTTTAGTTCTAATCACATTGTTTTATTGTGATCTGTACTAATTGATGGTATCACCATTATGTATTGAATCTATTCGATAGTTATTTATATTGTATTAATGGAAAGTGTTTCTAATTCTAGTTCTACCACTACACCATCTTTTATAGCTGAATTGTTATCACTATTACTACTTGTGCTGCTGTATTTTGCAACCAGTTGTTTTGTGGCCTTCAAATCAACCAAACTTATTCACTTCTCAATACACCGATTGTACACACCTGTAGATATCAATGGATGCTATCATTGATTGTATTGATTATTTTTATTTTACTTCTATCAGTATAATCTCTCACCTATAGGGTACACCTTTTGAACTAACTAAAGATCATCCGAGATGATCTTTTGAAGACAGCGAACACTGTCCTTGCATTGTGTTTCAATACTGTCGCCTTTCCAAATCTGTTATTATACTTCAGAGATAAACAGCATTCGATTTTAGGATCCCAGTAGAAATGCAATGAACAACTTTCACATCCATATCGTCAAATTACTCTATTTGTTGATGGAGAACATCAGGCCAGATAGAACCAATAATTAATTTAGACATTTAGCATTGTGTTTACGATGCGGGGGCATTGCATAAAATTTAGTTTATCAAATACGTATCTATTTATTCAGTTATATTTTAATTTGCCAGCACACCATTTTGTTTAGTACCAGTTCACGATTCTATATTCAAACAGCATGCTCAATCATTATGAAGTATATCTCATATTTTTTATCAAACCTTAGTCGTTTTACCGCCTTGATATATAGTAACCATCCCCATGGGATTCCTACTAGTACCAGGAAATGATTAGTGATGAATTGATATTTAATTGTTATCTTCATGATTTTATAAAACTCAGATTGACGAGTCAAAGGTCAATCTTTTAGCAGAATCTCCCTTTTAGCAGACAATGTTAGTATTTACTTTGTACGGTTCAGTGGATTCGTATCGTCCCTAACAAAACGATTGTCATGAAGTTGGAACGCCTGTAAAATAAACAAAGCCAAATTGAAGTTTTTAAAAGAAGAATAAATTTACCAATTGTGCGATGACATTTTTTTGGCATTTCGATTTCTGAAAGACTTCCTGCTATCACCCTTGCTTGAAGTATTTGGAAGTGTACACCCAATTGGCCGATTTATCTAAAAGATTTGTTAAAGGCTAGGATTTACTTGATACATCTGCACATAGCCCAAAAGATAGGAAATGCTATTTGTGTTGAATGGAGTAAAATTGGATCGTGTTTTTTTTAAACATTGAGGTAGAGAGCTTATCATGTTTGAGAACTAATGTGCCCCCCCCCCCCCCCCCAAAAAAAAGGTTCTTGACAGAATTTTGAATATGCAGACTTGCAGATAAAGTTGTAATTGTGCTTGGCCAATTAATACAAGAAGAAAGAAAGAATTGCGACCGTGAGGTGGGGAGGGGGGGGGGGGGTCCCTTTGCACACATCCTTGCAATACAACCCAAAAGTACATTTAGTTTGCTTATGAGAAACGAGAAGGAAAATATGATACCGACCATCTGGTAAGGGTGCGCTCTGTTATCTTTTTGTTATAGTCATTGCCAAATATTTAGAATATCATGCAAACAGGTTTAGGAATTGAGGTTAAAATATCTGAAAATGATCATGATAAGACCGCGTATCTTTATTACTAATCGATGATACTCAGAATTACTGCAAGTGGCCTGACTGTACCATCAAAATCGACTCATGATATTTATCAGGAGAAAGTATACTCCTCAATGGCTCAATCATTATAATGATCGTCATTTCAGAAGTCGCATATAATCATGTATACCTTAATGCAGATAGTATTTAGGAATTACACTTAAATGATCAGAGATCACTTACATAATCCATAACCTAACATTTGATGATACACTTAAATCTTTTCTTTCCTAAATCACCCACATTAAACCAATCATTTTCTTCAATCTCTTGTGTTGAGGCAAATAGCTAAGCTAATAACGATGAATGTGCAGTTTCATGTTAGATCAGGATGATCTAATAGCCTGCAATTTCATGTGTTTATCTGTCGTATTTGTCAAATCTTCAAGAAAATCGTGACAATTCTACCGCGTCGTTCCGTTTACCATGGCGACAAGCCGACAAGTTTGGTTTCATTTCTCTATTGTGATAATGTTTGCGTTTGGGGGGACTTTGACAAAAACATGCAGATGGTTTGTACACGCCCTTGTACTGTTTGCAGATTGCACAGATAATGAACAAAGTAAACACATACACGTGAAAATAAAAAAGTGTTTTGCCAAATATTTTTAAACGTTTAATAGGATTTTGGTGACCAAATCTTGTATGAGCATTGCATTTGGAGCTGTCGGTGATATGCCTGAAATGCGGAAATTAAAATTTGGATATATTGATTTGGCACTTCAAGACTTAGTGTACGTCAGCCTTAGAGATGGATGATTATAAGTTATTACGAGAAAAAGAATACTGCCTGTGTCTTTCTATTCAGGAATAAATGTCAAAGAAATCTGACCATTACCTTAAAGTTACCAATTCAAGGCTTTAATTTGATTCAATGATCCTTCTTTATGACATATGTTCCGGTGACATTTCGGTCAATTTCTTAAGCTAAACTCTTAGCCAAAGACGAGGCCTATATCTAAACCAATAATTTTATAACCGTAAACTAACTTCTAGTCGAAATCCCAACCGTTGCTCATGATCAATTTTACGAAACAGCTCGATCCCAGAGCAAAATCATATCGGATCGCCGATTTGGATCGAGGCAACCTGGCGATAGGTTAATGTGACGTCAACACTTTTAACTCTCTTTCTCTCCTCTCTCTCTCTCTCTCTCTCTCTCTATTTGCCTTTCATTCAAAGATGCTGTTTTTGTGATCTGTAAAGCACACATAACGACAAAGATTTAAGAGTAGGGATGGACGTGTATCCCATTCAGAGTCTGATGTTGAAGTGTTATTCAACTTAACTCAAAATGTGTTTACAGGGATGGGGGGATAAGTTATGCCGTTCGAGAAAATGTATTCACCAAATGGCCAAAATAGATTTACTATATACATATAGATCAGTGGTCTCAGAAATCTCAAACTTGGTTTCGAATTCTCACCAGCCTTATTCTTTACCTTTTTATTCCTCTCACAATAATTTTATCTCTAATGGTCGCAGTGTAAAACTGAAATAAGAATGATATCTTTTGTGACATGTCCATAAACATGGCAACTTCTATATTATTGGTTTGTCATAATAACATGGTAAAATGAATGCAATATCTCGACAATTTTGTGTGGAATTTGACATCATTTTTCAAAGAATTATATCGATGGGATGGTTTGTGAACTTATAACAAGGAGTTCGAGAGCCGACAATAGAATGCCGTGGAATGCCTATTTCGGCGTGAAATATTCGGATTATGCGCTTATTGAATACAGGGCGTTCCATTCTGAATCGCAATGGTATTTCATGCTTTCTCATGTCACCGTTATGAAGAAGAAAAAAATCTGACAAAAAGAATTGTCTAGTCGTGGTTTATATAAAAAAAAATATCCATGGGTCGGCGCGCACTCCAAGATCTTTTTACACCATCTATTAAACCAGAATAAAATTTTGAAGAAAACTATGATGTTTTATTCAATCTGTGTGGGAAATATCGTAATCAGCATTTTTGCCCATAACTTGGGTCATGATTTGCCAAACCTTGGTATAATCACGATCACATTTTCCTACAAACTTAGCAAAAATCACCTCCAAGTTAGACATAATATAATGATCGACTAAAAGTTGGTCATACACTAATTAAGCATTGGCTTTTAAAAAAACAAACAAGCAAATACCATCAATGCACCTTGGCAGCACTATTGTGTCGTTAAAATACAATTTTCTGGGCCTTGCAAAATTGGACATGCGCTGGTTCCTGCCCATACCGGAGGGGCCCTTTGGAAATGTAATTTGGTTGTTTTGTAGAACGAGTATTTCCTAAACATTTGGCTCCATAGAATATGATAACGCGGTAGATTACTGCGTGACATTCAGTCTTCTGGAACGCTAACATTTCTACCATTATAAGGGGGTTAAGACGTCATCAATTGAATGATTTTGAAATGCCATTTGTGAATCTAAATGCGGATTGCATTTAGCTGTATGCAGCGGTATGATCGAGATATTCAAAATAATGACCTGATCGTTTCCGGGTTTAGATTTACACCGCAATATGTGAACAAAATTGTATTTGAATGAATGGTGGTGGTTATTTTACCTGGCTGCTAAGAAAGCATACATGCTTGTACTAGACAAATAATTTATCAAAAGAATAGTGGTAGTGTTATTCAGCTGATGATCGTTATATATCCCGAAATAACCCTTTCATAATTTTCAAAAGCAAATATTTCGTGTCCATGGAGTGGGGGAAATAAGTCCGACAAAAAACAAGAAAGATGACGTAAAGTGTTCTGCTAGATTGAGTGATTTACCAAGCACTAAGATGAAGCCCACGAGTGTGCCCCCCCCCACCCCCTGGGGAAAAAACAAACTCAGATGTGAGCAGTCAAGGTACATTCCACCCCTCCCATCTTCTGTTCGGGGAGAATTTGTTTTAAAAAATAGCTTTACTAGAAATGTTTTGTTTTTTATTTCAAAAGCCCTAGATTCACTTGTAAACATTTAACTAAATTAAATGTATGTTTGTTTCGTTGACAGGTCACTTTTACAAATGGACACACAAGCACCTGGTGAGTTGACAATACTTATTATTGCTAATGATTACATAGTTAATAATGAGGATAATTTTGAGGAATGACGATAGTCGACGAAATTGATAAGGAGGAAACGTTAGTATGAATTAAGTGTATCTGGACTACAATCATACCAAGCTATGCTTATAGCTGTATATCCATAACCATAACGTTCATCATCTCTTCATATACGATTGTACTCGTATAACATGTAAACTATCTTAATGTCTATATACTGATGTAAATTGCTGCATTGTCAAACATTGATGTTGTATAAGATTACACATGCAGTACCTGATAAAATATTCCATATGTGACCCTTATTGATTTGGATTACATTATGCAGATAATAATCAGCCTTCAACGGTTGCACCCGCAAGCGGTGGACTCAGCACAGATACCATCATCATCATCGTGGGAGCCGTTGCTGGAACGCTCTTTCTTTTCGTCATCATCATGTTGTGCATCGTCGGTTGCATGTATCATCGAAAGTCAAAGTAAGTTTTGATTATTCATTATTGCCGGATTGCTGGCTTTATACCTTCTTCATCAAAATGAAGAACAAGCAAGCAAACAAACGAATATGAAGAAGGATCCGAAGAGAGAGAGAGAGAGAGAGAGAGAGAGAGAGGAGAGACAGGGAGAGAGAGCGAGAGAGAGAAATAGAGAAAGGGGTAGAGATAAGTTAGAGGGAGGGGAGAGAGATGTGAAGAAAGAGAGAGGGAGGGAGTTTAGAGAGAAAGAGAGGAGGGAAGAGGGGGAAGGGAGGCAATGTGACCTCACAATAATTTACTCCATGGACTTTCATCAACCTACGACCGGTGCGCCCCCATTAGTGACCTCCCCTTCCCCGCCAGTAGCTGGGCTTCGCGCAACACCTCTTCTTTACCCTTTTTTTGTCATAAGAAAGCTGCCCCCCCCCCTCTCTCTCTTTCTTTCCCCTATCTGACCCCCCCCCCCCCCTCTGTCTCTAAAAACACATCTATCATATTTTGTTCTAGTTTTCTCTTGTTTTATTTGTCTGCTACGTCTCCTCACCTTGTTAACAATGTCTGTCACTATTTCTCTCTATCATGAATGAAATATAATTTTTCGATGTCTATTTACATTTGTGCATCTTTTGATTTGTTTCTTAGGAGAAATGACGACGATGAGAATGCGGGCAATGTGAAAAAGTTGTCGAAAAAGTCGAAAAAGTCGAAGCAATTACAGCAGTCATTAGCAGGTCGCGACAGAATATTCAGGCCGGTGGACTGGTAAGTTATGCCCTCGCAGCTAGATACATGTATTTTGCAAGCCACACTATTGCTGCCTCATTGTTATAAAGGCTATAGCATTTAGTATCCTTGACCTGTACAAATAGTTGATTTCAGTTCTGATGTTTGCTGTTTTTTTAGTTCTGAATTCACAGTAACCCGAAGCTGTACAATAAATTAGATAGCTAAAAAAAGGTAGTTTTGTTTAAAAAAACAGTATTTCCCTTCGCATTTTATATATCACACACGCATTGAACAAATTAGTTATCCTTACTCCTTGTAAATTTGATGTTTTTTGAGCTCAAGAATGAAAGATGGATTGGTCAAATTACGTTTTTGTTGAATGCCTTTGGATGTAAGCTTTAATATGTCACATTCTCACGAAATGTAAATCGGGACAAATAATTTGTTCTCATTTAAAAATTACACAAAACTTGCTAAGGGTATGAATGATTTATTTGTTAACTGTATATAATTATAATTATATTATATATAATAATATTCATCCCATCTCTCTCCTTCTCTCTCTATCTCGTTGTTGGTCTCCCTCTTTTCTCTCTCTCTCCCTTTCTCCACACCCTCTCTGTTTCTCTGTCTTGATCCTTCCCTTCCATTTCTAATCGTAGGAATGACCCGGAAGGACCCGAAGGAAAACATGACATTTCTGACATTGATCAGATACTCTTTGATGAGAGCCGAAGTCGAAGAGGATCTGTCGCCGTAAGGAATCCAGCTTACAAAGATGATGACGAAATTGTAAGTATTCCGTAAAACTCTACAAGTAGTTCCGTAAAACTCTACAAGTATTCCGTAAAACTCTACAAGTATTCCGTAGCCACAAGGAGGTGACGCTGGGAGAGGCTTATGCCCCCACAGATATTTGTTTCCTCTTATATAGTTCCACATAACAGAATTGAGAAAAGTGTCAAAATACTCTATAAGAACTAATGGCATGTACGTAAAGCAATAATAGAGCAATGAATTATTGTCAGAATGCGATTTTTTTTTTCTTTGCCCCGACCCCTCCCCCGCAGAAAGCGATGATTTTGATCTCCTAGTGCCCCTCCCCGAACTTAACAAAAATCCTAGCTACTCTGTTGAAACGACTTATAACGTTTTCGTCTAGCTACATCCACACCATTCACGAGCTCTAAAGTGGTAACCTAATATATTTCTCATGTGAAAAAAATAGTCACTGCTCTCAGTGAAAGCTCTCGAGAGCTGCATTTTGTACCTGTATCTGTGCCGAAAATAATTTTAAGTATGATATCGACATAAAAGTATATAGCAAACTGAAAGGCACCATCGGCCCCTCACCCACCTTCCTTTTCTCTGCTAAATTTTGTCGTAGCAAGATCGTTTACGACTTAGTCAGTTCTTTGTACAACATTCATTCTTTTTTCTTTCTTTAAAAAAAAATAAGACCATAATATGGACCAGATAGAAGATTTTTGTTTACAATCTGCCAAAATTAATATATTGACTAAATCAGAGGCAGATCAAGAAGGGGTCTTGGGGCTAACTTGACACCCTTTACCCCCCCCCCCTTTCGGTCAGAGAATTGTGGATGAGAAGGCGGACATGGATACGCCCTGATGTAAGGAAGATGTTCAATTTGTAATCTTCCGAAACCTAATTCCTCCTACGTGGGGCAGGACGAAGCCCATGTAACCGACCACATCAAAAGACTTAAGAATAGCTGAACATTGTATTGAATTAAAAGCATTTTACTGGAGCTTAGAAGAGACCAAAATAATCATGAAGTGAAATGACACATTTCGATGTCAACTCCACAAAGCTCGGTAACGTATAATTTTACTATTTCAGTTTCCTTTTTTTAATGATGTGTTGTTCTTTTAAAATATATTTCAGCAAATGGAGAATAATGGATACCCTTATAGAATGGGTAACGGTGTTCCTTCGCGGCCACCCAATCTAGAGATGCTTCCCCCTGAACGCCGCCAATCGACCAAATCAATCGCCTCGTCAAAGCGTCCATCTCTACCCCCATCTTCCCCCACGGAATCAACCCAGATCTCGATCCTTGACATGCAACGCACGTGGGGTGGACCAGACCTGACAGCGGACATCGAGGAGGACTTCGGCCACCAGGAGTTTAACCGCTCGAGGAGGACCAGCCGCTTGAGCACGGTGTCGGGTGCCCACAACGACCTGGAGATCGACTTCTCGGTGTTCGCTGGAGGCGGACGCGGGTCTGCTCTGCAGAGTCAGGAGAATACTTTACGACGGTCGTTCCGATCGCGGAATCAGGCAATCGTAGATTTTTACGAGAGCGGGTACTCGAATTCGATCGGTGCGCGGTCAGCCGCCTCGCTACCGATGTCGAAATTGGACTATCAGATAGAATCTGATGAGAAACCGAACGATGGCAGCGGTTGGGGCACGGGTAATAGACTTCTTTGGCAGAAACGCCAGTTCCAATCAGGAATAACATCTCCCTAATTAGGCTGACGTTAAACTTTGTGCCCGAACAATAACTTATTCTACGAGATGGTCGATTCCATTGAAGGAAAAGGTTTCATCTTCAAACTGATCGATATTTCATGCAGTTTGAAGTGACGCAATGGCGTAACCAGCATAGGATGGCTCTGGAGGAAGACCCCGCCCCCCCCCCCCCCCTTTCCCCGCCCTTTGTTTGAAGGCGTAGAAAGGTCAATCCGCAGTTTGTGTGCGGAGTGGTTTTGGTTAATCCACCCAAAATCCGAAAAAGGATCCACCCCCTTTTTGTCGATATCTGGATATGCTATAAGATGTTACGTCTGTGTGTGATTCATGATGTATAGATGTGATTCATAATTTTTATAGATAATAAACATTATATGAAAGTTTGTTAAACTGATTTGCAAACCAATAGAGAGATGGTCATGCTAATGCGAATTCATTTGCATTCAATGCAGAGTTATCTTTATAAATAAAATATTATATTCAGATCAATTTGGAGTTAAATTTGAACAAAATATATATTTATCTAACTTAGAACATTACCACCGATCGTTCATGTTTTGTGAAAAGTTTTCTTCAGAAAGAAGCACTATAGGCCTATAATGAATACCTTGGTATGATATTATATGATATAGTGAAGGTGCTTTAAATATGATCAAACAAATCACAACCAAGATTTTGAGAAAATATTGTTTATATTCCATGCTAATTTCTTTTCCCTATTTTGTAAAAATTAATACATTTTGCAAAAACATGAAATTAGTTAATACATGGTAGCTGCATGCCCCCCTTGATTCCGGTTAGTCATTTCAACATTCGCCATACTGCTGGGAGTGGTGTTTCACATACAATGTATAATGTATTCAGAAACGAATAAAGCTATGTAAAATATTGGGAAGTGAAATTAAGTTACTCTACTGCATGACTGTATCTGAAGAAAATAAATCCATGTAGGCCTATCACATTTGTAATTTGTAATCGCAACGGAGTTACCTTAAAGTTTAGGAGTTGCTCTTTGTAATCTAAACAAAATACAAAAAATATATACCCCATTAGATAAAACCATTTTACACCATCATGACAAGTTTCAATTTAGGTATCATCAGCTGCTCAAATGAGTCTTTCTATTGCGTAGCCGTATCGTGAACAGGAAAGGTGCTTCCTAACTATGACAACTTGACTTGTTTTGTTTTGTTTTGTTTTGTTTAATTGGTAAATCTTATTAAAAAATAATTGTGAATTTTTAGTGAGGCCTTATATAGTTTTTGCAATATGGTGTTGGTGAATTCGACTATTGTTCACATACACATTGCAATGTGAATTGGGACAAATGTTAATCTAGACTAATATTTGGCTTTCTTTTCCTTGCTAATTGCATAATGGTATACAGTTACCGAAATGAAAACCCATATAGTATTGAAATGGTCGTTTACCATTTTCTGTAATTTGTCACTAATACTATACACGAACAATTGCAAATGTTGATGTAATGAAACTTTCCCTCGTTCTTGTTTTGTTTCCTTATTATTTATATTTGTATAGGAGGTGATTTATCATATAAATATAAGCAAATTATATTCAGTCAATGACTCTTTGGAACTTCATTTTAAAATGGCTAGTACATATTTTAATGGATAAACTTTTGACAGCAAAGCACTCTTTTCTCTAAGTTTAATTAAAGCTTGTATGTGTATACGGATTTTAATTTATGTTCATGGTTATGGTCGCCCTTTTTGTTCAGCGGTAAACAGTAATAAATTAAATGTACCAAATTTTAGTTGTGCATATATTGATGTTTATTCACATGAACAAGTACTATTTCTGTCAAACGGTGTATGTTGATATATTCCATGCAATGTGTGTATTATTATCTTTATCAGGAGATGGATTGTCTATAAATAGCCAAGTTATTATTGATTGTATAATAAAGTACACCAAATTACGGTGGAGAGATTATAATACTCATTTGCGTATGCCTCCTCAGAATTTATACTAGATGTTCATTGTAGTTCAGTGGTAGAGCAATGGTCTTCCCAGGTCACGGATTCGAAACCAAGTCGATGCCGTGTGTTTCACTTCGATATTTCATGATTACCCAACTAGACGATCAAACGAGTTTCACCTACCACTCTTTTAAGAAGTCTTTTATGTATGATGGTCCTAGATTTTGGAATTCTCTATGTGAAGGTTTTAAAAATAGTCCATCCCTAAATTCTTTCAAGAAAAATCTAAAAACATTTTTTGCTCAAATCTTCTAGTAATATACAAGAATAATCTGATAACAGTTGGTAATCATCTTAATTTTTCATTTAGGTCGTCATCATCTGCTTTTTGGGTCATGATTTGCCCTGCTTCTTCCTTCTTCCCCCTTTTCCCTTTTCCTTCTTATCTGTTTTACTTCTCCTTGTTCGTTTCGTGGTTGTTTGTTGTTTTGTAATATTGTCTTGTGTTTTCTAAGTCTTCGTAGGCAAAATTTGAAACAATTATATATTTTTTTCTGGGGGATCCACAAACTACAAACACTGCTTTTTAGTAGATCCCCCCCCCCCCCATTTCCTCAGAAATTAATAATTTCTTGTATAATTTGTATATGTGCAAAGTTTATTTGTGAGTTTCTTGAAAAAATGAATTATGTATGAAGAAAAAAAATGTAATATCTTTGTTTACCTTTCTGTTGGAAATGAAATAAATATGAATATGAATGGATATAAGGCATTATAGTCTTCAATACCAAGTCCATCAGACACGATTTAAAGCCGTATGTCCTTCTGGTTATTTACTTAACAGCACTTAATTGCTTTCTCAGCAGTCGAATAAACTGAATTATCAATCACTCAACTTGCAGTTTAATGGAGAATGGACTTGAAAAGCAAATGAAACCAGTTAATGAAAGCTTATGAAATATATTTTTTGTACATTTTCCCTTTCTTAAAAATAATTTTGTAAGCTAAAATAAAAATCTGTAAGCAAGACTCCTCCTCCTCCTCTACCATCATTTCCACCACTACCAATTCTTCTTCTCCTCTTCCTTCTCCTCCTTCTTCTTCTTTATCTCCTCCTCCTTCCTCATCTCCTTCTCCTTCTTTTCTTCTTCTTCTTCCCCTTCTTTCTCTTCTTCATCTTCTTTCTCTTCTTTCTCTTCTTCCTCTTCTCCTCCCTCTTCTTCCTCTTCTCCTATTTTTGCCTTTTCTAATCTCTCGGATTCCAATCGATTGCACTGTCCATCAGAAACATGGAACGACCATTCGTATATATGCACGAATACCATTACAAATGGCTGAAGATTCAGTTCAGATTTTTTTTTTGGAACTTTTAACTGAAACTAAAATCGAAATTAAGAATTAATTGTCCATTCGGAAATATGTATTTCACTTGTAAAGATTTACAATTGATCTACAAATGGGGAATAATCATAGATATAAACGGTTACAGTTATTTTTGAAAGCTACAATACAAAATAGAATAATAAGCAGTGCCGTATCCAGGGGGCGGGGGGCCTGCCCCCCTGGGAAAAAATGTGTAATTTTACATTTTGTAACGTTAATTTTACCTTTTTTTTGGATGCCCCCCCCCTCCTGGCGCTCAAGGGGGGGGGGGGGTGCAATTTTTCAAATTTTCGAGGGCCAAAAAAAAAATTAGTGCTCACTACCACCACCCCCCCCCCCCCCACTGAACGAAATATTGGCCGGCACGATTTTCATATTTCAGCACACTAAATTTCAAATTTGGGCCCCCACCCCTAAGAAATCCTGGATCCGCGCCTGATTATAAGGTAATATGATAATCGATTGTATACGACGAGAATGCAGACAGCACGAGAGAGTGAAAAAGGTCCAAAGATAGACAGGAAGGGGGTTAAGAGCAGATAATAATATGGGAAGTAAGAGTTGGAAGATGCAAACAATGTTTTGAGCTGCTTACACTAATGAAGATAGATCAGATGATGGTATTCAAACACAAGAAAAGATTTATGGTATACGAACCACGCGAATAGCTAAAGAATTGTCAAAGGTTCTGAGATTAGGTGGTCTACATATAGAATTTTGAAAATAGTAGATGTATATAGTATAGCTTTCAGCTGAGCAAAAAAAGAGCACAAAAAAGCATCAGGACATTTACAGAATGAAAAGAAATCCTCATAACATTTTATAGATAACGAAAGAAAAGAAAGAGTGTATAGAGGACAAAAGAGTTGGAGTGAATGTGGGAGAAAAAGAGATATAGGATGGAGAAAGACAAGGGAAATGTATGGGGAGGGGACAAGCTATAATCATCTTTAACTAACTAAAAAGAGAATAGAGGATCATCAGAATACAGCCGGGGACAGGATAGAGTGAAACAGACAGATCGGGGGGGGGGGGGCTAGAAAAGGGGAAGGGAGAGAGAGAGAGAGAGACTGAGGAGAGAGAAAGGACGGGGAGAGGGAGAGAGAGAGTTATAGGATGGCGAAAGACAAGGGAAAAGTAGAGGGAGGGACAGGCTACAATCATCTTTAACTAACTAAAACAGAATAGAGGATCATCAGAATACAGCTGGGGACAGGGTAGAGTAAAAAAGGCAAATCGGGGGGGGGGGGGGCTAGAAAAGGAGACGGATTAACAGAGAGAGGGAGAGAGAGAGAGAGAGAGAGAGAGAGAGGGGAGATTGGGGGGGGGGGGGGGAAAGCATACAAGAATCTTTCACATATACCGTTTCATTATTCTATAATATTTTACATATTTGATAGCCCCCATTATTTATATGGTAGGAAGTATAGAGCGAGGAAACAAATTGAAAAGTTGGTTTTTTTAAAGTATTCCGAAAATAAACTAATGAAAAATACCAAAAAGTGTTGTATAAATGGGATATATCTTCCATCTCCCTGACTGTACAGTGTACTCTCATTTCGAATGCTGGCAAGTAGCGGTCCATCTACGCCCTCTACATGCATTCATGGGCGGTAAACAAATCTTTGAAAAGAATAATAGACAATTTCGCTACCGCCGCTCGCTACCGCCGATCGTCTCCGCGTGAGGGTCCATTTCTCACGATATTTTGTCCCTTAGAGCCCCCAGGATGCCTTCAATAAATGAGATGGGTTGTGACAGTGAACCTGAAGACATGGAGGAAGAGATGAGCATAACTTACTCGGATAAAAGTGAAGAAGAGGAGTCTGAAAGTGGATCTTCAGGGAGTGATGACGACTCCTCAGGTAAGAATCCCTTCGCTTCGGTCCCGCTAATTGAGATTTTTGTGTGATGTTCGTCTGTGAAGTGGTTTTTCGGTTGACTTTTGTATTTTTGTGACTGAAATTTGTGGCGGAAAGAAGAGTTTGTGTACTCTTTCAAATTATATTTTGTATAAATCGATACTTTCTTAACTTGGTAGCTTTTTTGTTGAATACCTGGTGTCTGGAGACTTGTTATTCTGTGTGATTTATTTTGCGCTGAATTTCTCCCGTCGTGCGAATTTTCAATCTGTCAGCAGCTGTCATTTAGACCCATCTTGAGAGACTGGGTAGGGTACTGCGTATTGACGGGAGGCGATGCGGCCGCTGGCGGAGCGAACACGTTCGTGCTATCTTCACACCACTATTTATACAAGTTTACTTGTTTTGTTTTCCAAATCACTCTGACATAGATCTACTCTAGATCTTCTCTCTTGTCAATTTGTCTGGGGGGGGGGGGGGGGGGGAGGGGGGAATGATGTGAAGAATAATTATTTTTAAAAATCCCACTTTGTACTTGTAGGAAATAAACAAGCAAATTATTAATCTAATCAGTAGGGGCGCTGGTCCGAGAATGAGGATCGTCCTCTTAAACAAGGATATCCTCATAAACAAGGACAAAAAATGCGTCCTCAAAAATAAGGGTTGTCTGCATTTTCGAGGATGTTTTTTTTTCATCGGCACTCTGGGGGTTTCATGGTACAGAACCGCCCGCTGGCGGTGCCAAAAATGGATTTCCCGGGGAAAAATAACCCTAGTTCACCGTCTACTTTTATGGGTTGTCCGTCTTCCCAAGGATTTATTGCTTATAATGTGAAGGTCTCTGTACAATGTCAATGTAAAATTCATCAATAAAATCATTGCAGAATCCGTTTTTTGCATCGCCAATGTGCCGATCAAAAATATGAAACGTCTGCAAAAATGCAGACGGTCCTTATTTTTGAGGACGCATCAGTCCGTGTTTACGAAGATGATCCTCGTTTATGAAGACGATCCTTAATCTCGGACCAGCGCCCCTACTGCTAGTGCACAAATATTACCTGACAGTAGAGACACACAACTGATTTGGGAGACTCTATGAAAACAAACAGTCAAACTCAAACAGGATAATTTTTCATGAGGAATCTGCTCATCATATTTTGTATTTTGAGCCGAGGTAATCCCTTGCAGCAAATGTAAATGAAGGAAATTGGTATTATGGGTCTCTGAAATAGTCTCCCATATTGGCCGTGCGCATCTACTGTCCGGAGTTCTTGCCTCACATTCTACATACTAGAACTTCTAGAACTTGAATAACGATTATTAGCTAACGAATTGAAGTAAAAGAGCCAATATGACTCCGAAATAAAGCCATGTAATCAAATTTCTGTATTAATGTCTCATAAACTCTCATCTATGCCTACTTTCTTTTTCTCCTCAAATCTACCATTTTTGTTTTTTTTGTTGATTTTATGTGAATGGAGAACTTTATTTAAAAAACAACCAATAAAAAGCCACACACAAATAAAAAGGTAATAAATTTAGTGCAATTACTTAGCTTATTTTGTGCATACACTGCATGAACAATTCAATTTGTTTCAAGAGAGTGTGACTGTCTTTTGAATGGGCTTTTGTAAGTGCAGCATCCATCTTTGATTAATGAAAATAAAATATGAAATATTAATATATACCCCCTGCTCCTTACCATTTTTGGGAAACAAGGATGAGAAATCAAAAGATTAATTTCACTTGGCACAGTGTATGATTTTAATTGATACTTTCCAAATCTCAAGTAAAGGCCAGGCAATAAACCTCCATAGTTTCTGTTTTTCTTTTCATCTTCTTCTGGTAGTATTTTCTCTGGGTTGTAGTTTTAATAGCTTTAAGATGCATTCAGAGTTCTGATTGTCTTATATTAAAATACATGTAGTTGCAATATCAGACTAGACGTAGCATTATATTGGCGATTTGGCAAAACATATAGGGGAACTAAGTTATACTTGTAAATAAATCTGTGGACATCTTGAATTATTGACAGCTCTCAAATACTGAAAAATGGTATTGATGTGTACATGTACATGTAATTTTGTATGTCTATGTGCTTATAATCTAACTTTTTGAAAATATAGATGTGCTTTATATTATTTCACTGCCAAAACCATCTTATCGGGTTTGAATGTGCAAAAGATATTTTCCAAGTGTATTGTAAAAAACAAAACAAATGAAAATCAAACATACATGAAGCTCCCCCAGACTCAATGGTTGTTTGTTTGTTTTCCTTTCTCTATGTAATGGAACAGAGTTTGATGAACTTGACTGTGACAGAAGACGAACTGTATGTATGGAGGACATGGATGATTTAGAGAGTCAGTTCACAAACCTCAGAGATCAGTAAGTATTACAAGTTGATAAATAATATAGCTTGAATCCCTGCCTATATTTGTTATTTAAGTAAAATATATTTAGTGCATTTGTTTGTTCACCTTTTCTGATCGATCCTTTGCTGAATCAGAAAATAAGAAAAATAAAAAAAATGTATTTTGACAGAGTATGTCGATGTACATGCATGGATGGTATTTTAGAAATATGTTGTACAGTAAGCTGGAATTAAGCTTTAGACAGTTTTTAAATACGGTAGCTTTTTATTTTAGAAAGTGCTCTGAAAAGGAAACATGATAGAAAATCTACCCCAAAGAATACATACACACTAATTTTGACATGTCTTGTTCCTTGATGAATGTAGGCTGTACTCGGAACGAGTTGAACAGGTCGAGTACAAGCTGACCGAGGTCAAGCTGGAAGCTGCTAATGAGTATCTGAACCCCCTGCATGATCTGGACCAGATGAAGGGTAGAAAGCTCCGTATCGCCAGTGTCCTGAGGGAGCTACGCATGGAAAACATCAGGAATAAACTACAGAGCGAGGAGAAGGCCTCGAGGGAAAACCATGAGGTAATTTTTTATTCATATTACTTCCTCCTTGTACCCCTCCCCCCAAAACATAAAAAGGACAGAATTAAAAGAATAATAACAAGAAAGAATGAATGAAAGAAAGAAAGAAAGAAAGAAAGAAAGAAAGAAAGAAAGAAGAAGGAAGGAAGGAAGGAAGGAAGGAAGGAAGGAAGGAAGGAAGGAAGGAAGGAAGGAAGGAAGGAAGGAAGGAAGGAAGGAAGAAGAAAGAAAGAAAGAAAGAAAGGAAGAAAGAAAGTAAAACTAAGAAGATGAAGAACTAGAAGAAGAAAGAAAAAGGATCTGTAAACAATATAAAAATATGATGAGAAGGGAAATAAGTCCAACATAAGAGTGAGAATTAATTTAGCTTTTGAGGAGTATGAAATCATCTTCCAGTTAATGTACTAAATATGAAAATAAATGCCCCCTCTTCCCTCCAACTGAGAAAAAATAAAAATACACATGTGCATGTAGCTGCAAAAAAGAAATCTTTTGCAGGAAAATTCATACATTTTGAGCTTAAAACTAATGATAAGGCCGCCATCCTTATCAAGCTTTGCTTATTATTGCGGTCTCCTGCACTTTTCTAACAGAATAGTTCGGATAATACTTTAAATTTATGATAATATGTTATGGAAATAATAAGTTTTGTTATTATATGTACATATATTATGTTTAAAAAAAATGTTGACATGAAGAAATAATTGTTTATGTTGTATTATACTTTACATTTATATGTTCTTTGTTATTCAGTTATATTTTATTTGGAAAAAATGCAGAAATAAAATCAAAGCAAATCAATTCAAAAGTATGATACATGCCTCTTTCTCTCGGAGAAAGCTGTAATGCAAAAACATACAAAATACAGCATACATTGTATTCCTAACTTAGCCTTAGGAAATTAGTAATTTTTGCTGTGGAAGTTCGGCAGTTATGATACACAGCAGCTTTACAGTCAGACCGCAGCGCGCGCGTTAATGAGGCTGAAAGCTGATTTTTATTCAGCGATATCTGGCGATCACATAACATTTACGTCTGCTGAATTTCCATGCGCTTTTCAGTGAGATTTGTAGGGGTGTACATGTAGCTGCGTTTTTGGTCGTTAACTTCATTCAACATGGCAGCATGCAACGGAAAGTCACTCTCAAGATTTTCAGCATCAGTTTGATATGTAATTTGCCATATTTCGCAATTTGTAAACAATAATTTTCACAACTTTTATTGACGCTATTTTTGTAACATTTCAACTGCTGTTTTGACCCGGGAATTTCACTTTTGGTTCCTGACTTTGGGACAAAATAAATTTGTCCACTTTGAGATTCGTTCGAAAGATGAAAAGTCACTGATCAAAAATATGTCAAAACCTAATTGACGCAAAATCATGTTCTTTTTATAATCATAGTAATTAAGACCCTAAAAACCCGGAAATTACCAATTTGTTCTTTTTATGATAGCGCGAAATTGTGTGATTTCATACTCGTGTACGCTCGTCGTCTGAGCAATGGCAATGCATAACTGATTATTAAACTCCAGGGAGCTCCGCCGCGCCATCGACTAGCCGAAAAAAAATTAGAAAAATGATTAAAAAAGAAATATAGCAGAAAAGAGTCACCTACATGACAGGTGAGGTATTTGATCTCGGGTCCTTAGATTGTTGTCAAGACGGCTTACGCGCACGTGCATTACAGGCGCACGCCACAATGCATGGTTACCAAAATCTGGTATTCAGAATGTTAATAAACCAAAGTGAAACATATGTGACGTAGTTGACGTAGTTGACCAATCAGAACTCTCTATTATCACATCGGCAAAATTTACTACTTTTTTTTAATTATTCATGAACATGAGCGTGACTTTTTTGGTTCCTGACTTTGGGACAGCGTAAAATATAATAATTTTGATATCATTGTAAAGAAAAATATTTATGCTTTATACTGATTATAACATCTTCTTGACGCAAGAATGATTTCTATGTGAAAATCAGCCCTACTCTTTAGATAGATTTATCGTCGAAAAACCCCATTTTCAAGGCGAAATTTCTGTTTCAAAAATATATCTAACATGATTGTCATATAAGTATATAGAGAGTGCAACTTCTTATCTTTAAAATAAGACCCATTTCATGAGAAATGAACAATTATAAAGGCAAAAATTGCCGATCGGGAAGACCGTCTGCACTACTCATTACGTATGCAAGACACGTAAATTCTTGCATACGTGCTGAATAAAATAGAGGGTTTTCGCACCGGCTGCGGTATGACTGTTTAGACATACTATGTATATGAATGAGTTCTGTATTTACATTGAAAATTTTCAAAAATGATTCCTTTATGTAAATAAAAGTTATCTTTTCTGCTTAAAAGTCAGAAAAAGAAGCTATGGTAAAAAAAAGGACTAAAAAATGTGACCACTAGTATTGAAGAAAATAGAGAACATATGTAAAAACATAAATTGCATACATGTATTGTATAATTTTTGTTTTGTTCAAACTTCTTCTATTAAATTATTTAGTATGTTTGTGATTGGTACATTATATGTGAGAATCAAATATTTCTGTATTTTCATTCACAGAGTGAGAAAAGTTTACTCCGGGATCTCATGAAAGCTGATCTCGACGAGAAGATCAGAAGACTAGAGGAAGACAGACATAACATTGATCTTACAACAGGTAAACATCTTGACATTTTATTCAGTGAAACTAATTAATTGCTTCTGTTTAGCTGCACAACTAGTGGCAGTATATTGATGTTTAGCTCTCCCCCAACAAGTTTTTGTTGTTGTTTGCTAAAATTTTTTTTAGATGGATAATGAGGACAGTCTTTTTAGATTAACTTTTAGTTCACACCTGATGCGCTTTCCAATAACATGCAAATTATCTTTGTTAGAGTTGAAAGTCTAATTGAAAGGATAAATATTTCTAAAATAAATAGAAGGGTTTAAAGATATTAAAGAGACTGATAGATTTCAACTCATTTTAATGCAGTGTCACTGATGTTTTAAAAAGAAAATTTTAAGCCATTATGTTATTGTATCATTTTCTTGTTGTTATTGCATTCTTGTAATTTATATATATATATATATATATATATATATATATATATTCTTGAATTATATTTTTATCCCCTTGCTTTCCAGAATTATGGAATGAGTCTCGAATCTTGAAGCAGAAAGGGAAGAAACCTGATTCAACACATTCTGACCGAAAGAAGAAACCTGTAGCTGTATCAGATATCCTTTTCAATCACTACAAATGTTTTCTCAAATTTCCTATGTGTAAAATGTTCTGTCCTTGAAACATGCCTAAGTCACGTAGGGCAAAAGATAAAAAGGAGAATACAGTCAAACCTGTCTTCAGCGACCGCCCAAGGGAATCACAAAAAGTGGTCTTTGAAGACAGGTTCCTTTAGTACATGTTTCAATGAGAAACCATTTTCAAGGGAGACAAAAAATGTGCTTGTTGTAGACAGGTGGTCACTAAAGCAGGTTTGACAGTAGTAAGTTGGAGAGCTCTTCCAGTGCTTGCATCAATGTTTTTTGCAATAATTCCTTTTCCATTTTAATGGTAGAACAGACTTAATCTAAAATAGGTGACTGTTATAGATGATTTTATCCCATGAAAAAACTGTATGTTCCTTCATAAAAATCTAGAAAGTGATACATTGAATACTTTTAATACAATATTCCCATATGATATTTCATACACATGAATATATTTCCAACAATTACCTATGTCATTAGTGATTCTCAATTTAAAAAAAAATATGTAACCCTTACTCTTATCATATTTATTCTAAACTATTCTTTAATCCCCTTCTCTTATTTTTCTTTTTGTGCATCCATCCAATCCACCTTTTAATGAAGGGTCAATTTCACACTAACAGACAGAAGAAAGTTTGCATAATGTGGGGATATATTTTGCCATCATGTCATTTTTGTCCTTGACTTCCCATGTACGTCCCTATATTATATATATGCTGCGAGAGGATGACATCCTTGATGATTGGACAGCAATAATGAAGGTATAGACATGAGGTTGTTGAACTGACAATCTGGTGTTGTTTTCTCTTTTTTCTATTAAGCTATGATGTATGATGCATGTGTTATGCCTCAGTCACACCTTTACGTATTTGGCTCGTGTAACATTTATTCCTATTTCTTGATATTAAGAAATGAATTCTTGATATCAAGAAAAGAAATGATTTTTGTCTCGTTGTCTCGCCTACGTAGCAAAAAGCGAGACATAGGCGCCGCTTTTCCGGTGACGGCGACGGCGGCGTCAACATCAAAAACTTAACCTAAGGTTAAGTTTTTCGAATTTTTGATATTATTTTTAAAGTATAAGTTCTTAGTCAATGAAACTTTGACTATAGGGTAATCAAGTATTCCCAATCATGTGAGTAGAATTTCAGATCACAAAGTCGAGGTCAAAGATCATTTCAGGTCAACAGACTTGGACTATGTTGTAGCATCATCATCGAAAAATTAACCTAAGGTTAAGTTTTTGAATTTTTGATATAATTTTGAAAGTATAAGTTGTTAGTCAATGAAACTTGGACTATAGGGTTATCAAGTCTCCCCAATCATGTGAGTAGAATTTCAGGTCACTAAGTTAAGGTCAAAGGTCATTTAAGGTCAACAAACTTAGACTTTGTTGTGGCATCAACATCAAGATTTTCAAAATGCTTCTTCTTCGTTATTTTTCAACCGATTTTGATTCTGATTGTTTCATATGATAGGGCTAGGAGGGGGATTTAAAATTTCTACAAAGAATCGTGAAATTCATTATCAATGCTAATTTATGCAAATTTATTCAAAATCACAAAAAAGGCTTCTTCTCCTTCATTTCTCGACCGATTTTGATTTGGTTTGCTTTATATCGTAAAGCTAAATTTGGTACACTAAACTTCTACACAGAATTTTGAAATTGTTCTCCATTAATTAATTATGGTAATTTATGCAAATTTATTCCAAAAATAACAAAAATTGCTTCTTTTCCCTCATTTCTTGACCGATTTTGATTTGGTTTGCCTTATCTTTTGCTCCATTGATTATTTATGGTACTTTATGCAAATGAAATGAAATTATGTTCCTTTCAGGCCATCAAATTTTTATTTTTTGACCAGTTCAAAAGTGTACCACATAAAATTTACGATATTTGTTGTTGCGAGATGCGGATGAGCGCTACGTCATAGACGTTCTGGTTTATCATATTGAATTGCGTTATGCAGGCGAGACCGCCGAGAGGGTTTCCCTTGTTCTGTTTTAAAGCAATGGTAATTCTCGATATCAAGAAATACTTGCCATAAATACGCAGCTATACGCAAGCCAAATACGCAAAGGTGTGACTGAGGCATTAGTTTATTTGTCTTGATGATATTGTCATATGCCCAGTGGAAATGCCTGGACATATGCACAGCTATCAAATGTGCATTTCCTAAAATACACATCTAAAAGTTTTTTAATTTCTTTGACTACTTCTTCACAACACATTCGGTCCATTCATTATGTACATTTGCTATTTAAAACAAACAGTTTTATCACAAACTCTAAAAGTTAAAAATTTGACCAAAATTTGTGTTACAACTCTTCTGCGGGGCATATGACTTGACAATTATATTATGCTTTGCGTGTGTGATGGTTAAATAATTTTAACCACCTAGAGACAGATTAATTTGTGCGTAAAGATGTACTGAAAATATAATTTGGAAAAAAAAAGTGAACCAGCCGTACAAAGGCTAATCCTAGAGGCTTGTTATACAAACGAGCCTCTATTCTATGAATGTGGATGCCTTCAATTTTCCAAGTTAAAATCTTTAAAAATTGACTTTACTTAGAGCTTGCAAGTTGAAAATTATATGATATTGCATAGTGTTTCTCTTTGTAATTTTGTATATCTGCATTGCTTTGAAGCAATATATGCATGTGTACATGTGGATCAATATATGAAGTATTTATTTATGTTTTCTTTTTTATTTACAGGCAAGAGGTGCAAGTGCGAGAAGGAAATCAGATGGTGAGTTAATTTTTTTTGTATTTACACTGTTTGAGACAGATTGTTACTTTAGGAACTCCATTCCCATTGATATTATAAATTGTTTCAATATGTATTTAATTTAATTATACATTAAATTACTCAATTGGTCCCCCCCCCTCCTCTTTTTTTACCCTCACGTTTCTTGGTATTGTTTAAGTCCAATGCCTCCAGTATTACAGATGATATAGCTGATTTCCTATACATAAACTTAACTCCTTTGAGATGGGCTCTTATCCTATTTTCGCTCTTCTCTGCACTCTCATTATACAGTCAATTCTGTCTTACTGGCCACCTCTCTCTATGAAGGCCACCTGTCTTTAGTGTCCAAGTATCTTGTCTCCCTTGAAAAAAAAAATGTGTGTTGTAGAACCTGTCTAGAAAGGCCGCCTGTCTACCGTCTTTCCTCTGGACTGTACCTTGTTTGGAGGAGCTTGTTCTTGTTGTACATAGCCTTACTGTCTTTTTTCTACTTCATATGTTACCTCTCCCCAGGGCGTACATCACACAGTGCCAAATATGAAGAAGGAAAGCTGCGCTATGACGGCAGAACGTTTCACAAAAAGGACCAGATCCTCATTGAGAATAGGGAGGACTCTCCAGTATCGTGAGTACATTGATTTATGACTAATCGCTGAAGCCTAGTTCATACCATGATGCAATAAATTACCTAAACTAAAGCCTGCTGTAACAAAATAAAAACTATTTTATAAACATATTCTATGTAAAAGAATGGTAAGTGGGGTAATGAAATATAAAAGCTGTGTGCACCAAAGGCCGCAAAGCATGCTCATTATTATGATACGAAAATGTTAAGTGCGCGGTGCTCGTGTTATTTTATTATGCCGCAGTAGTTTGGATAGAGAGCGGTTTACAGTGTCATGGGAGTTTTTGTTTGGTAATGAAGCATTATTCAAAGAGAAATTGTCTTGTCTTGTCATTTTGAATAGGCTACCATGTAATCCCAAACATAATGTAATATTGTGTGTATCAGCATAGTGAGAGAATAGGTTAGAAAAAGTGCTGACAACTAAGTAGGCAGACAAAACATGAACATAATGACAGAGCTAAGGGATCACAATCTTGATAATATGAGTTCCTCCTCTCTTTACCTATCTATCTCTCTTTCTCTTCTGCTAAGCTGTTATACATCACTGTCAAGTTTGTGTAACTAATGGCATTGTGTTATAATGTTAAATATTGGTATTTTAATTTCCCCACAACTTAAACTCAAGATAACCCTTAATAAACGAAAATAATTTGAGATAAAGAAGTGTGATTGAAATAAACACTCTCTGCCATTAGTAAGTCATGATGAAGGCACATAATAGAAGAGATGTTGTATTATTGCTCAGGACGACTATTTAGATGAGAGCTACATTTTTTATCATTTTGGTCTTTAATCCAAGATTAGTGTGATTAATATCTCACTGTATTTTTTAAGGTTACAGTTTTTTGTTAGTCTTTAGCGAATGGGCAGGTCACTTTTGGATGCATGAACAAAGTAAAGATGATTCATTAGTATGTTCTTTATTTAAAAAAAAAATCAATATATCTATGAAGAAAAGAAAACCTAAACAACATGGGGAATAAAATGTAGTATAACAACATAATATGTTATACCCTATTTCTCTGTATTTTCATATCACCATGCAGGGCCAGAATAACTGCCATCGACGCTCGGGAGGTGTGGGTACGGAGACATGACGGAACCAAATCCAAGCTTCTCCTTCACAACCTGGAGAAGGGAAAGTACACCATTCAGCACGTGCGGTAGTCGACACATAGCCACTCCAGTGGCCTTGTCTATGAACTATTTGAGAGTCACATATCCTCTCATGAGAGTCAGAAAGGCATTAACTCTATGTGAAAGTATGTGAGTCCATGTCCTTGCTGCTCTTAGCTGATTATTTGTTTGTGGTAGTGACCTTGGAGAAGGACCCAGCACCTGAAAGGGGTCATCGTTATTTACCTCATCTACAATACTTGCTGAACGTGGAACGGTGTTCCTGAGCATTCGTCAGGGATGCTTCGTGGAACAAATAGAAGAAATCGTCTGTTGAGATCCAGAAGGGCATTTAGTCTAGCTCTAACCAAACAAAATTATGAGAATGTGATGAAGAGATATTATATATAAAGTGTGACATGACGTTGATGTCATATCCAAATATTGATATCATTACATACTCCTTTTTTTATACTCTTTTTTTTTTTATATACTGGGAATTAGATCACCTTTGATGCCCAATATATCTCCAAACACTCAAAACAGTCTTGTATCTGATCATAGTAATACACGTTCACCCATGAACCTCAACATATAATGGTGGTATTCATCCTAAACATAACTCATTTGCATGATTACCATTTTACATAACTGTCAAAGTCTTTTTTTGTTGTTATCATTACTTGCCTGGTAGAAGGGTTCAAACACAACATTTTGTTAAATTTCAAAACATTTACTTTGACACTGGATGATGTAAAGACTGAAATATTTTGTTTTGATGTAGTCAAAGGATGATCAAAACTTTAGAATGTTTGTTTTTTCTTGAAGTGAACATCCATCGTCTACACATCGATTTTCGCCTTCATTCAAGGCAAACAGTGGTTTATGTAAATGAAACTGACACTAGTTTGTGTTTTGACCAATAAATACTAAATAAGCAGAGGGAAAGTAGAATATAGAATGCTGGCTCTAAACATTTGTGATAGAAATATTTTCATTAATAGCCATTTCTCAAGATATTTCATTTTGTGCCCAATGCATTACCAAGTATGACAGAATATTGAGCATGAATTGACAGTAAAAGTTTCATTCATTTGATATTTGGCAAGTTCATTCACGAGTAGGGTTATGAACTTTCTAAAAATTTCAGGTTCACTAACAAAACAAAAATTATGATTGGTAAAGTATGAAACAAAGGACACTTCCTAGATGTTGCATGGCAAAAATGTGTCTTGCCATAGGCAGCTTGTTGCTGTCAGCCAAACATACTTTGGTCCTTGTAAGCTACATGTTTTACTACCGGTATCTTCTTGAGATAAAGGCGTTCAGCTGTAATATTCCTGGAAAGTAATATCAATTATTACTTTTGGTTTTTGAAGTTCTGACTTGGACTTGAACATTTAAGTGCATCAATGAGCGCTACTCTTTTTATATCATCACAAGTACAGTGTATTAATAATTTCATACAACAAATGTATTTCTGAATCAGAAGACAGCGAAAATTTAAACTTGCCTTCAAGATCAAAGGAGATTTTTTTAAATGACAGTTGGCATTTTACATGATGCCACTTTTTGCTGATGTTTGAATGATTTTTATAATTTTGTTTTCTTACTGTTTATGTAAGACTGATACCATTATAGCAATATCATTCTTTTTTTCAAACAGGTACATGTACATTGTATAGTCTATGCTGTGTAAAATATTTGTAAAGATGTATAGTATATCATGTATTTATATGCCCAACAAAGAAAGCAGGGTGTATCATTTTCTTGGCCATATCAAAGTATGTAAAAAGAAAAGGTATCATCTCGTTCAAAAGAAAAGTAGACTATTCAAAACCAGGCCCATTTTTAGTAATAGTACACATGTATTTGTACTTGCAAATTCACTTTTAAAGTGTCCACTTTTTTCACCGAGGGATTTATCCCAAGATTTTTTAGAACTGCTCTAGAGGGTTCAGTATGTATTGTGTCTGGTTTTGTTTAACATTGGGGTGTTATAAGGGACCAAGTATAAACAAAAAAGAAAGACGGAGAAAGAAGTATGATTCACATTCTTTGTTCCAAGTAAACAATGACACATCGCATACTTTACACTTAAGATGCGAATTTACATTTTTTATATTAGCACACAAAATGTAAGGATATACCTCTGAAAAATACATCCAGCCCTTTAATACGTTACATATGACCTTTGACCTAAGAATGTCTGATACACCCTGTTTTAAAAGTGTTGATACAACTAGTGGAATTAAGGAATGGCGGAACAGTTGTTCTTCCATTGCTTCTTGAAAGTTACTGGGCAACTCAGCTTTTAGAACAAGGGACATGTTGACAACAGTTTTAAGCCTACTAATCATACAAACTATTGATCTAAATTTGTTTTGGGGTAATCATCAATCAATGATCAGTGGAAGTGATTTGTGATTCATTATTTATTTTTTGTAAACATTGAACGATATGTTTTGGACATCTCTGCTTCCTGTATGTCTATTTTCCCTTCAATTCCGCTGAACATGAAAAATCACTCGGAATGACCAAACTCTGAGGTTTCTTTTGCAAAATAGTTGCTGTAAAACAATTCTTTCTGTTCATTGCGTAGTCTGTAGGCCAGGCGATGCAAAACATGTCCCTTCAATTCTAATGCTGAATTACCCTGCTGTAAATATAATAGCTTTGTGTGTACATATTTAAGTATATAGATCTTGGCCTGTCTTACAAAGGATTGCGATTGATCTGAGTCAATCCCAAGTCCTCCGATCAATCGCAAGTTTGCAGTCCCCAGTCTCTTATGTACATAGTTGCGATTGATGTCGATCGCAAATAAGTTGCAATTAATCGCAACTGTTTATATGACGGGCCCTGAACTAAAAAACCTTATCCTGTTCTCTTCACTTTTTAGTGAAACTATCATGGTAATGATTGTATTATTAATTTTTTTAAATTTGTACTTCAGAGATATGTACTGAAAATGAAAATTTAGCTAGCCATTTTGTAGAACTTTTAACTGAATGCCACTTTACAATACATCTAACCTGATGTACTTTGGGAATTAAAAAAGTATTAACTTGTGAAGTTGAAGGAAAACATATTGGGAGCTATATTGAAATGGAATGTATTCACATGAGTGCTTATGTAGAGTAAGACGATGAAATACCAAGTTGAGTAGTATCGTACCAAACCGAGCATGCTGGTTCTTTTGCTGCAAAAGAAATGCAAAAGTGTGAACTTCATTCCATCCTTAGGAGCTTAAGCTTTGAAGATAAATTACCATTTAATGAAGAATAATACATCAAGTATATGGCTAGTTTTTTCACTTACATTGTCAGCTGCATTTTGCAAACAACTCTTTCGGAATCTTAGTTTTTATTGACCTTATCAATGCACCAAGGAAAATTGTTCACTGGCAACTGATCTGGTAAATGTACAATATCGATGGTGATAACCCTATGTTCTTGACAATATGGCTAGGTAATATTGATTGGTAGTCTTCTGACTGATTTTTATTAAATTGAGAAGGGGGATCTGTGATATTCAAAATATGAATATATGAATGATGATTAATATTTTTCCAGCACACTCAAATCCTATTGGGTTTTTTCAACATAAAATTATTTGTCAATGTGTCAGTTATTGAATGAAACCTTAATCCCTTCCATACACTAAGTAGTTATTTGCGTTTTAAGCAATCTGTTTTGTTGAATATGCCTCCTTTTTTTTCTCTTCCAGAAACAGAAACGGTTAAATCCAAAAATGTGGTTGCCCAGAGTGCAGGGTCATGATTTTGACAAGCACATCAGCCTAGGATTAGTGTTAGGCCATTGCCATTTAAATAATAAGCTATACCATTGAGTTGCATTTATTTTGTTTGCAGATATCAATGAAACCACTACCCCCATTTATTTAAAACATTGACAGGATTTGAAAAGGGATTTAGAATACTCTTTAGTGAATTCTAATGAAATGTGAATTTTATTCAGGATAATATTTTCCAAATAAATTGAAAATATATGTTTCTGTGCACTTGTGTTCAGTTATTTGTGTCATTATGGTAAGAAGATGGTGTATGAGATTTTAGGAAGAACATTTAAGTGACTTGTTTTCAGATTACACAGTAATTACTAGTTTTAGTGTAGGAACACTTGTTTTTAAGTGGGGTATATATATAGCATATATATATGAGAAAAAGTTGTTTAGATAGTTTCAGCTACAGACGAATTATAAGCTCACTTGATAGGCATTAATTGTTAACTATGAACCAAAGTTCTTTTTTATGATTCAATACAAATTCTAGAAATTCAGAAATAAGGATTACCGGGTACCGTATATCAAAAAGGGGAGGAAAATCATATTTGATTCTAATTAAGAAATAATTCAAGAAATTATAGAATCACAAATATTTGTATCTAAGTACATATGAAAAATGAACAGAATCACGAGCCAAATGTATCGAGATAAATATCAAACACTGAATGAAATCTTCTGTATTAATTGGCTTGTTAAAATGCTATGACTTACATCTACGGATGTTTGATAATAATAATAATAATAATAATATTTATTTTTTTGTACAGCGCTTAACAAATGTCTCTAAGCACTTTACTAATATATTAACGTTCAATTTTCGTCTAGATTTATAGATTATTTTCACCTTCATCTAGAATTTAGGAAAAAAAGCAATCTTAATCTAGTTTTAGATATACATATTTTGTTTATTTTTGAAGAAAAAAAATGTCAAAAAATGAGCTCCACCACATGTGGTGCTCTGTTAATGGTCGCGCCATAACCGTTGGCTTCACGAAAGACAGACCTCCCCCCAGAAGTACTAGACAACAAGGATGAGGCACCTATCCACGAAGATACACCCGATTTGGAACCCTCTAGGAGAGCAGGGGGACAAGGCTCTGCAACCGAGCGCTGAGCATCGGGAGAACCTCTGGCAGGAGAGAAGTGGGTAGCGACAGGTTTGGTTACACCTACAGTAAGGGCCACAGGACCGAGACCACGAGGAGCATCTTTAATTGCCTACACTCTAGCGGTCAATCACAGGGACAAGTGGCGACTGAGACACCCCGCGCGACCGATAGTCACGGCGATGGTACGCGCCTATATAACGACATAATCGGAATGAACAATTTGTTGCAGTTAGTGAGATATTTGTCGTGGAAATCTATGTAATACGTCTGCAGATTTAATAACCAATATAAAAATTACATTTTTACTATTTCAATAAATAAAGTGTAAAATTGATAAGCATTAACCCCATTTAGGTGTTATGTAATCAGTAAAAACAAAGAACGAGATTGGACTGATTCCTCTCTCTTTGATAATTTATTCAGCATAAATTACTTAATGCAAATATATACGATTTCGCATGCAAAACATCAACACGGCCCACTTTTGTCTCGAGACTGAAAGTGAAACCGAGGTAAAAAAGGTTCGTATAGACAAGTTTTTACTATGTCATTTTGCTCTTTTTATTTGTTAGGTGAAATTCTGTTCTTGTTTTGTATCTGTAATTCTCAAATTCGTGTAAATTTAGCTTGGAGTCTGAAGCAAAATCTTTGTTTTTCGAGGCTTCATTTTCAGTTCAGTCCGACATGTTCAATTTGATTGGTGGTACTTTTGAAAATTGGCTAGCCAAGGGGAGTTTGGATGAATGCATGTGTGCACGTGATGAGAATGATGTTGTAAACATTTTATTGAAATGTTCACTGATAATTAATGGAGAATTAATGCACGTGCATGTAATGATCCTGTAAATGTTTTATTACAGTTTTCACAGATAATTAATGAGATATGAAAGTTATTATAATATATTATTATTAACTAAAAAAGTAAATGGAGATATCAATGGAGGGCTTAATTTGATTGAATTTTTAAGTGATTGATGTTCATGCTCACTAGACCTCTATAGTTTTTGTTTTAGCCATGTCGAAGTTATATTGTACTAGATCTAGTAGAACAAATGTCATTGTTACTGTTTTTAAAACTTTGCTGTTTAATGACATGTTTTATCATCAACAAATATAGATTATAGACCCTAAATATTTTTCTTCTTTCCAGTAGCCAATACCATTCAGTTTAAAGAGATAGTTGAGTTCTGTTGCAGAGGGCGCTACACAAAATATTTTTTTGTGAGATAATAAAAAACTGAGTGTCAAATTTGAAAGAACATACCATAAATCTCTGGGTATAAGGCGCACCTGTGTATAAGGCGCACCCCTATTTTTCCCTATTTAACCTATCGGCTCTTATTTCAGCCATGATGCAGGGAATTGGGAAGGACTTTTTATTTAAGGTCAAAGTAAAAAAGAATAGTAACAATGTTGTTTTTAAAACTAAAGATGACAGAAAGTTTCTCCTCCCGAGTCTAAACCGAAATTTAGACAGGCTAGTTTTTGAGTGGTGATTTGATATCCCCCGTGTGAGTGAGCTGCATGATACAGGTGAGTGAGCTGGAGACAAGGGAGAGCTTCGGCCAGCAAAGTGCTTTGTGAAGTGGCATAATTTATCGAGATTGAAAAAAAAAAAACTCTCTTCCCTTCAAATTAGGAACGTAGTCTAACTACAAACAGTAGATCCTATTCTTTATTTGCATTATGTAATTCATGTTGAGACACAGAGATTTTCAGAAACCACTAAAAAGTAGCATTTTGATAACTCAAAATATCCTGTACCTGTGTATTAGGTGCACCCCCAACTTTGGATTTTTCCCGACGGAAAAAAAGTGCGCCTTATACACGGAGATTTTCGGTACAATTTAAATGACAAAATCATCTTTGTTTGATCAAAAATCGGTTCAGAGACGGCTGAAATATCCATAAACATAACAATTTCTAATACTTGTGTACCACCACAAATATTAGATAATTTGAAAAAGTCGTTGAAAAAAAACGAAATAGCGCCTTTTACGTTGTATGTCAGCCAATGCCGATTTTGGCATTTTCATGTTTGTTAATTTTATGCACAACCAGCCGGCCCATGTATTGTTATTTTTAATTAAATAATTAATTAACGGTCACCATATTTTTTTGAAAGTGGAGCTGAATTGGTACGATCGTATAGCCAAATTTCACACATTTTGGGGTCTAAAATTACCTTCATAGCAATTTTAGGTTCTAAAACATGAAATGGGTACTAGAAATATCATATATAGATAAGAATAAGAGCAATAACCTTGCACTTTGAAGGCATTTGTGGTCTGAAAACAGAACTCAACTATCTCTTTAAATATCTTTAGGGGGAAGTAAAGAAATAGCATATTCAAGCCATTCTACCCCACTCATTTGCTTTTGTTTTTACCCCACCCATCCTAACCACTTTTCCTCTTTCTTTGTTCCATTTTTTTCTTCTTAAGATTGTACTTAAGCATGGAGGAAGAGGAGGCTGTCAAGAGAGTGTCTCAGGACTTGGGCCTGGATCCATTCCAGATCCAGCGGAATCTGGATCCAGATACCTTCACAGTTGTGGTGAGTTCACTTTCCATTCTGGGATATACTGCAAGATCTATATTTTATCATATTTACTGTTGTCTTCATTGATATATATTGCACAATGCGCTTTACATACTCTGTAATTTACATCTCTTTTGCATCTCATTTACATCTCAGCTTCATGCATTTCACTATCACTATGAACATGGCGGACAAAGAAAGCGGACAAAATATACAGTTCCTCAGGTAGACAAAGAAACATCCCTTCACTGCTATTATGTAAAAATGTGTAGAACAGGTGGATATGCATGTGACACCTGTTCCACACATTTTTACATAAAGGCAGTGATGGGATGTTCCTTTGTCTACATGAGGAACTGTATATTTTGTCCGCTTTCATTGTCCGTCATGTTCATAGTGTATACTGCTCCTAGCATCTTCATACAGCTCTCATTGTCCCTGATTAACACGCATATTTATTTCTATTCATTTCCACTTCACATGGTTTTATTGTTTAGGTTTCATTTATATACAGAACACATCATCATCGCCCTTCTTTAATGGGCCATTTTTTTAATGTAATCAAATTTAATGCACAAATCTCTGTAAGTGCCATGTTACAAATTATTATGATTTAATTCACCTGTTACAAATGATTGCATTTCAATAGTCGGAATGTGAATTGCATACATTAGTTGTTGCTAGGTAGGACAAATGTTATGGCTTGTCCTACCTACAATACAGCATATATGCAATTTCAATTCTGACTCCTGAGATACATTTATTCGTAACAGGTGAATTAAATAATTTGTATTGAGGCGCTTTACAATGGCATAGGCCTACAGTACTATATGCATAAATTTGGTTACCTTACGAAATGGGCTATTTTGTCTTGCTCTCTCTCTCTCTCTGTCGGGGACATCATGTACAACTCTCACTGCCATTTCCACACCTAGTTTCTTTCATTCCATTACCCCTTCACATGGTTCTGTTGTTCAGGTCTGATCACCCTTCCATGCTCTCTATTGGTCCTCTCCACTTCTTGGATTCTTTCATTATACTTGACTCTAACATTTTCATTTTCTTAATAATTATTACTTTGTGATCTCATTGATGTTCTTATCCTTTAAATTTATTTACTCATTTATTTGTGTCAGGAGAGTAAGAGTTTTCTTGATCAATACTTGGCAGAAACTGATAAATTATTGTAGTTTGCAGTATTCATTCAACACATCATGACTTGTGAACATGGTTGCTATTTACCAACCAGATGAATATAATTATAGATCAGTTAATTCAGTAATTCAAATTTTACGCATACTATCAAATCGAAAGGAAATTTGCATTTTGTAGCCCCAAAGCAGCCATAAAGGGGCTACATACATTCTTGTACCGTACTGGCCATTCTTGCCATTCTTGTATTGGCAGACAAATATGTGTTTTGCAGGTGTATGCAAATGTGTGCCTTTAAGTGCAAATGAGATTTTTCTGCCTGTGTATGCAAATGAGTCTGCATAAGTGCAGATGGTATGCAAATGAGGTTGCAGACAGAGATGTGCACAAAACCTAGTTGAACATGGAATGTGTGTGGAATGTTTGTGCATGAATTTTGTAGTGATCATGCTACTATAAATCATGATGGAAGGCTGTATGCTACACAGAACTGATGCTGTTTGATACCAGTTCTATGCAGGGACGACTTACATGTAAGCATGGAAAATGGCTTTCAAAAAAATCTTGGCATTTTGAAAGAACTTCTTAAAAAAATAGTTCTGCATGGATAAAAGGCTTGTGGAATAATGGGTAGCATTTGTTTAGAGATGGAGATGGGTAAGCAGATTAGAATTTGCAAATTTCAATTCACTTGTGTGCAACATTGTTATTATGCCTACAGAGGACATTCCCATTGTAAGGAGGTACAGAACACTTGTATGCAAGTGTTATCACACTGACACGAGTAGTTTCCTATTAAAAAATTGGTAATTTTTCTCATCATTTATGTGTCTTTTTCATTGAAAAACATTATTTCCACTTTCATCTAAATAAATTTTTTGAAGATTAAAATATGTTGGTGCCTCTCTTGTTTATGCAGGTACATGAAAAATGGGTGTGGCACATTCAGAAGACTGGAAGCCTTCCGTTGTCCTCAGACGTTGGCATCCCAAGGTGGACCTCCAGCAGCCGGAGCGCAATCTTTGCCAAAGCTGTGAGACCATGGCAGAAGATATCCGTTTCCAAGATTGCGAAGCCTTCCAATGGGACCTTCAGGTTAGTAAGAGATTAGTGTTGGACAATTACAGTTACAGTCTACACATGACATCGAAGTACAATATCAGTAGAAACAAAGTTAGAGAAAATACTGAAGAAAGGGAAGGGAGAGAGAGAAATTAAGAAGTTGGAAGGAAGAAGGGAAAAGTTGAAATTGTATATATTTGGCCACTGTACATGATGAAAAAAAAGTATCAATAACAAAAACCAAAACCCACAATTGTGAGGAAAAATGGAACAACTGCAAAATACCCTGCGCATTATTTATACCCTATCACTAACCCTACCGGATTTCATGTGTGCATGCTCAGCTCAAATGTGCAGGGTATTCTGCAGTTAAGCCGAATAAACATCAAAATGATCAAAATGAAAAATACCCCTCCAAAAGGGGAAACGTTCATAACCTATAAGAGGCAAAAAAAAAACACGTCAACAATTCAGGCAATAATGTGTCAACCAGAAGTCCACTAAACGGCATGGACATGTACATGAGTCCCTCTTGCAGGTTACTAGTTTCTTCACACTGTCAGATCGTTTAGAAATTGCAAAAATCCTTCCATCAATGGACTACCCTGATTTCACCTTCTCATCAAGACGAGCCTGATTGAGAAGTATTGCGTTCCTTGCTGTTAGGTCTTCAAGGATCGACATGCATTTTCCTACGAACTTCGGACGATTGGCGATGATTTCACGCCTCTAGGGGTCCCGTCGCATTTGTTCGCCATGGTGTATTGAAAATTACTATTTAAGAAAAGACGGTACTAAACTGTCAGGTGACATGAACGTGCTATTCACATTAAAGAAAAATAGTTGCGCACAGAAACTTGTAGAGCTAGTTGACCGCTTCAGTAGAGAAGAAAAGGATAGGTTCTAGCTATAACAATTGATGCCAACCGTAGTCTGTAACGTACATAAAGCGCAAGCACTGGTTCAGTTTAGATTCAAAAAGTAAAAACAGACATATAACTCACCTGGTGGGACCCTGCATTGCGAATGGTGAAATGAAACTGCCAAAGTTGAGATGATAAAAATCACACTTTGCACGGAGAAGAAAGTCTCAAAATCGCTTCTGGTCGACTTTATAAGGTTAAAAAGACATCATAAGAGGTAACACAAGGTAAAGAAGATATTTACACTGTCTCTCTAAACCCTGTTGAAAAATGGTGTTATTAAATTTCTTGTACTAAGCTTAATTTCTATTTACAATAATAAAAATTTAAAAAATCACTTTACCTGCAACTTTTCTTTATTGACTTTTGGTAGCTAGCGTAGCACCTCCAGTTTTTGTTTTTCTACGTTCAAGAGTTGTTAGGAGAAACTCATCTTTCGGTTTTGTGTGCGTCTGAGTCAATGTGGCTGATGTTGGGTGGTGGTGTGCAGTGCTAGAGCCGACTTTGATGCGATTGACTCCTCGGGGATGGCCGCGGCAGGAACCGGTATCGCCGATGATGCCGCTGATATTAAATCAATGCCACCATCAATACCTTTAATTAATAAATTACGAAAATCACTATACTCTAAATGACGTAATACAATTCTAAAAGGTAAAGTGTATATAAAGTAGTTCAACCTTTTTCACGTTAAAATAGTCCATGTTAGAATTTTTTTGGAAGGGAGCATTTTCTGTTATGATATAATGAATATAAAATAATGACCCTGATGGAAGGTTTATTGCCTTAAATTGAATTACTGAAGGTAATACCAATGCGCTTTACAAACATTTCAAAACCAAGATATGAATGCAGAAGACAATAGAAATAAAGACATATATAGAGATAATTACATATATATATATAAATCTATCCATTACAAGTACCATAAGTAGGCATACAGTATACATTAGTAAAATCGATAGTAGCTTCTATTAAAGATGATACATGTGGTATAATATTTGACAGTTATTATAATGGTGAGAAAGGCCCGATACAACAATATAATTTAAATAAATAGATAAATAAACATCCCGCTTGTTGGGAGACTTTTGGAAAACTTTTCCTGACATTATGTTACACAGTCAGTCACAACGCAAAGATGTTACCAACCATCGAAATGAAATGTCTTCAGTTCTTTCTGGAAGACATCTAAGTTTGACTGAGCATGGAGAGTTCCAGGAAGAGAGGTTCAAAGGGTTGGTGCAGCACATTCAAACGACCTGTCACCGAAAGATTTGGTTCTACTCCTATTTACATGTACTACTAGCAGGTTTTGTACTTGATATAGGCTAATCATGTAAGTGCTGGTCCCATGTACAGCAAGGACCTTCTTGTCTATTTCATCTAATACGTCTTCGTCCTTAGGAGGTCCATCTCCTCCCGTCTTCATAGCATAGCGCTTCATTTTGCTTGCCTTCATTTTGACTGACGACTGGTACTTTGACCATTTCGTCCTTACTTCTTCCCCACTTCGTTTGTGTCCAAGAGAACTCACCGTGTGGACTTTGAGGGCAATTTCTTCCCATTTAGTCCTTTTTAGTTGATAAGAGCTGACGTCTTTGAAGCTTGAAAAAAGTACATTTTTATTTGCCTCCACTTCGTCCACCAAGACTTGAATTTCGTTTGTGGTGAAGTTTTGACTTCCGTTTAGATCCCGATGCCAATTTGCTCTTCATGGTGAAGAGATGAATAAAATCGACATTTAACACACATATTTATAACTTTTTACGTGGATCCGCCTATTTATGTCATTTACATTAAAATATTTAATCAATCCACACTTACATCCAGGAATTTTAGAACGACATGAACATTGAAGAACCTCTCTATTAAAACTCATTTTCTCTGTACACCATTATACACAACTTGCATCAAAACACATGTCACTGAAGATAAAATTATTCAAAATATACATGATAATAAATATGAAGGTATATGGCTTCACCAATTTTGAAACATTTGAAATTGCGTGTACTCTGCAATCAAATTATTTTAATTTTAAGAAAACGGGTAACTTTATGTGTGCTGAACGTGGTTGAAATGAATTCTCTGCCACACCCATAAACTGCTTCTCCGCACAATACGCTCTATCGTGCTTGGCATGTCCTGTTATGTTTACAATATTGTGAACCGAACAAACAATATTTTCTAGCTTTACAATGTATCGCATAGAAAATACAATTATTACATTTTATAAATGTTTGGACAGAGCATATCATGAACTGTTAAAATTGATATCGGTCTCCAGTTATAAAGAGATTTTGTATTTTTTAAATATCAATGCTAACAAAGCCATGATTTGACCTTGAGAAAATGTTTGCTTTCCGTGACCTTCATTTGTATGTTACATATTTATGTTTATGATATGTTAGATTGATCACCTTGTTAGTTGTTAGTAGCAGACCCCCTAGACAAACTTGGCTACATTGTTTTAAAAGTTTTGTTGCAACGTTGTTCTTTTTTATTCCTCCTAGTCTACCACCGATCAAGAAAGATCGAGCAATGTCCGCTGAAAGTAGCTTCATGGAGTTCATGGGTACAGTGGCTAAACAAATCTACAAAGCTGAGTGGGACGAAGCTTATCAAAAGACCTCTTCCACACTCAACAGATATCATCATTCTTTATCATCTCAGGTAATCAGGGGATGGATCCAGCATTTTTTTATAAAATGAAGGGGGGGGGGGGTGTCAGCCCATAGTAGCTTCATGGAGATCATGGGTTCAGTGGCCAAATAACTCTATGAAGTTGAGGTTAGGGTTTTTAACAAAAGAGGGGGGGGGGCACAATGCAATGCATAATTTATTACATTTTTTAGTTGATGACAAGGAAGAAAAATAGAGTTAACAAATATTTTTAGGTTTCTTTCACCAATTTGATAAGGAGGGAGGGAGGGGGGGGGGGGTCTGACAGTTTTTGTATGTGTTCTCTTCAACCCTTATGTTGGTGGTCTTATCCAGAGAGAGGCTGGCTTGCATCAAAAATATATTCATGCCGGAAATACAATGTTTATATAGATTAAAGCTTCATACACACATTCATGCTTTACATTTATAGGTTGACTCCACAACTGTAATTGATCTGATACGGCAGTTGTATGGGTGTCCAATCATCTACATCAATGGAGAAGGAGTGTCGGACTCATCTTCAAAGACTTCTGGGAAATCTTCTAATACGGCACAATCTCAAGGTGTAGAACATTCCAACATTGTGTCTTTGTTCTGCGGCATTGTCACCAAAGACTGCATGTACTTGCTTCAGCCTCACCATGAACACACAGTCCAGGACGCGACCATGTTCAGTCCTGCCTCCCTTTCTGGTTCTTATGGAAAGGTCCTCTTCGTCATCTTTCAAATGTTCCATGCAGTGAGCCATTGCCACCGAAGAGGTGTATCATGCGGGAACTTATCACTGTCGGATTTTACCATCGATGAAAAACTCTGGGTGCAATTCTGTGGGCCAAAGTGGAACGATGTCTTGAGCTTCGCGATGCATGACCAAAGAACTCAAAGGAGTTTGCCTGAAACTCAAAGAGGTGCAATAGCGGATGAAAGTGAAGTGCAAAATAACAGATTGGACAATGTTATTATAGATCAGCCTTGTGCAATAGGTGGTGGTAACGGGAGTGGTGCAAAGATGGACGTGCTACCAGAAATTATGCAGAAATGGGCCATGGGCCAGCTTACAAATTTTGATTATCTCATGATCCTGAATCGTCTTGCCAATCGTCAAATGGGCAACCCGAACCACCATCCCATCATGCCGTGGGTCATGGATTTCACTCAACCCGATGGCAACTATCGGGACTTCTCCAAATCCAAGTACAGGCTCAACAAAGGAGACAATCAGCTAGACTTCACCTATGAGTCGGCGCTACAAATGCAGGCCATGAACGAGGAGGATGGAAGCAACCTTGCCGGTCAAGTACCCCACCACATTTCTGATGTCCTCTCTGAAATCACCTACTACATTTACAAGGCACGTTGCACGCCAAAGTCTCTGCTCCAGACCCACGTCAGATCGGTGTGGGTGCCCAACGAGTACCCAGCTAGCATGCAGAGGCTGCAGGGCTGGACACCTGATGAATGCATCCCAGAGTTCTTCTCCGATGCCTCCATCTTCAAGTCCACTCATGATGATCTGCCTGATCTGGAGGTGCCCTCCTGGTGCAAAGGACCAGAGGACTTTGTCCAGAGACACAGAGCTGTTTTGGAAAGTCCTTACGTCTCAGAGAGGCTGCATCGCTGGATTGATCTTACCTTTGGCTGCAAGGTAAGATATCAGTGTAGTAGGCTAATTTTTGTAAACAGCTGTTATTCAACAGATCAATCGCATCAAAGGAAAGTGTAAGTTGCAGAAAAATATCTTTTTGGAAAGCATTTATTCCTCTAATTGTGCAACAAGCATCCAAATTCATTATAGAAAGAAAAAAAATGTTTCATTGATACATGTATTATACATATGGTATCTTAAACACTGTTTATATAACATTGGTTTTCTAGTACTAGGTTGAACAATGTGGTTTCACACTTGATTGCTATCAGCTAACATGTTGTACGGGTATGTTAAAATGAAATCAATGCAATGCATGGATAAATAATCTCCCTTTGGTTATGGTAATGGACAGGATATTGCTGCAATGGTGCTTTGAAAAATAATGACATTGTTGACTTAAGCCATATTTCACTCCCATGGAACCTATTGGCCCGAATTCACAAAGGAGGTTTAGATTCAACCCACGGTTTAAATCTAAACCTCCTTTGTGAATTTGGGCCATAAATTTTAATATGTTCTTTCCTCCAAACTGTCCAGCTCTCTGGTTCAGCGGCAGTCAAAGCCAAGAACGTGGTGCTGTGCGTGGTCGACCAGCACACTCTGCCAGCAAACAACGGTGTCGTGCAGCTCTTCAACGTGCCTCACCCCAAACGCTTCTCTCCATCCCCCTACATGTCGCTGGAGGCACCAGACATTGAGAGGTCGCAGATCGATGTGGGGTCATCCGTTACCATCACAACTCAAGAGGAGAGTGCTCCTAGATCAGAGCAGGACATGGCTGTAGGAGTTGAAGGAAGCGATAGCAGCAAGGTGGTTTCGGACACAGAAATGATGGAAAGTGTCTCTCCTCGCAACAAAGATAGCCTTACAGTAAGGAGGTTTTGTAGTTATTAAGCCAGGACTCTTGACCAAAATGTTTGGGTCTATATGCATTGGACCCTATGTAGAGATTTTGGCATTTTGAAATTTTGTGTTCCAGACCTAGATTTTGGGTACCACGTATCCCAGGGGCGTGTTTAGTATTGAGCCCTGATTAAGCCTTGTTAACACAAGATGCAGTTTACCATCTAAAAAGACAAAATCATCCAGCAAATTGAAATTACATAAGCTCAGTTCGCTTCTCATTTCAGTATTCATTTCAGATACAGGTCATTTAGTTAATGCATCTATCTTTTTTTCACCCCCACTTGTTATTCATTTATATATCAAATTGGTTTTCCTTGTTGCCACTGTCGTTTTTGTGCTGGGTTACTTTCATCACGTGTGCTTGAACAAGGTTTTTAGGAAGGTTTTTATAAATATTTACAATTGTGGATCCTAGTGTGAGATTTGACACCAGGGGCCTGTTTAATAAAACTTGTTATCAATAACATCTGCCACAGATCTATGACAAATCTGCTCATAGCCAATCAAATTGAAGGATTTCAGTCGCTTATAACAAGTATTGTGTCATGTTATTGATAAGATTCAAGAAGTTTAATGAAACAGGGCCCAGGGCCTTTACTTTTACAGATTTAGTGTTCATCTCCATTAGAACAACATTAACAAAACCCTATACACTGACAAACAAAAACTTAGGAGTTTGGTTAACATTTCAGAAGAAAGATCTTTCAAGAAGAACTGTATCCTTAGAGACATTTCAGGCTTTTGATCTAGAGGTATTTGCTGTATTTTGCGAGCATTTGAATAGCGATAAATCGTTACTTCTATATTTTCTAGATCTCTGCTGATGGCGAAAGGAGCAGTGATCCCCAGGACTCTGATGCCAGCTCAATACGCATGAGAACCCAGTCTTTCAACACAGAGGCACAGAGTGTGGTCGGTTCTTACTCGGCAGTAGAAGATTCGCAACTCAGCAAAAATCCCATGAGGAAGCTGCCCTTTTTCAGGTAAAAAAATCACCATAGCAACTGTCTACTGCAAAACCAGATACAAACATTTTTTTTTCTCAAAGAGAATTATAATAAATTACAATAAGTTTCAGTTGAGACATAGGACATATAATCAAAACATACAGCATTCGCACATAAGGTATTTGAACAACAAAGGCATACTAGACACTCATTCACACACACCCACACACACACACACACATACAGACAAAAATAGAGAATAAGAAATAGACAAGAAGATGATAAAGCAAAAAAGGATATTAGAGAGAGAGTACGAAGAGAGAAATAGAAAGAGAAGAAGAGCAGGAGATAAGGAAAGTTTTGTGCATTGACAATAGCATATGCTTTAAAAAAGTACTTTCTACAGAGAACTTTGAATTTTGAGAGGATGAAAGTTTGTTTCATACAGGGTCTAGAGTATTGCACCATTTGATACAGTTGATATAAAATGAATGTTATATTCTGCCTTCCAGACCCAAGTCCGACATGCCCCTTGACTCGAGGCTGATCAGACCAGAGCTAGCCACCATTATGCTACCTGAGGAGTATGATCCACTCTCTGCACTTAATCAGCTGGAGTCTCTCTACTCCTTCACTTCCAAGTCAAGCTATGATCTACCTACAAGGCACCAAGTGGTAAGACCTGGGGGGGGGGTGTTTCACAAAGATCCTAAGTTGGACTTAAAAGTTATGGAAAGCCATTAGCATCCTTGAAAATATTTTGTAAAAGTTATTTCAAAAGGCATAAAATGTTGATTAATGTCATTCATATTTTCTATTATAATGGGGGATTTCATGTTCTTGATGTGGAATTTATGAAAAGTCTAAAATACTTGGCTTTTGAATATATTTCATTGTAAGGCTAAAAATGGCTCTCCATAATATTTAAGTCCAACTTAGAGTTAAGTTTGGCTACAAATCTTTGTGAAACACCCCCCAGAACTAGTATTCTGTCACCATGCTTTATATGTCGGAAGTATGAAGTATTTTACTCAGTTTTTGTTGGCTTGGATACAAAATTAGTTATCTTCGGTTTCATTAAAAAGCAGGGCTGGAATGTCATATATTTGAAATATATTTCACATATTTATTTAACTCTTTTTGTCTGTGGCCTTCGGGTGGTTTTAGTAACCAATCTATTGCAATCCAAATCATATTTGATACAATGTTTTTATCTTGCAGAACTCAATAGAGCACTGTAGACATTAGTCCACATGTTTTGGCTAATTAGAAATAAAAAGACCAGGGAATTATTTCAGTCATAAGTACCAGTTCGTCAACATCCCTTTGAATCGCATATTAATTTCAATACACACGTTTCAATTGGATGCTGGCAAATTTTGATCTATGATGGTTTTGTGAAACACTGTACTGACTAGAGCCAATACAATTCATTTTTCTCTAGAAGAAAAAAAAGGGATTTCAGAAGATTCTTGAGCCTGTCTTCATAATACCAGTTGTTCCACCATTCTTTTTTGTTTTCTCTCCAATCAGGAGGAAACACAGGTCCAGTGGCAGCAGCTTGTTGCAAGGGATGCTGTAGCATTAGGCTGTGCTGTTGCTGAGTTATGCCTTGCCCCAAAGCTGAGGTTCCGCCAAATTGGGTCGGACTTGGAATCTAGATGGAAACATCTTCAGAGGGTCGTAGGAGCTGAATATCAGGAATTACCAAGGTAAATGTAAATGGGTACCTGGCAGGAATTAATTCCTTGAAATGCTAGAGCGCCCTAATGGCAGCCGTGCTAAAGCCAGGGTAATAATTGGGCACGCCAGGAGTGTCAAGTCTGACAGACATGAGCGCTATACAAGAACCCACTATTATTATATTATTATTAAATGTACTAGCAGGACCCGCGGAAATCCGCGGGATCCTAGAGGGGGGCGGGGGGTGTAAATAGATATATAGAGACTGTCTAAATTAAAGCCACCAAGAACTTTATTTGGCATTCAGGCCATTAAGAAATATACATGTTAAGCGTCCCCGCCTGCTTCCTTTTTGGGGGCGGCCTCCTATTTTTTTTTTTTTTTTTTTTTTTTTTTTTTTGAAAGAAAAAAAACATGAAAAGCACTGCTAAAAAAGAAAAAAAAAAAAATTGTCGGCCGCCATCTTGAAAAATAGCCCGAATGTCAGGTTGAATTGTTTTCGTTCATCTTGCGTACCCCTTTCCGTCCCTCAGCATATAGTAACGTAGGCCAGCGTAGTTGTTACGCAACACTACGCAACTCTACGTATTGACCCCACGCCAATTAGTGACCCGCAAGTGTCACAAATAAAGTATTAAAAATATGCTCATCTGACCCTATACGCCTAAAACCCCCGAGCTTTCGGGGGTTTATGGCCCCTTGAAACCTGTGGACCCCACGCCTTTATTATATATACACTCAACTCGCTGCGATCTGATCTCTCCCCCCCCCCCCCAACTTTGAAGAACGTAACCCCCAAGCTTTTGGGGGTTTATGGCCCCTTGAAACCCGTGGACCCCACGCCTATATTATATATACACTCAACTCAGGACCCGCGGAAATCCGCGGGATTCTAGAGGGGGTGCGCAGACAAAAAATTAATTCATAAAAGGATAGGCCTACACTTTGTTGAGATTTGTTTAGTAGGCTAACGTTTCAGGCTTTCTACTTCATAATTGCCTATTTAAAAAAAAACATTTTTCTAGTTCAATAACTAAGTTTTCATGCATTGATTTGATGCAAGAACTGTAACATAATAGACCATAGATTGTGATTATTTTTTACCATGAATTTCGATAATCATTTTTCAAAGTAAAATTTTCACAAGAAAATCAAACAGTCTTTTAAAAACGTAGACCTCTAGACATTAGAGTCTAGTAATACTTACTAATTCTAAGCTCAGGTTTCGTAAATCTATTCACGAAACTATATTGAAATCGCGGCAATAATGATGCAAACCAACAGATAACAATTTCAAAGTGTCAAATCTCTTCGACTCGAATTCAACTCACACACTGCTGCATAACTGCAGCGTAACTCCAACTGCAACTCAGCTCATCTCACACACACTACACAGTGGCAATGCACTGTAAGTTACGGTGATTTTGTCTGATTTTCTTTACTTTGAAGAAATGATTATCAAAATTACGTAAACATGGCGAGAACATCACAAAATAGGCTTTAATTTCATACCTCTATTTATGGAAACTTTATAATATTGCAGCAATCGTGAATTCGTGATGGAAATTGATTGCAGTTTCGCGACGTTTAGTGGTTCATGGTCTAGATTCAGCTTCTACCAAAACAAAATCGACCGCCAAAAACTCGAGCCCTACGCTCCGTCTCGATCTCGCAACTGCAAAAATGTACGTGTTTTGGCGTACTTGCGTGCGGCATGGTAAGCCAGGTAAGGTATGGCATATGGTTCGAGTTTTTTTACGACCGATTTTTGTGTATACAATTTTATACGGATAGTCATCGGTCGTGTGTCAATGTTGAATATCCATGAGGTATCTCTGTCGTCACGCATATCCTGCATTATGCATGTCGCGTCTGTTTTCGCCCTGGACGTCGACACGGAGGAGGAGCTCGGGCGGAGTATAGCCAATTCCACAGAGTAGACTCTCCCGCGGACGATGGCACCGGGCACGGGTACCCCGAGGGGAGGGTTCAGGAGGAGATAGCCGCACCAACTTGGGTCGGCGATCTCATTAAAAAACAACAGAATACAAAGGCTCGCGGAGACGTCGCGCCCCCCGCGGAGACTTAGCGTATTATTATTATAGATAGATTGTGTACTCTGGATAATATCAATCTATCATGTGTCGTGGTCTGGAGGAGTCCTCCCTGGACTATGAATCACATGGTTCACGGTTTGAGTCCTGCCTTGGCACTAATGTCCTTTAGCAAGATATTATCGATACATTTGCCACTTTCCACCCCGGTGAAGTAGATGGGCTGGTAGGAAGATATTCTGTGAATGCTTGAGCACCTTATCATGGTAGCTCGCCTGATGTCGGGTTAATGATATGATATATTTGCAGGGCCCTCAGGGAGAACAGTATTAATACTGATGAGGCTATCCTGGGTAAACAAAACTTAATTTGTTCATACTTGTATCTAGTACATGAATGAATCTTGAATTTGGAAAGGATTATCCTATCTTTGCAAACAACAAAATTGTGAAAGTCACTCCAATATCCTATTTAAGAAAAAATGTTCTTGTTTATAAACTTTGTACAATGTTGCAATAAAAATTGACAATTGCCCAGTTCAATCGTATCTTTGGCTCTAAAAATTGGTTTCATAACGAAAGGTATCAATTTTTGTCTCGCCTGCGTAGCAAAATGCGAGACATACATGTAGGTTCCGCTTTTCCGGTGACGGCGGCGATGGCGTCAACATTTTGAAATTTTAGTAAAATTTTGAAAGTATAAGTTCTTATTCAATGAAACTTAGACCAAATGGTTATCAAGTATCCCCAATCATGTGAGTAGAATTTCAGGTCACAAGGTCAAAGGTCATTTCAGGTCAACAGACTTGGACTATGTTGTGGCATCATCATCGAAAACTTAACCTCAGGTTAAGTTTTTGAATTGTTAATATAATTTTAAAAGTATAAGTTCTTATTCAATGAAACTTAGACTAAAGGGTTATCAAGTACCCCCAATCATGTGAGTAGAATTTCAGGTCACTAAGTTAAGGTCAAAGGTCATTTCAGGTCAACAAACTTAGACTATGTTGTAGCATTAGCATTTTTTTTGGGGGGGGGGGGGGAGGCCTGCTAATGGGCCACCCTGCCTATACATAATGTCCCAACCTCAATTTTTCATCATATCGAATTGCGTAATGCAGGCGAGACCGCCGAGAGCGTTTCCCTTGTTTATAAATATTTCAACGATTTCAAGATATGTTTCATTAAACATCCATAGGAATAATCATTAACTTGACACTGTATTATAATATCTTGGTCTACAGTGTAATTCTACATCCATACGTAGTGTGTCAATAATTATAGAAATGGAAAAGAGAATGTTTGACAGTTTCCATGTATATCATTATTATTTTCTTGGGTAATTTTTTTTCTTTTCAGGCCAGTCAGAGAGATCATGCATACCCTGCTGAAGATGGACAAGACTTCAGGTGAAGGCCTGCCTTGGGAGTTCTCTGCATACTTTCAGAGTGGTCAAAATGGCCATCCACCGATGTGCCCTGGCCTTCTCCTTCAACCTCACTCTGGTCTCGTTCCATTTCCTGAGTACTTTCAGTCCTTGCATCAGTTCCTGGCTGAGCTTCACCTGCAGAGGTTCCAGGTGGATGACCAGGAGCTACATCCCACAGACCTCACTGACCATCAGGCTATGAGTATGGTCCATCTGGCCAGGCAGTGGCTGCCTAGGTGCACCAAAGACATCACCAAAGAAGGAAGGGATATCCTGCTTCCTTACATCAGGAGTCTCTTCGAGGAGGGCAGTACCGCTGTGTATGCAGCGCTGTCCTTGTTCAGCAAGTACACAGCTCACCTTGGTCCCAAGTTGGCAACGGAGGAACTGCTTGCTCCGTTGGGTCGTCTCTTCGATTCCGACTTCACCTCGCCAGACTACCTCCTGCTGTTTCAGCATTCTTTTCTCTCTCAGGTCATCATGTCCTTGGGTCTCAAGCCATTCTTGAACACCTTAGTGAGTTACGTCACAGAAGCAACAAACGGGCTGAAGCAGTGCCCCATGTTTGTGCACGGTGCTAGCGAGCAGACCAGCTGTATCGCCACAATGGCCTCAGGGGGGAGCAACAGCACAGTAGAGGCTGAGACATTCCTGGCTGAAACAGAAGGCATCTCTGTTGATGAGGAACTGTTTGGAAGTGAGGATGGTGATGAAGTTAGAGATGATGCTGGTGAAGAGAGGACAATTGAACAAGGAATCAGTGATTTGGAGAATACTGACCAGGATAAGGAGAGGACAGAAGATGATGAAGATGTCCTCGTGTCTCAGAATGATGGAGATGATGGAAGCTCTAACAGTGGGCAGGCATCACCTTTGGACAGCGAGGGCAGTGAAACCATCGCAATGGGCAAAGAGCCAGACACAGCATCCATCAGCTCAGGGAATCTACCCTCTCTATCAGAAGAGCCTGATGAAGGCTCCCCCACCTCTGACAAAATTCCTTCAAAGGATGTGTCTTCACCACGCCAATCTACCTCGTCCCCATCTCCCAGTACCCATTCTCAAACCAAAGAACAGGACCTTCTCTTTACAAGCCAGACCAAACCCATTGACCAGTACAGGAGAACCTACAAGAAGCAGTTGTCCTCTAAACTCTACCAAGTCAACACACTCATCGGCAAGAGCCTGAGCGATGTTGCAAGTGAGAGCATTATGTGGTTGGCACATCGGATCGGGCCAACGCTGACAGTTCGTTTCATCACTCCAAAGCTTCTAGAAGCTCTCTCAGGATGCTACATGATGCCAGATCAACTTGTCTACTGTTACATGCATGAAGATGTAGATTCAAGTGAGATAGGTGAGAACCTAACAGTTTCTGTTTCCTATAGCAAGGATGGTGTTTTAAGAGTAATGGGAGATGTTATATTAAGTTGTTTATTTCACATTTTGTTTTATCAAATTCTGCACTACTTTCAGGCAGGCTTCTCGGCAATTCACAACGCCCTTAGAGATCGTACTTTGTAATGGGGGCTTCAAAAAATCAAGGGTGAATTATCTTCTGTATTGGACGTAAGAGTTTTATTGAATAAAATCAAGCTCCAAAAATTCTTAGTTCATCTGATTCTATCTTTTGAGCGATACTGAAATCCTAGTCCACTGATGCTAATGACATGTACACAAGAAAATTGTTTTGTCAGTAGCATTGTTTTTGACGTAGTGGTCAGTACTATCTTTCTTTACTTACAAACTGCCTCTTACGATCCATGGGTAAAAACTAAGTTGAGTCTTTCAGATAGTGGTGTTAAGTTCTGGTCCCCAGAAGTAAAATATAGCTGATTGATAAACAACTCTACAAAAAAAAAATTAAACACACACTTACATTGTTACATCAATATTTGTTGCTATATCAGAAGATCAAATACCGACATGATTTCTATGATGAATCGATCTTTGGAGACTTGTGTCGGAAGGATGATGCCCCGTAATCACTCATTACGGCAATCGGTCATGTGACGTTGTCTTCAAGATCCTGGATGGAACGACTCGATGAATCTTGAAAACTAATTAGACGAAGCTCAGCGTGCCACTAGTTTTGTCATGAAGAACTTTCTTGTCCCTCGTTAAACGGAGTTATATTGACAAGGTTTTGCCAATGGCAGGAAAATTAAGGTTCTGGGCTACATGGAGGATACCTCTCGTACCGGTGTAGCCTGAGGAAAAAGATTGCTGGTGCCGAATACAAAAATCAAGGCTCTGGTAGCAACTTCCACAGTTATGAACTCCATCAAGATCACGAAGTAAAGTTCGCATAACTCTACTAAAAAAAATTAAACACACACTTACATTGGAGCATCATTTATTTTGATTTGGAATGGTGTGTTTTACATACTACATACATATATATTGATATTTATATACCGGTAGCGCCTTTACATAAACATGCTCAAAGTGCTTTATATTAGTAAATAAAACATTTATTTTGCTCTCCTAGTGCATACACAGTTTCTCGGCGTTATGCGATGGTTAGCTGATTGGTGTTTTCATTTGTTGCTTCCTTGATTACGTTCCTCTTCTTCATTGATGCGGCGTAGATCTAGAACTTTTTTCTGGAGAATGTTGAACTTATCATTCAGTGTAGTAATCTCCTTTTGACGCTCTTAAAGATCCAGACGTATGGCATTGTAGATATCCTGTGTTATCTGGTCCTTTATGGCAGCAGCAATGAATTGGACGAGTCTGTCTTTTGTATAGGTACTCTCGAGTGTGCTATCCACCTGGTTCCGAATGGTATCAATCAAGCGGGAATCTGGTTGAGTCACGGTTGAGCGAGCAGCCGGATCAAGTTGTTCACAGGTGATGGTGTGGTCCCCGGTAGCTTCGGTTGCTGATGGTGACACCGGATCGTCCACTGCTGCTTCATCCCGACCCTTAGATTTAAGTTTCCGTGGCATGGTTGATAAATTAAAAAATTTTAAAAAAGGCAATTAATAGATGAAGTAAATTCAACGATAGCAAAAATCACATGTGATTTCTATGACAGCTTTAAGGTCCAAAACACGGTACACAACCTCGTTCACATCCCACACAACTCCACACAACGCCTAAGTTGTCAAAAAACAATTACAAAGAAAACAAATAAGCCTCAAGATTTCTCTTAAATGATGCGACTGAGGAGCAGGAACAAATGTTTAATGGGAAACTATTCCAAATAGTGGGACTAGAAAAAATTATATTTTGTTGACCCTTCTTCAAATTGATGCAGGGGATTTGCAGAAGAAGAGGATCTGACCTTGAGCGTAATGAATATCTTGATTGCTGGATGGGACAAAACAGACTAGAAATATAGGATTGGCTATTAAAGGTTATACATGGATTTATAAACAAATAGTGCAACTTTCTGTTTTGTTGTTGTTTATATCTCATATACTTGCATTCTTATCTCCCATTGATTCAGATAACTCTCGTGTTTGTATTGGGAAGAAGTCGGTCGCGGGTGACATCAATGCCAAACCTGTTCTAAAGTGCCTAACTGACATTGCAGTCCTGTATGGAGACCAGTTCATCTTCCAGCAGTATCTACCCTTCATCAAAGAAACTGTAAGTCCATTTAATAACATTTTAACCCACTAAAGGAGAAGTCCACCCTGATATTAAGTTTGTTTTTGAACAAGTTGTTTTAAACAGATCAGTGAAAGTTTGAACAAAATATAAATATAAAATTAGATGATTTTGAATGTTTGAAGTTGCAATTGATCAAAGACAAATTGGCAACTCTGTGACATACCTTGCGAGGTTCTCTACCATTTACAGGAAGGGTAAATCGTCATGTAAATATTTGATTTTCAAATTGGAAACCCCAAAATAAATTGAGAGTTCCTGAATCAGGTAATCTAGTAAACTGGAGTAATTTAAATCCTGCTTACATTGATTTTGATGTTTCTTGTACACTAGTGCAGCAGTGAATATTCAACATAGTCCCATGTGTATTAAATTTTCCAAAATTTTGCCTTGGAGCATACTAATTTCATGCAATGCTCTTATGTCTCTCAACGAAGTACCAACATCCATACCAAAATCACCCTCCAAATCAAAGCCTTTTGTTTCTTGTGCGACAGGTACGCAGAGTGCAGAGGAAAGTAAGTGCCAAGCTCGAGGGTCGTCTCATCAGCTCAGTGGTCCTCCTCAGACACATCTTGCCATACCTGACAGACTCCAGTCTCATGCAGAAATTGCAGGTCAGACTCTCGATCCCTCTACTTTGAGGGACTTTTAGATTTGCACGTCAACATAGTGGAGTCCTTTCAAGGCACTGGCAGTGCCTTAAAAGGACATCACAGTGCCTTAAAGGACATGACACGTAGCAGATCTTAAAGTCCCTGTTACTGTTGCTTAAGTGCCACTCTATGTAAACTACCTCACATACCCATGCAATAAAGTGAAATATAGAGGAGCAATTATGCCATGTATTTAGAAATTATAGCGCATGTCATGCAGTGGAAGAATATTTTGAGATGGTTGCCTCATGTTGGAACATGTCTGTGATGAATTATGTAATATTTTGGGGACTGATTTCCTATTAGAAGTTTTCTGGATGATAAGATTACCAAGAAATCAAACAGCTTCTAAAATATTTTGTTACAATTTGAAATATGAGTATTTTGGGGGAATTGGTATTCCTATAGTAGTTTTTTTTGTTGATGAACCCTTAGATCTTTTTTTTCTGAAAACTTCTGTATAAAAGCACACAAAGTACATTGTATTCCTTCAATGGGCTTGAGACACTATGAATATGACGGACAAAGAAAGCCGACAAAATATACAGTTCCTCAGGTAGACAAAGGAACATCCCTTCACTGCTATTATGTACAAATGTGTAGAACAGGTGTCACATGCATGTTCACCTGTTCTACACATTTTTACATAATAGCAGTGAAGGGATGTTCCTTTGTCTACCTGAGGAACTGTATATTTTGTCCGCTTTCTTTGTCCGTCATATTCATAGTGAGAGGTGCTAATTTGTGCTTGGAAAGGTTATGTATAGAACAGAAAGGGTCAATTTTTCATTAAGTCATCTGGTGTTGTCCAACACAAAATTTGCACTATTTTTTACTTTGGAGTTGAAAGATTTCTGTTTGACGAGAAGTGCCTTCTCAACCAAAATATGTGGTTGATATTGAAAAAACTGATAAGGTTATAGAGGAAAATTTAATTGGTACATTGTTTCTCTTCAGTGATTTATTAAAATCATTAGTTGCATATTTATGAGAGGAAGTGAATTTTTTCCTTCTTTCCATTCCCATCTTCTCCTGTCAGTATCTCTTTGGGAAGTTCCTTCACCCTCTCCTGGACATCATGTCCTGCACGAGCATCAGCTTCCCCAGCGGCAGTCAAGCGAGGGCAGTCATCTGCTTCAAGCTGGTCGACATCCTCAACACCATCGCTCTGCGGATTGGACGCGAGATGTCCAGAGATCACATGACGGACGTTCTCAAGCGTTTCTTCCTCTGCTTCAAGCTGGGTGCCTCAACGATGAGAAGCCTTGGTAATAATTCTATTCTATTCTCCAATTTGACCCATCAAGGAAATTTACTAATTGGATTGGCAACCTTGATATGTTTGGTCACTTTTATATTCTTTGGATGAAGTATGTATTTCACTGAAAAACTGAAATGAAATGTCACTTTTGTAAGCAAATTTCATTTGACCATGTGTTGTTGATATGATTATTTTATTTGCTATAGTTTCAACATATATTGCGTTTAGCCAAAGTTGTTTATGATCTACAGAATGGTTACATTCTCTACGATTGGGGGGGGGGGGACTGCATCATATGTACAGCTGATGGTAGGGCTTTTTACTGTCACACACCAATTTTATCATGCCTGTACCTCTTCTGTAAAGTTCCTACTATCTTTTCCTTCAATTTAAACTACCAAGTGGGGCAAGTGTAAGGTATTCTGGCATGTTGTGTGCCCGGTGTTTAATACCAGCTATAATGGAATTGTAACCCAGCATCAAAACTTTCATTTAACTTCATATTTTGTGAGCTCTATTGCAGCCATCAACGTAATATCAGGGCATCGTTTCATGAAACCTACATCCCATCAAAATGCTTGTTAATTTCAGTACACACATGTCATTGGGGTGTCGGTGAACTTGTACCGTACTTATGATTTCGTGAAACACTGCCCAGATGTGGTTGGTAACTAATGGGACAAAATATCTAGGACTTGCACTACATGATATTCTTTACTCTGATCAATTTTTAGATCTCAGTCGTCAGAACAGCCTGGCCCTGAGCACAGACAGCGAGGACAAGTACTTGAACATCGAACTGGACGATGAGACCAACCAACTGGTCTACGGCTCGCCGGTGGTTCCACATTCCAGACTGCAGTCAACAGGATCAGCCTCGGACTTGAGCACGACTCCCCATAGCACGGGGTCTCTACCAAGACCTAGTAGTTTAGGTAAGTCACTTTTTCTGAATGAGAACAAGTTGGTTTGAAAGAAAATGTACAATGGGAGCCTAATAATAAGGATAACAATTATTTTGTATAATGCAAAGATATTGTCACAGCATCTTTATCCACATTCAGCATGTAATTAACCAAAGCTTCAGCTTTATAGGCAGCCAATATCAGTGCACTTGATTTTGTTTATTAACACAAGTCGACTAAAAAAACAATTGTAGGTAACATGCCTTGGTTGACATGTGCATCAGAATAAGTTCAAACCCTCAACCTTTTGATTGAGAATCAAGTGAACAAACAATATGCCTTGGTGCTCCCTAAATAATATTGATCCCCCTCTCTCTCTCTCTCTATCTCTCTCTCCCTCTCTCTATCTCTCTCTGTCTCTCTCTGTCTCTCTCTCTATCTCTGTCTCTTTCACTCTTCCAGGAGGTCAGAGTGAGGAGTCTGCCTCGTTGGAAGACATGAGAGGTGTGTTGCAGGAAGTGTTCACACCAGAGCTGGCCCATGCTGCTTTCATCCCACTCTGTAGACTTACGGGCAGGTTCGTTCAATTTCATTAGTTTCATGAATTATTCTGCCCATTAGTGCCCCATTCAGACATGGCTCAGGTAACTACTCCCCTCCCCCCTCCCCCCCCCCCAAAAAAAAGGGGAAAAGAAGATGCAGAATCTGCACCTGCATCTGCAGTGTGTGCCCCAGAAGGGCCTCTATGGTCACTGAAAAAAAAAACCCTAGCAGAATCAAGTTTGCATGAAAACAAATGCTTTGGATTAACATGTACAATATGGTAGCTTTCTGCTTCATGTCTGAATGAGCCCTACGGTAGATTATGAGAGAACACATTCGGGACAATGTTAGTTGCCCATTGCAATTTTTAGATATGAGTTTAACGTTGTTTGTATATATTTTTTTTTCTTTTTTGTTTGTTTTTGGATTGATTGATTTATTCATTTCATATGACAATTGTTTGCACAATAAAGAATATAGTTGACAAAGTAAGCTCAAAATAATGAAATGAAACAGGAACCTACTGGAAAGCATAGCTATAATATAATATGAACATTATTATCATAAATCATTTTAAAGTGTCTTAATAATCACAGTAAAATAGATATGATATAATAACATATTTTCGTAAACCATTTTAAAGTATAAATAAAAGAATTAAAAAAAAGAATGACAAAACGGGACACAAAGGACAGGAAAATTACATAAAAAGATAAGACAAGACAGGACAAGATAAACAAGACAGGATGGGACAAGACACACAAAAGGACATGACAGGACAAAACAAGACAAAACAAAGCTGCACACAACAGAAGTTAAAAGAAGAGGGAGATAAGTGGTGATATTTCCTTTATTTTTGGAACTAGGAATGATCATACATTGATTCTACAAATGTTTGTTTGATTTTTATGTTAATTCTATTACATTTGAGCATAAAAATCATGATAATAATTACATATCGTCCATATCGACATTATCAAGGGATATTGATGAAGGTAAACTATGTCAAGTTCAACATCAATGAACCTTCTCTTTAACAGATTTTGGCCCTCTCCAGCCAACATGAGAAAACAATCTCATCCTAATTCTAATTTTAGTACCCTTTCTCAGATATTGGTAATACATCCAAAATTAATTCTGAATTTCTCTTCCATCATTTGAAACATATTATTTTTGTATTTGTAGTATTCACATGGAAAGGATTCTGGATAATCATGAGCAGATTTGGGCCCTGTCTAGCAAGCATGAGAGAGCAATGTCAACCCAGCTCTCTCCGACCATTCAGTCCCCTTTCTCAGACGACGGCAGTACAATCAGCAGCCCGGGTAAGTCACACTCTGTCACAATTTTTGCCTTGAACTATTTAAAATTTATATAAGCTAATGCAGACCTGCCGTGTGGTATTCTAACTGTTTGATCTATTGCCTCACTCTACATTTCAAACATGGTTTTATTGTAACAAAGACACCATGTACAATTAGATGCATACATGAATTTCATCAAAATAAAACCATGTCCGAAATTTTGAGTGAGGCAACAGATCTAATAGTTAGAATAACACTGGTGAATTAAGAAAATAAGTGAAGAGGAGACACCGAGACAAGCACTAAAAACGTGTGCATTGTTGATTTGATTTGATTTACCAAGTATGAAAACATATAAATAAAAACATACATGAGAAAATAACATTGGATGGACCACCCTGCTCAGCTGTGCCAGTGCAGCACAGCTGTTCTACCGAGGGGTCTAGTTAACAATGCAAAACAAACAAGAGAAAATGATACGTCGCAAATTAAAATTCATAACATATTGAAATGATATAAAAACGACATTGTTACACAGTATCATGCCCCCACCCTCCCAAGAGCAAAACCCAGGACCCCCATCCATCGAGAGGGAGACAGCTCTGACTTCTCCCAATTTACCAGAAGCCGAGGCCCTGCGTGGTCCGTAAAAGCAGTTGTAAGTGAACCAGTAGACGAGCTTCTGAGCTCGCTAAAAGGAACCAGTCGTCTAGGTAGGCAAAAAGCCAGAGAGCGCGTTTCCGAAGAAAGGCAGTGAGAGCAGACACCACGCGGGTGAAAACATGAGGCGCCGGCCTTAACCTGAAGGTGTGGCCCTGAAAGGCAAACCCTAGCAGATCCCTTGATCGGGGATGGGTGGTGATGTGAAAATACGCTTCCCTGAGATAGATCAAGACTGCCAGATCTTCCCGGCCTATCATAGGGAGGATAGTCGACAAATGCTCCATGTGAAAATGCATTGGAGCGATGTGGAGGTTAATCCTCTTCATGTTGAGGATCATCTTCAGTTTCCCGAGCGCATGGGGATGATAATATGAAAAGGTTGTACGACATGATTCGGTATGGGGTTGAGGTAAAGATAAATTTCTGATGGAACGTAATGAATATTGTTGATAAACAAAGTGAAAGGACTTCTTTAAGTAAGGGGCACTGAGGTCATGAAGGATTCTAAAAACCATAGAGTTTGTATGTTTTAAACGGCAAAAGGCCAATTATTCCCATTTAATATGTGTTTGAACGGACTTATCTGAAGTATAATTCTACCCAGGCGCGTACGCAGGATTTTTTCAAGGGGGGGGTTTTAACATTTATAAATCGGGCCGAAAATTTCGCAACGACTCAGCCAGCCGCTGAATAAGCGGGGGGGGGGGGGGGGGGGGGGGGTAAGAGGTCACTTTTTTTTTTTTTTTTTTGTCCCAAAAAAAATCGCAACGACTCAGCCGACCGCTGAATAAGCGGGGGGGGGGGGGGGGGTAAGAGGACACATTTTTTTTTTTTGGGGGGGGTCTCGAAATTTGAAAATTTGACATTTTGCTCCGTTGGGGGGGGGGGGGGTAAGGTCGGCTTTAGGTCAACCATGGGAATTTTTTTTTTTTTTTTTTTTTTTTTTAATAAAAAAAAAAAAAAAAAAAAAATCCAAAAGGGGGGGGTTTTAGAGAAATTTAGGGGGGGTTTACACACAAAAAATTACCAAAGGGGGGGTTTAACCCCCCAAACACCCCCCCTGTGTACGCGCCTGATTCTACCTGCTCTAATTTGTAACTTTTGCAATTGAGTGCTTTATCTGTTATTACTTGAGTTGTACGCTACATCAACAAATCAAACATAGGAAGAATAATGGATTGATAGATCAATTTTAAGCTAGGCTCATTCAAATAATTACAAAGCCATCCCAAAAATTTAATAAGCTCACTAGCATTTGCACATGTATGTTCAATGTTTTTTTTCATTTCAATTGCTGATCTATAATAACTCCAAGATATCTTACACTTTCTCGAGGTTGTATGCACTTACCCTGTATAAGTAGGATATGTGCATTACGCTTGATTAACATGTTATGAACCCAATCAATAAACTTTCTCTTTTGTCAAAGTTTAAACTATAGTATCATCCCTTCCAAATTACTTTCACACAGTTTCTTGTCAACTCAATATCATTAAAAAAACACAAGTTAGAACTTCAATGCTTATAAAACAATAATGCAAAAAGTATTACAAAAAAAAACGGTCCTAGTTCATGTCAAAACAGTCCAATTTAACCTTGCTTTTATAATGTCACATTTCATTTGACTTTGATCCTCCTCGATGAGGGCTGTAATGGTTGCACCTTTACTTAAACTCCATTCCTTAATTGCTGCCTCACCCCAAAGGATGACCTCCATAGAGGTTCCTCCCTGTTCAGTTTGGATGGTTCTTCTTGAATATTCAGGTGTTGATACGCATCCTCCCACCTAAACATATATCAAGATAAATGATACAAAAACAAATAATGATGAAAATAATACTTTACCCACATTATCTAACAACATCATTTATAACTGAATAGCTCTACACTTTCATCTTTAAGCTGTACATCGAAATCCACACAAAATATAACTTAAACTCAACAAATTTTGACAAGCATAGCATTGAATTTTGTTTCAATTGGATGTAGAATATCAAAGTTACAACATTTCTATGATTAGCATTATATCATGAAACAATGATATCCATAATATCAAGTTATTATCAACAGCATGCAAATAAGTGAGTTATAAATAACTATATAACTTATAAATTTAACTATATTTATTAAACTCAACTTTTGTGTGAGAACTTGAACCTTAATAAACAATTTTCCTGATAGCACATATTCATCAATATTAAATGTGTCACACAGTCACCTGTAATTGGTACTGCTGCCCCTCCCTTCAAAAATCAAAAACACATACATTAAAAGACTGACACATTTATTACAAAATGTAACATAGGCGAATCCACGATTATGGTTTCTACGAACAGTCCCCTGGTTCTACTATTATCATAATCATTATTACCCCAACAACGTCACTTTTTGGCTGAACCCTTGGCCTCGGCTACTGTTTACATTTCCGGTCTAACAAACTTGTCCAAACTCGCCGTATCATATAAAAATGCACTCACATTTGTAATGACTTTGGATTTTGGAGTTAACCAAGCACTCCCCGGGTACTTTAACACGTTTGTGATAATGGCACCGATAGCTGCACTATAGATTCTAAATCCAAGTCCAATATCCGATGCGATGCTGTGATGCGATGTTCCGATGTAGACTATTACTCTGTGTTCTGTGTGTTCTGACGAGGGCAAGCGGGCTTAAGCCTCGTTATACCTGCACGCATGTACGTACGTGCGACCATGCAAAGCAACCCGACGTACGCACATGCGTTCGGCCGTATGTCCGTAATTTCCCATATTCTCATTGGCTCTGCAAGGCTGCTAGTCTCTCATGTGCAACTATAGGTTACATTTTCAGACAATGCAGTTTGATGACATCTTGATGATCCAGATCACTCATCTACTGCATGATTGACGAATCTAAAATTCATGATAAGCTTGACTGTGCAAAGGGTAGATAGATAGATAGTCTATTTTATTAATTCATCATAAAAAAACATTTAGATAAAATAACATACATTATCCCATACATGTAAAGACAAAATAACATACATTTCAAAGTTAATCATACAATATAATATACATCATAAAGGAAATCTGGTCAAAATATAGGGAAAAGTGAGTATTTATGAGAATGCGAAGATAGCTAGAAAGGAAAAGCCTTATTAGTGTTGTCTCCTACACACATTGTATATATCTCTCTTTACATTTTTTTTTTTGCAGTATCCTATCTAAGTGAGGACAGATCATGGTCATCTTCCATGTCATCAGGTATGTAACATACAGACCATATCAAATGACATTCAGTCTTGTATATTTTGATATCGCCATCCTCACCATGGTGCCAAATGCAAAGGTCACATGGTATTTAAATGTATGGATATTGTTGGTACGTTGGAGATGCAGTTAATCTTGTCATTTACCAAAATAAATAATTATTTTAATTTATTCATTTATTCAAAATATATCCGGAGACTACTAAGGCCAAGTTAAAACATTTCGGTGGGTAACCAAACATCTTTCACCTTGCAGGCCCATCTTTAATCCATCCAAGCACCTCGTCTGCTGAGAGCCAGAACTTAGAATTAAACTTCTTTTCCCCCCAATCTTTTGATCTAGATAATACATCGGGTAGCCTTGTCACCGGGAGAAGCGGGTTCGGAGGAAACATGACGGTCATCGGGAACAGGATAGGGCCGGCCTTCGGAGATGAGGAACCCAACCCTGCAACGAACAGTAACAACGGTGGTGAGGGGAAGAGCGGACGGCAGGGAGAGAAAGACATGGCCCAAACTACAGAGACGAGCCCAAGGTGAGAGTCTTGCATGTATTCAAACAAAGATGAGGTCGAGTATACCTGCTTGTTGTGTGTCTGGACAGGTTGTTGAGCCATTTTCAAACAGAACATGAAACACTTTCGTTCAAGATTTCATTGATTTATTCAATTTAATTTTAACAAAATTCTTAATGATAAAAGTTGACAGATGTTACTGAATGAATTATTCTTGTACAATTAAATGGCAAACATGACAGCTTTATGTTTGTGACATGTCCGGACAACTCACTGTCCCTCCCTCTCATACTAGTCATGCATATATGAAAGAAACATCTACAGATTAATCAAATGGCTGATAATATACTGTAACAAGGCAACTGTGCGCAACGAAGGACTTGCTCACTCACTAAGCTATGTGTTATAAGATACCAAAATGTTGAGCTTATTACACCTTGCGTCATAAAAATATTGCCCTGGTTTTGCCCCATCATATTTGAACAAGCCCTTAGAGAGAAAGATGGAAACCAAAATGAAATAATTTGTTTGATTGTGCTATTGCAGCTGTATAGAGTGATACAATGTGATTTACTTCTTTCACTTTAATTTAACAGGATGGAGATGAATAAAAGCAAAAGAACAATGAAAGGTACCTGGCTTAGCTACTGGGATCAGTACTTGGGTGAGTTATTGATATAGATCGTATTCGATAGGGCACCTTTTTTATAGTTCCAACATAATAAACATTTCTTGATTGATGCATGTCGGGATATTTTGTCCTGTGTTTTAATGTATCTGATGGAAATTTGTCTTTAAATTATTTTGTGGGGTTGGGTCATCAGAAAATTCAGCTGTCTCCTATTGAAATGAGGATAGTGACAAGATCTTACTGTTGAATGTATTCAATAGAAACAGTATTTGAATCATTGACATGGGAGTGATATGGTGTTTGTTGCCTTCTTGTATTGTATTGAATCAATTGCATCTCTCAGGATTCTGATCTTTTAGTCTCAAGTATCAAGTATTTTTGGTGGGGTAGGGTCTTATATATCATCAGGAAGTTCACATCAAGAGGCCATGTCTTTTGTAATTTCAAACAAATGCATGTCCGAAAAGAATGTTTTTACATGTTCGAGAAGGAAACTGTATGCTGATATGGGGACTGATAACAAAATATAAGATTATCTGCTTTAATATCTTATTTTCCTACAGCAAGAGAGGATCATGACAATTCAATGCACTTCTGTCAAATCAAGCTCCAGACATTCACAGGTAAGAATTATATTTTCAAATGTAGTAGGAAGCAATTACAAGTATATCAAAATTATTCTAAGACATCAAGAGTTATAATGTAATAGAGATTAGGATTTAAAAGCCCAACGAAATCTTTAGCCTGTGGCATTGATGAAATATAACATCACTCTGGAAATATTGATATTTTGGGCTTAAATATGTCATTGCATCAAATTCCGAAACATTCAATACTTGTATAATACTGCATTATTCTTCTCTAAGCTGTTTACAAATACAGTCTGCGTTCATGGCTTCATGAACTTCAATTGAAGCGGAATAAGTAGTATAGAGAATATTTATTTCTTGCTCTTTGGCTGCCAAAATACCAAAGGGAGAATTAGGAATCTCTCAAGGCATATACAATGAATGTTGCTTTTATACAGCAGTTTTTCAGAAAGATTTTAAGGAGTAAAAATCATTCCTTGAAAATAGAAATGGTTGGTAGCTTTGATATATTGTTTTATCTGCAAACAATATAAAATCACATGAAACCGTCCAGAATCGAGCCGCTAGAATATTCTTCAGACTCGTACTTCTCTCTTAATTAGAGTAATATTCTATCAAGGTTGGATTTCCCTCTTATCTTGTGATTCTATCTCCCTTGCAGGACACACAAGTGGAGTGAAAGCCCTGTGCATGATGCCCAACGAGAACACCTTCCTGAGCGCCAGCAAGGACAAGACGGTCAAGATCTGGTCCCTGCGCAACTCTGGCGACGGCTCTTCCAAGTCCAGCTGTCAGCTGACGTACCCTCACCACCGGAAGACCGTGTTTGACGTGAGGCTTCTGGAGTCCCAGCGTCTTGTCGCTTCCTGTGATGGCAACGTTCATGTGAGCTTTATTTCTCTAGATAAGATCATCTTTAAAGCTTTTTTAAGCATGTTCACATATGATTTTTAGTAAGCCTTTTTTATTTCCCTGTGTATTAGTGAATGGCAAGGAGATAAAAAAGAAAAGAAAAGAGGAGCTGCGTTTATCAAAGGTCCTATATATATATATATATATATATATATATGATATATATATATATATACATGTATGATATATATATATATATATATATATATATATATAGGACCTTTGATAAACATAAATATATGATATATATATATATATATATAGGACCTTTGATAAACGCAGTTCCTCTTTTCTTTTCTTTTTTTATCTCCTTGCCATTCACTAATGCACAGGGAAATAAAAAACATGAAAAACTTTCATTGAGTACTGGTATGCATTATGCATACCAGTACTCAATGAAAGTTTTTCATGTTTTCGAAAATACAGAAATGTGAAGCATATTATGTTTATAGCATAAAAAAATACTACATTTAACATCATGTCAACAAATGTCCCCCAAATCAGAGGTGCATGGCCCTACGTGTTATCAGTGTCTGTGATATAGTGTAATATTGAAGACCTAAAAGAATTGCGCTTCAAATTGATTGTTGAGTGACCGGTTTTACCACACTGTTCCCCCCCCCCCCATAGACTGTAGTGTTTAAAAAAAAACGTTTGGAAAACGGCTTTTGACATTTCAATTTCCAATCATAAATATCTTGATTATCCGACAGAGGATCGGCTTGTAAAGGTTTATAATTATGATGGCAGCATGAGCTAAATCCATTATTCTTTTTAGAATCTGAGGCAAAGATACCCAATCCCTTTAATATATAGCAAGATACTAGTACTAAAATTTAAGGTACCCCACATCTAAATATTTTTTGTGTGAATATCACATGCAAAATAAATCATTTTTGTGAGTACATACCTGGTGCCTAGACATAGTTTGTAATATTTTCTTTTGCTTCTTGAGTGTATGGAAAATACATGTTTAAAATTGACATTTTACAAATGAATTATCAGTTTAAAATATTTGGGTTGTGCTATTTGAGGGAAAAAAATGTACATTCTTGGTTTTTATTTAAATAGAATATCATGCAATCCAAAACATCAAATGGTCATTTGACATCACCAGAAATGTTAAAGATGTAACCAATAAATGAACTGTTTTCGAGTCGAAAATGACGCGGTTGTATTACCAGGGGAATCTCTCGGGGAGATCCATGCCAGTAGAAAACTACTAACATGGAACTGTGACAACAGGGCCAGATATACAGCTTTAATCAACCCCCCAAATACCACCTACCCAATTTGACCCACCCGGCCGGCCAACTGATGATCTGGCCCTGGTCACATCCAGTACAGCTGCAGTCTCCTCAATATATACCTTACCAACAGATAAAGAGTTTTTATGACAGTTAGTACAACTTATCCCCTCCTCACCAACATTTCTTGTAACTTATGCATAAACATGATGAGCTGATGAATAACCATTGCCTAAACAATTGATTTCCCCACCATGCATCTTAATATATGCACAATCAGTGAAAGTTCTAACAATCGCTTTTCAACTTGTGAGTAGGTAACACTATGAACATGACAGACAATGAAAGCAGACAAAATATACAGTTCCTCAGGTAGACAAAGGAACATCCCTTCACTGCTATTATGTAAAAATGTGTAGAACAGGTGAATATGCATGTGACACCTGTTCTACACATTTTTACATAATAGCAGTGAAAGGATGTCCCTTTGTTTACCTGAGGAACTGTATATTTTGTCCGCTTTCATTGTCTGTCATGTTCATAGTGTAAAAGACTTTTCAGCTGCTCCTCTATTTGAATACTCAAAGAATGATACTTGCAAGACTTGGGCATGCATGTATCTTTCCCCCCAATAGAATGTAGTGTTTTTTTTTTAAACGTTTGGAAAACGGCTTTTGACATTTCGATTTCCAATCATAAATATCTTGATTATCCGACAGAGGATCGTCTTATAAAAGTAATGGGGTTCGTGACTGACCTAAAGGTTTATAATTATGATTGCAGCATAAGCTAAATCCATTATTATTTTTTTAGAATCTGAGGCAAAGATACCCAATCCGTTTAGTATAGAGCAAGATACTTGGACTAAAAATTAAGGTGCCCCACATCTAAATAATTTTTTTTGTGAATATCACATGCAAAATAAAGAGGCTCATATTATACCTAAATCCATTAAATCAAGCTTAACAAAGAATTTGGTCTGAATTTTCCCTTGTTAAATGTACTCTTAGACACAGGGTCGTGTTTAACCGAGGATACGGATCCGAGAAGTCTTGTATCATTCTTGATACAACTGAAGAGCGTCTTTCGGTAATTTAAAGTTTTTCCTCATTGTTGTCAGGTGTGGGACCCCATCAACGGAGCAGCAGTGCGGGGCTACGATCTGAGCCGCAGCGTACCCAGCTGCATGGAGGTGATGCCTGCTCCTAGCCCCTGTCTTGTGGTGTCTTCGGGAGACTCCAGCATCCGATTCATCGATACCCGACATGGAGGCATCCAGCAAGAGATCAGGGTAGCTTCTGGCCCACTGGGTAAGCCTCCATCTTATTATTTGGAATGTCATTTTTGAAAAAAAGAAGAATACCAGATGTAGCAGACCGCATTTTCAGTGTAGTTTTCACTGATCTTATAAGATGTATCAAACTTAAGATTCCCACGTCTTCATGTCTTCTTGACGTCGCGTTTCGAATCTTCATTCCATTGAACCTTACTGTCCTTTCACCTCAGTTTTTCAACCTCCCTACACTCAAACTCCTCAGGATTCACCAGCTAGCTTCTGCAATTGATCGTGGTCTTCAAGTTCTTTCAGTTTTCCAAAGAGAAGGAGAGAGGAGGATGATGCGGCGGGTATCAGTAATGCTCTGAGCAAGAAGAAAGATATGTTGAAGCTCTTAGGACGGGTCCAATGAGACATCCAATATTGTGAAAGAAAAAGTCTAGAACTTCCTTCTGAATGGGTTGGTAATGTCATGCGTTTTCATTGGTCATGGTCTTTCACAACATAGAATCCCCATTTTTTTCTTCCCCATGCCCAAGCATGCCCTTTGCATTCAAGTTCAACATTCAACAAGTTTGATTAGCTCGCACGGATTTGGTTTCGAGACGCATTGAATTGGTCGGTGGCTGACCTGATAATGGATACGACGTCCGCCTCTGATTGGCTTACATTGGCTTGATCAATAATTGGTTCAGGATTCCTATGGATTTGGTCTGCACTATGGTTTGGGTTTTTCTTTAGCCTATGGTAATCTTGCTATGTTGTGTGTGCATGGGTCAATTTATTTACAATATTTATTCTTTGCATTTTGTTGGCTTTGTTAGCCTCCTTGCAACCTTGATAGGCAGCTGAATGTTGCCCCCAGCAGTTATGCATGTTGGTTGGTCTTTGTGTGGACAAATGTGTTCACTCCCGCACCTGACACACCTTCGTTTACTTTGTGATCCAATCTTTGGCACTTATAACATCTCTTGACATAAGGAATTGTTTGAAAACATAAAACGATTTCTAGTGGAAGTGACGTTTCGAACGAGAGAATTTTCTTAATTGCACGTTATGCCTACGGGAGGTTGACTATTCCTGAAATCGTGATTCTACATTCCAGTCTTGTTCGTGACCAGATCATTTATAGTGGTCAAAATAATTTTTCATGGGGGATATGTTCAGTGTAGTGGTTTTAATCTATTCTGGATCAGTTGTTCTTGGAAGTGAGTAGTCCATTTATCATGAATGAACTGTTAGATATCACCTTGCTAGTTCTAAAAATGACATATTTAATAATTATAATAATTATAGTGCGCCACAATTTAATATTTAAACAATGCCTATAGGCGTGCTTTCCATAGTGTTCCATTTCAGATCAACCTTGATTTATGTTTTCTGTGATATCTTTATTTCAGGTCTGATCCGTTGCATGGTCGTCAGCCAAGATGGCTATACCATAGGTGTGGGGTTCTCTTCAGGCGTTATTTCCATGGTAGATCTTAGGACTGGCTTACTCATGGGAGGATGGAGAGCTCATGAAGGAGAGATACTACAGGTGAGAGGAAGGAAAAGATGGAGATGGAAAGAGGCAGTGAGAAAAGAAGATGTAGGAAGCAAGGTAGCAATTAGGAAACAAAAGTATCATGTCGTAAAAGCAGTGAAGCATGCTCCGTGGAGGAATACACACGATTTGATTGTATTCACGAGGGTGTTTGTTAAATCTATAAAATGATATGGATCCAGGTGTTCAGAGAAAGACAATCTACCAGTACCCTACCCTAATTCTATTACTGCCATGTGGAAGTGCCCGAAAGAGATTAGGCAACATAATGGAAGATTAAATCTGGTGGAGGGATTTTTGCATTAAACTCAGGGACGTTTAAAAAAATGAAAAAAAGGGGTGTTAAAAATGGGAAGAACAGAATGAATGTGGAATGAATGCTATGGAATGAAAGTGGGAGAAAAAGCAATGTGGTACACATAGATGAAGAGACACAACTTACACAAGAAGAACAAAGTTGAAGGTACATGTAAATGGCTTCTTTCACTTTTGTTGTTGATCCAGATCAAGGCTTACAACAATCATACATTCCTGACATCCTCTGTGGATCACTCCATGGCACTGTGGAAGGAGGATTCATCCAAAGTTTGTCAATTCAGAGGTATGTTCATAGCTAATACAGTTAAACCTGTCTATAAAGACCACCCGAGACAAGAAAAGTGGTCTTTATAGGCAGGTGGGTCTTTATGTACATGTTCCTTCAGTACATGTTTCAATGGGAAACCATTTTCAAGGGAAACAAAAAATGTGGTCTTTGTAGACAGGTGGTCACTACAGCAAGACTACCAATTTTTCTCATTTCCGTGGGCCTTGTACATGAGCCACCTGGTTCTTGTAGGCAATGGTTTAAAATGTACTACGGATAATTATCCAACAAAAAAAGTGTGTTCTGCTAGAATGGATAATACCATCCTAAAACCCTTTATCTGGCATTGTATGGTTAAACGAACAGGACTGCACACGTATGCCAAGTCAGACGTAATTCGAGGGTAATGAAACTTGCTTAAATCAAAAAGGCTCGTCAAAACGAAATTTAGCAATTAGGTTACAAAGTATGTTATATGTATCTTTTTGAGTCGGAAATGCCGCCATATCACTAGAGGAATAGACCAGTTCATCCCGAATATCCCTTCAAAACATGAAGAGGTCCCACCTACAGCGATAGAGGTGCTACATAAATAGCCTTTGTTTCCCCTTTGCAAAGAATAATTCCACCTGATCTGCAATGACCTTTATCTGCTCATGCTCGGACTACAACCGTGAACTGGCTTATTCATGCCAGCAGAAAAACGGCAGAATACAACAAAGGAATAACCTTCCAATTGCCCCAAACTGCATCCTTGCCCTCCCATAGGAAAAAAATGAGCCTGCCGCATACTCCTGCGGCAGACTTGCCGCAGATCTGCAGCAGACCTGCCGCAGACAGTTATCTTTTTCACATGCAAATTAGTTTTGCCGCAGACTTGCCGCATACTCTTTCAGTATGATGAAGAGTCTGCGGCAGGTCTGCCGCAGACTTGCTGCAGACCTGCCGCATACTCTTTCAGTATGATGAAGAGTCTGCGGCAGGTCTGCCGCAGACTTGCCGCATACTCTTTCAGTATGATGAAGAGTCTGCGGCAGGTCTGCCGCAGACTTGCTGCAGACCTGCCGCAGACTCTTCATCATGAATATTCATATCTCATATAGACCTGCTGCAGACCTGCCGCATACTCTATCATATCTAGTACGTGGCAATAAAGTATGCATGTAAAAGAACCGGCAATATCGATATTATCAATTAGGTAATACCAATATATATCAATATTACCAATTAGGTATATTCTATTCTCAATTGTATTAACTCCATCACATAGATCATTTGAAGTGTATTCAAGAGTATTCTATCAATCTATTGCTAAAACGTGAATGTAATTGTAACATGATCAGACAAAATAATCTATTGGTTAATAATGGCAAAAGGAAAATAGAAATCACAAAAATGATGTGCATTGTCTTAATTTGCTTAACAAATCATGATAAATGTATTTTTCACACGTGTAAAGTAATAATGAATATGCATGAGATGATTGGTTTCAATTGGTTTCAATTGGCCCTATTAGACTTTAATGGGATTTCAATTGGACCAATTGAAGTCCAACTTCAGGCCAATAGGCCATTTTCGTAATGTAACCAAATGTAATGCATAAGTCTTTGTGAAGTGCCTCAATACAAATTATTTCATTCACCTGGTAAGAATAATAGTATTTCAATAGACATAATTCAAACTGCATACATTAGTTGTTGCCAGGTTGGACAAACATTATGGCTTGACCTACCTAGCAACACTTGATATATGCAGTTTGCATTCTGTCTATTGAAATACTATTATTCTTACCAGGTGAATGAAATAATTTGTATTGAGGCACTTCACAAAGACTTATGCATTAAATTTGGTTACATTACGAAAATGGCCTATTGGGGTCCCATTAAAGTCTAATAGGGCATGGGGCCAATGGGGCCAATGGGCCCAATTGGACCAATTGAAACCATCTGAAGTCCTATTAAAGTTCCATTGAAACCTGTTAAAACCTACTGAGACCAACTGAAACCAATTGAAAATTCAATTGGTGTTCAATTAGTTTCTATTGGATTTTCGTCTTGGGTAGTTACAACAAAAAAGTCTCCTCTTATGTAATAAATTCCTCTCATGGTACCAGTTGAACTTGAAGCAAATTGTTTGGTTTGACAGAAGCTAAAAAGACAATTAACAGTGCTAATTAACAAAGGAATTTACAAGATCATGGGCTCAGCCTGCAACCTCATATGGTACTGCATGTCCTACAAAATGGCCGCCTATAGCCTTGCTTCAGACTGTATAATTTCCTACTTTTCTGTGGCAGACCTGCCGCAGACTGTTCCTGTGGCATACTGGTATGCGGCAAGTCTGCAGCAAAATTTCATTCTGCCGCAGATCTGCTGCAGACTGTACTGTGGCATACTGGTATGCGGCAAGTCTGCAGCAAAATTTCTTTCTGCCGCATACTTCGGCATACTCTTTGCCTCTGCCGCAGATCTGCGGCAGGTCTGCGGCAGGTCTGCGGCATACTTTTCACTTTCCTATGAGAGCTGTATGCAATAATGTTGCCACATCCATTTTTGGACAGTTAGTCCAAGTCATCACCTCTCGATGTCTTTTGCATGCATGTTCTAGTCTTTTAAACGAGCTGAACAGGCAGGGTTTATTCAGTATGATTGGACACTAGTTTATAGGTCAGATTATATGTCTATATACTGAATAATATTGGTCAGACTTTTATGATTTTTTATGGGTTTGGTTCTGTATATCAAACATAATAGGCACACAGATATTACTGTTTGGTCTGACCTGTTGCAACGATTTCCAATTTATTTTTGCACTTAAGCAGCGGGGAAATGGGATTTATTTGAAGTGTAGTCTGACTATGAATTTAATAATTGCATTACAGGTGCTACCGAGCCTGTTCATTGCCTGTGCATTTCTGATGACCAGGTGCTGTCGGCTACCTGTGGCAATCGTATTGGGATCCATACAACGGTCGATTCTCAGGTAAAACATTTTTACACAGATTATTTACATATTGTATTCATGTATGTATTCGCCGAGTTAAACTACCAGGTTTTAGATTATGTGAGGGACAGAAGCGTTCAGAGAATTAAAATAACACATTTGACATAAATGGGAAATACTCCAAAAGCAATGAAAAAAATGATTTATAACTGCATTGGAATTCTTTAAATAAACATGTAGGCAATTAATTATTTTGCAGCATCATGGGGGGGGGGGGGTGGGGGGGTCATGGCTATAGAGGTCTCTCCCTCCCTAATAATAATGTATTATTTCACATTATAAGATGACGTGGATCCTAATCAAATGATTAGTTGAAAGCGTACATGTGACCAGGTATTTATTTTGCCTAACACGTATTTCGATAATGACCACATTCAGTCCCTTCAACCCAGTCCAAACACCCTCGCCTCCCAAAGGTACCTTGTGTGGGTAATTGTTACCAATGCCCTCACTGCTGTGTATTATTTGTATACTCTTCCTCATAAACATATTCTAGGGGCAGTGCATTAATTACAAGATATTGTTTCAATCTTGTCATGGATAATAATTCACTTAGGACGAAAAAGGAACTAGACATAAGACCATGCTAATAAGGGAGTTTACAGATAGTACATGGTACAAATGACCCCAAATATCCACAGATCTTTACACATGGAGAAGTTCCACTGCCAAAGTCCTAGATGTGCTTCATGAATACTTCCACCTGTGTATCTTAGAATGTACCGTTGGTGCATAAATGAATAATGTTACATAACTTTCATGAGAGCATATCCAGTATTCATCTCTGTGGATTTTACCTTTTTGGTACAAATGACCTTTATCTGCTCATGCTCAGACTGCAACCGTAAACTGGCTTATATGGGTATGCTGGAGCCATTTTGTTTTTCCATTACAGGTTTAAAGCCCTTCTGCCCTAGTTTGTCCAGGAGGGATTAGACCTCCCTGTATGGTCCCTGACATGTGCTTATCCCATCAAATTAGCTCTCAATACACCAGTCTAATTTACGAGTAAACAAACCAAATGAATTAAGATTGCGCCCATGCAAATTATGATGTGAGCGCACAACACAGCGAAGAAAAAGGGGATCATGAGGAGTTTCAATGATCAGCGATTATGCATTGTTTGCTATATAGAGGGCGCAAGTAGCTATAAGTAGCGCAGTGGGGCTTTAAGAATTGATTAAAAGATTAAAAAGTCATCAAATCCTGGGGGATATTTATTTCTCTCAAACAATTTGGTTTTGTCCTCTGCAGGCTAGTTATTCCAGCTCCAAGCTGCGTTCAGACTCCTTTAAAGGAGCAATCGGCGCCCTCTCTGTCCTTCCACTGAATAAGCTTCTTCTGGTCGCCTCGGATAACGGCAGCATCTTTTTACTAGCCTGAGCAGAGACGCCCATGATCCAGTCATTTTAACCGAGGTTTAATTTGTCTGAGAGATGGCTTCAAATTTTAATATCCATAGTAAATTTGTATGCAATATGGTGTGAAAAGCATAGCTTATATATATATATATATATATGGAAGTTCTATTAGGACATGATAATCTCAAGCACCACTTCATATGAAAGAGGACAATCGCTGCTATTATGTAAAATTGTGTAGAACAGGTGAATATGCAGGTGTTGGATTTCGGCGCTAGCATACTCCCGTATCCATTTTTGACCTGTAACTCCAGTGTGGTCCTAAAAACAAAGACATTGTAATATACACTTTCTCACATGTTTCATGGCAAACCGCTGCACAATTACTTACCAATGAAGGGGTGAGGGTGCATGAAGTTAATAATGATCATAAAGATCTGAGATAACAGTCACAATTTCATGCCTTCACCCCTTCATCTTTGTTTTTAGGAAAAATACTCCAAAAGAGGACACAAAACAAGATTTAGTTGATTGTTGGTAGGATACCTCCACGCCGTAGTTACAGGTAAAAAATGGATATGAAAGTACACTAGCAGTCTATTTTTGTGTGGATGGTGTAGAATTATATAAAAAGGAATATATATTGAAAAAAGCAATTTACACACAGTTATTACAAGGCGATGTTGTCCATTAAGGGCGTCTTTTTGGAGCCCCCGGCAATAATATCATGAATATTTATGCCGTGGGCTACGGTCAGGCGGGCCAAGCATGCCCCTATTTGTACAACGGAGGAAATTATACAGCTGGCTTCGGCTAAAATAAGTACATGTTTGCATGCACATTTGAACAAGAATTACTTTACTTCTGCATAAAGGAGGACATTTGTTTGAACTTTTTGGTTGAAGTAAAAGTAATTTGGGTTCAAATGTGCATGCAAACGTGTGCTTCTTCTGGCTGCCGGCACTTACCTCGCAGCGGTAATCCCCCATTTGGTTAAAATCACACGTCTAGTTGTACGAATAATGGCATACTTAGCCCTTTCTTAATGCCACAACTGATAAGGTTGCCATAATGTATTTATTTTGAATAACTCATCCTTCTGTACAGATTATGCAATGTAAATGAGTGGTTTGTAATAAATGCACAAGTTTTAAAAATGCTGAATGAAATTTCTTAAAGTTGTCTTGTTAATTTTGTTTTCACCTTCTTAATAAAAAATGGGGGATCAACAGGATTGCTTAAAAATGTTTGCAAAAAAAAGCAATACATATGAAGTGACACAGGGGGATTTTAAAACCAACTTACCGTTCAAATCTAGACGATATTAATATAGGGGCCTGACATTATTTACTTGCCCAAATATGAACAGAAATTTCATTACATAACAATGCCCAAATATGATTTGACGGTTGGTAATTGACAATTTTTATCTGCATTATCTCAGGATCTTCCTTCTAAGATGCAAAAAATATCCCTTGAAAATATGATTGCAAGACCCTGAGGGAGAATAGTATTAATACTGGGTAAACATGAAATATTATCGTTAGAACAGACACATAAACACGTCTTGCACAAACTACATGTATAACCCTTTGCCATTTTTCCAAAAAGGGGCGATTTTCGAATTTATCCCAAATTTGTCTTTGCTTCCCTTTTTTTGTGAACAAACGGGAGTCATAATAATTCTAAGAGGATGTTGGGACTATTATGACAAGAATACGGAGAGGATTGAAATTTTCATTTTATTGGCAAAAACTTTTTCAAAAAGTGGCGATTTTCAAATTTATCCCAAATTATCCCATGAGCATACCGGCATGCTTGTTTAGAAAAAATATCAGCGTATGAACACAACCTTTTAGTGGCTATCACAAAACCAACATTGAAATGTCAGTGTATGAATTCAAAAAATTGCAATGCGGAACGCCGTTTTGAAAATGAGAACACATGCATGTGATATTTTCAGGAATGCATTTATCATCTTGGTCCGTATATTGCAATCAAGTATTAACAATTAAATGACGTTGGCATTTGGATGCAATCAGTAAACGTTATTTCACGTGATGAAATAATGGGGCAGTTTTGATCTTGCAAAGAAATATTTAGAATATGTTCTCTACCTGAAAGAGTAATAGGATTCAAAGAGCAAATATTATTATCATCATCATTATTACCATTATCATCATCTTAATTATCATCATCACCATCACATCATCATTATCATCACTATCACCATCATTATTATCAACATCATCACCAATCATCAGCATCATCACCAATCATTATCAACATCATTATCAACATCATTATCAGCATCATTATCAGCATCATTATCAACATCATTATCACCAATCATTATCAACATCATTATCACCAATCATTATCAACATCATTATCATCAATCATTATCACCAATCATTATCAGCATCTTCATTATCAGCATCATTATCAGCATCTTCATTATCAGCATCATTATCAGCATCATTATCACCAATCATTATCAGCATCATTATCACCAATCATTATCAGCATCATTATCACCAATCATTATCAGCATCATTATCAGCATCATTATCAACATCATTATCAGCATCATTATCAGCATCTTCATTATCAGCATCATTATCAGCATTATCAGCATCTTCATTATCAGCATCATTATCAACATCATTATCAGCATCATTATCAACATCATTATCACCAATCATTATCAGCATCATTATCAGCATCATTATCACCAATCATTATCAGCATCATTATCAGCATCTTCATTATCAGCATCATTATCAACATCATTATCAACATCATTATCACCAATCATTATCAGCATCATTATCAGCATCATTATCATCACCTTTGTGTGTATAACTGGCGAGTACATGAATCATTCTTGCGTTCCCCATAAATAGCCCATCCTCTTACCTATTTATCGATGAGCTTTGGCAGTGTTTTCTAGACCAGCTAGTGCACATTGTGACTTCCGAAGACCACCCAGTTCCAAGCTGCACTTTATCCAGTCGAACCGATGTCAGAGTGGAGAGGTATATGGACATGCTGTGCATGTTAAAACAGGAAAGAGGTTTGTGATGAAACATAACGGAAATCGTACATATAACTTAGGTAATAATTTTGGTATGGGGTCATGAATTTGGTTCAAATGAACATATTGGAAGCATATGCGATCATACAATATTCTGTGATCGTTGTCGCGGTTGAAATCGAGAGTAAAGTTTTTTTGGCAAAAGTGATGAGCTAACCCCTTGTCATTTTTTCGAAAAAGGGGCCGGTTTTCGCATTTTCCAAGATTTGACACTACTTCCCTTTTTATGGACAAACAGGAGTCATAACAAGTCTAAGGGGATGTTGGCACTATCAGGGAGAGAAAACGGAGAGGATTGAAAATTTTCATTTTTTGGCAAAAATGATGAGCTAACCCCTTGCCATTTTTTCGAAAAAGGGGCGGTTTTCGAATTTTCCAAAATTTGACACTACTTCCCTTTTCATGAACAAACAGGAGTCATAATAAGTTTGTGGGCATGATGGGACTCTAATGGAGATAAAACGGAGAAGATTGAAAATTTACATTTTTTGGCAAAAACGATGAGCTAACCCCTTGTCATTTTTTCGAAAAATGGGCGGTTTTCGCATTTTCCAAAATTTGACACTACTTCCTAGCTTTTCATGAACAAACAAGAGTCATAACAAGTCTAAGGGGATGTTGGCACTATCAGGGAGAGAAAACGGAGAGGATTGAAAATTTTCATTTTTTGGCAAAAATGATGAGCTAACCCCTTGCCATTTTTCGAAAAAGGGGCGGTTTTCGAATTTTCCTAAATTTGACACTACTTCCCTTTTCATGAACAAACAGGAGTCATAATAAGTCTAAGGGGATGTTGGCACTATCAGGGAGAGAAAACGGAGAGGATTGAAAATTTTGATTTTTTGGCAAAAACGATGAGCTAACCCCTTGCCATTTTTTCGAAAAAGGGGCGGTTTTCGCATTTTCCAAAATTTGACACTACTTCCCTTTTTATGAACAAACAGGAGTCATAATAAGTTTGTGGGCATGTTGGGACTCTAATGGAGAGAAAACGGAGAGGATTGAAAATTTTCATTTTTTGGCAAAAATGATGAGCTAACCCCTTGCCATTTTTTCGAAAAAGGGGCGGTTTTCGAATTTTCTAAGATTTGACACTACTTCCCTTTTCATGAACAAACAGGAGTCATAATAAGTCTAAGGGGATAATGGCACTATCAGGGAGAGAAAACGGAGAGGATTGAAAATTTTCATTTTTTGGCAAAAATGATGAGCTAACCCCTTGCCATTTTTTCGAAAAAGGGGCGGTTTTCGAATTTTCCAAAATTTGACACTACTTCCCTTTTCATGAACAAACAGGAGTCATAATAAGTTTGTGGGCATGATGGGACTCTAATGGAGATAAAACGGAGAAGATTGAAAATTTACATTTTTTGGCAAAAACGATGAGCTAACCCCTTGTCATTTTTTCGAAAAAGGGGCGGTTTTCGCATTTTCCAAAATTTGACACTACTTCCCTTTTCATGAACAAACAAGAGTCATAACAAGTCTAAGGGGATGTTGGCACTATCAGGGAGAGAAAACGGAGAGGATTGAAAATTTTCATTTTTTGGCAAAAATGATGAGCTAACCCCTTGCCATATTTTCTAAAAAGGGGCGGTTTTCGAATTTTCTAAGATTTGACACTACTTCCCTTTTCATGAACAAACAGGAGTCATAATAAGTTTGTGGGCATGTTGGGACTCTAATGGAGAGAAAACGGAGAAGATTGAAAATTTTCATTTTTTGGCAAAAATGATGAGCTAACCCCTTGCCATTTTTTCGAAAAAGGGGCGGTTTTCGCATTTTCCAAAATTTGACACTACTTCCTAGCTTTTCATGAACAAACAAGAGTCATAACAAGTCTAAGGGGATGTTGGCACTATCAGGGAGAGAAAACGGAGAGGATTGAAAATTTTCATTTTTTGGCAAAAATGATGAGCTAACCCCTTGCCATTTTTCGAAAAAGGGGCGGTTTTCGAATTTTCCTAAATTTGACACTACTTCCCTTTTCATGAACAAACAGGAGTCATAATAAGTCTAAGGGGATGTTGGCACTATCAGGGAGAGAAAACGGAGAGGATTGAAAATTTTGATTTTTTGGCAAAAACGATGAGCTAACCCCTTGCCATTTTTTCGAAAAAGGGGCGGTTTTCGCATTTTCCAAAATTTGACACTACTTCCCTTTTTATGAACAAACAGGAGTCATAATAAGTTTGTGGGCATGTTGGGACTCTAATGGAGAGAAAACGGAGAGGATTGAAAATTTTCATTTTTTGGCAAAAATGATGAGCTAACCCCTTGCCATTTTTTCGAAAAAGGGGCGGTTTTCGAATTTTCTAAGATTTGACACTACTTCCCTTTTCATGAACAAACAGGAGTCATAATAAGTCTAAGGGGATAATGGCACTATCAGGGAGAGAAAACGGAGAGGATTGAAAATTTTCATTTTTTGGCAAAAATGATGAGCTAACCCCTTGCCATTTTTTCGAAAAAGGGGCGGTTTTCGAATTTTCCAAAATTTGACACTACTTCCCTTTTCATGAACAAACAGGAGTCATAATAAGTTTGTGGGCATGATGGGACTCTAATGGAGATAAAACGGAGAAGATTGAAAATTTACATTTTTTGGCAAAAATGATGAGCTAACCCCTTGCCATTTTTTCGAAAAAGGGGCGGTTTTCGCATTTTCCAAAATTTGACACTACTTCCCTTTTTATGAACAAACAGGAGTCATAACAAGTCTAAGGGGATGTTGGCACTATCAGGGGGATAAAACGGAGAAGATTGAAAATTTTCATTTTTTGGCAAAAACGATGAGCTAACCCCTTGCCATTTTTTCGAAAAAGGGGCGGTTTTCGCATTTTCCAAGATTTGACACTACTTCCCTTTTTATGAACAAACAGGAGTCATAACAAGTCTAAGGGGATGTTGGCACTATCAGGGATAGAAAACGGAGAGGATTGAAAATTTTCATTTTTTGGCAAAAATGATGAGCTAACCCCTTGCCATTTTTTCGAAAAAGGGGCGGTTTTCGAATTTTCCAAAATTTGACACTACTTCCCTTTTCATGAACAAACAGGAGTCATAACAAGT